TAGCAGCATGTATGTAAAGCGAGCTAAATCGGGTCAATGAATTCATCATCATCATCATCATCATCATCATCATCATCATCATCATCATCATCATCATCATCATCATGGGCCTCAACCGGTTGAGCTTCGCATCACTTGAACGCTTACGGAGTACACTTCCGGTTGATGTCTCTTCAAATTTCGCCAGCATGGAACTCTAACTCCATTGGCTAGGTCCTTGTCATCTCAGGGCCGCAATTTCGGCACAATAACCCCATTGGTACACCACGATCGTGTGTCCCTGGCAGATACGGAGTATGTGATTGTTATCAGCTCAAATCACCTTCGATCTTTTCCAATAAGCGTATTACGCACTGGCTATCCATAACAAAAGCGAGATATATACCGTCGACAATGAACGAGCTATCCTTGGAAGATTAGTGCGAAGCCTATACGACCCGGTGATAAAACTATTTGAGCCGCTCCCGAACACACCTTCCACAAGATTCGGAGCCATCCAAGCTATTACTTATACAATCGACATCATTTCAGAATTCTAACCGAGTTTTCTTAACACTACACGCATGCCGGATACTTCCTCGCATCCCCGAAGTTGGTTTGTTTTCATGATCCACAAATTCCAAGTAGGGTTTAGTGGCAGCACATGGTAGAAGTCACACTTTTTTTTCAGGGAGAACATGGATTCTTGAACATAGTAGACAAGTCTCACTATATGAAAGCGCTAGATCTTTGAAAAACTTGGACGCTCAAAATTTCACAGAAGTGAAGACAAAAATGGAAAATTAGTTTGGTCCAAGAAAATCCAAAAGAGACACACACCTCATCGTAGAAACTCCAATCCGATCAAGCCATGTGCATTGTGTTGAACAACCTATTACCAGTGTCGGTAGTCCCGCTGCCGGTGAATTGGTTTTTGGAAAGACGCAGAGCGACAAAATTCAGTTTGTCAAATCGACCCAGTGCCCGAGCAATCCTACTACTCATGGAAACAGTCTCCGATTGGATCACACCGGCAACTACCACTATGCGAATGGTAGCATGAAGACTCCGGATGCGTTGTACGAACTGCAATATTGACTTCCCACTATTCACAACCGAGTCAACTAGTACGATTGTGACCATCTTCTTCAAGTGGTGATGTTGAAGGTCACTGGGGGCCTTGGCATGATAGAACATAGCAAGCGGAAATGCATCGTTGACCCCCAAAGCCATCGGTTCACCACCACGCATCAAAGGCACAATCAAAGTTTCTTTCTCATTCAGAAGCCGATGGCCGTCGGTCCGATGACCTTGAACATGCGGAATATGGTAGATTTCAATGCCAATGAGTTGAGTACATAATTCGGTGGCCAAATACCAACCAACTTGCCGATGAGCCTCTCGCAACGCAGGTCCGGAAATTGATGCATCGCGCATAGGGGTCATCAGCAATTTAGCTGCTGGTCGGTCAGTGGCATGACAGACATGAAGATTTTGGCGCCTGGCGAATACCGAAGCGATGAAAGATTGATCTGTCAACCGTATCAAAGGTAGCCGAGTGGTGTCGAGGCGCGGGGTTGCGTCTGGAGGCAGAGTTGACTGGCGCGGCTGGAACCCATTCTGTCCAATGGCCTCTGCCAACTTCCTATCCATACTGCTGCTTCGTGTGGTTTCTTCCCCGCTGATAACGATAGCCTGGTCTGCAGCTTTGAGCATTCCCAGGTCCAGGGGACTGTCCCCAAGTGCAAAAACATAAAGCTGTCGAGTGGCAGACAAATAAGTCACCAATTCAGCTTTCACCAACGGCGTGACAACGAGACCGTCACTCAAACGGCCACCGCCGATCACTTTGACTGCCAGCGAAAGGCCCTCCCTCTCCAGTACCTTCTCCCAAACAGATCGGATCCCACAGGTAACCACAACCACGCGCACATGTATCGTGCCACGAACCAAGTGCAAGAGATTTAGAATGTCACTGTGCATTTTGATCATTGATGCCACATTTTTGCAGCATGCCTCAAACTCCACATCCCCAGCGGCCTCCTCATACAGAAGTGTTGCCTGGCGGAAGGCAGTGTATGAATACCCCAGGGGACTGCTGTACAAGGCTTTCATAGGACCGCTAGTGTCGCCCTCAGCTGAAACAGCGCGGATCTGGTCCCAGAAGAGCACTCCGCTATCTTCTTGGGCCAAAGTCTTGTCTGCATCCATAACAATGACGGTTTCCAACGTGGGGGAAGAGGCTAGTATGTCGTCCATTTTTTCCTTGGCAAGATTCACGTTTTGAACCTCTGTGTGGTACCGAAAATCTTGGATGATGGAGGCGAGCTTGGTCACAGGAACTAGAGGGGGCGACAGAAGTGTGAAAAGGATATTGTGACGTCTGCAAAGGTGACGAAGTTGACTTTGCTCGCGTTGCTGCCATCTGGTCAGATGTGTTATTGAGACACTTGGACGTTTCCGTTTGGTGTCATTCAACTGGTACTCCGCGATAAGCTCAGCAGGGACATCCAGGTATAAGATATGGGTATACGTAGCCAGATCCCCTGGTGTACAAACTGACTGGCCAACCTCATCTTCTTCGGCCCAGAACATAAAGTGACCTGCCACAATAGCGCTTGTTCCGGTACTGCAACATTCCTGCTTAACTGTAGCTATAGCTCGCTCTCGGCACTTGGTTTTAGCTTCTTTCGGCAAATTCTGGAACGCTTTGAGACCCCCTGGGGTGATTGCTGCAATAACATCGCTGCCATCATAGAACGCAAAGTCATCTTTGCTGAGTACGTTTTCGAGTTCATTCAACTTGAAAGACTTTCCAGAGCCAGGTAGGCCATATAGACCAATAATGACTGGCGTAGAGAGATTGGCAGGCTCCACTTGGATAGATGGCGATGTGCCGCTGTCAGGATGATTTCCACCGTACATCATTTCGGGGACTTCCATTGTAGGATGAGCGGGGAAAGGAGTACGATGAACTCTCTTAGACGGGAAAAAGGGTGGTACTTAAAGAGTGGGAATATCATAGAGTATCTGGCTGAGCAAAGCTAGATTAAAAGGACTCTTTTTGAAGCGTAAAAGAATCGTGAGCCAACTATCAAAAGGCAAAACAAGACAAAGAAAGTCAACATTTACAGCGGGTCACATAATCCGAGTGGCAAACGCACATTCGGAATACGTATCATCACGAGATACTTCCTTTATTTCATGGAAGCAGAGGCCAGATACGCCTCAGCCGACAGCTAACTCGGTGGAAGTCTTTCTGATCAATCTCATGGCGGGAAGCTACTTCTCTGAGTTTGTGATCTTTGCTTGGATTCACCACCTCATTTACCAGATTCCAGTGCCGGGCATTACAGAAGAAGGCAGCCACTTTGAAAAATGACCATCGCGATGTGTACTTTGCCAACATGTACATGTAGATCGGGCTAGAGTGGATGCCGGACAAACAAGAAGGATTTCGTATTGAGAACCCATCGTATCGGGCCCGGGTGATTGAGAAAAGCACATCTGCAGTTTCACTTCGTTTTTGCCAACATGACTCTGCAATTCGACGCTCGCATAGTTCCTCTCGAATTCTATCTCGATGCCACGAGACGTAGGACTGCCGTTGAAGATTTAGCATCGCAAACCACCATCTTAGTGGTGCGCGTCCTGATGAACTCATTTTGTGCTTCCTTTGCATGGAAGGCTGAGCTGTGAAGTAATACCGGTGGTTGCGATTGAATGGTTGGTAAATGGTTAAGAGTGTCTTATGCATGCTGATGTTGAACGCAGTTTCCTCGCTATGTACCAGGACAGTTGGCAAGTGCAACTTGCATATGGCATTCGCAGATCGTTAAATCTCTTAGAAAGAACTGAAAATCATATTCAATTCAGCACTTGTGAATTTCCCATAAAAAAAAAGACCGTTCTCCATGTTTTGATAGACCAGAGATGGAAAGAGATGAAAGAGTAGGAAACCCTTCAGCCTAAAATGGCCAAGCCACTAAAAATAGCCACGGCAGATCAGCCATATGCGCCACAAAAACAACCAGTGGAATGCGCGTTCCTATAGGGACGTGTGGATGACCTCTCGAAGAGTTAAATATTCTCCACTTGCGCTTCTCGGCCAATTTTGCACATCTGCATTTTTCCACTTACCGATTTTCGGCCCCTGTTTATCGCACACCATGCCGGCTCTATATGCAGCGCTAGCCCAAAGCGCGGTGGAAACGGCCCCGCACCAACTGGCCCAGCGTGGCTTGACAGTCAACCATACCCAAGCCGTCACCTTAGGGGTGATGGCAGCATATGTAGTAGTCATCGCACTCCTATGGAACTTACCCTATGTCCGCTGGGTACTATGGCCCTTCAAGGTATATTCTCCACACTCTGTGTTGACAAACTGTGACTGATTCCATCTTCAGATGCTGGTAATTGCATTCCATGAATTTGGCCATGCGATTACTGCCTGTTGTACCGGCGGAAAAGTCAAGTCCATCTCGCTAGATCCACATGAAGGTGGTGTCACTCAAATGCAGGGTGGAATGAGTGCCATCACCCTGCCTGCTGGGTACCTGGGGTCGTCGATCATCGGGGCCCTACTGATTTTCGCTGGATTCGATATCGTCGCCAGCAAGATAGCCAGCATTATCCTTGGGGTTTGTTTTCTGCTCACTCTGTGGTGGGCACGGAGGGACTGGTTGACCATCACGACTGTTCTTCTTGCGGTCGGGTTGTTGGTGGCATGCTGGTTCATTGCCCATGGTGAAGCCTTGCGCTGGGTTGTGGTATGTCTTGATATTGTGACTCACCCCGTTATCGAATTACACTAAGCTTTTTTCTACAGCTGTTTATCGGCGTCATGTCTGCTTTGTATAGTGTCTGGGATATCGCAAGTACCATTCGCCACTCTTTTTGAAGTATGTCACTAATTCCGTGTGCTCCAGTGCGACGATCTCATCCTTCGCAAAGTAAATAGCTCCGATGCCAGCGTCTTTGCAAAGAGGTACGGTGGATCTTCCCAGTGCTGGGGAGTTATCTGGTCTCTCATTTCTCTTGCCTTTATGGCCATTGGCATCATTGGCGGGATCGCAGCGTTCCCCCAGTCATTCAGCCAACAACAGTCCGATTCCAAGAACTTTATCTCAACTCGCTAGGGACATGCCATTCGCATGGTTACTTTGGGGGTATTGCGGACTGAAAATAATGATTTTTAATGAGATATGAGGGTGTGTTAGGGCCTATTCCCCCATAGCTTGGGAACCCATTTTCCGAATACTTCACTCGTATGCCGTGGCTTTAAGACACAAATGCAATTTGCCTTGTGGACAATGACATTAATGTAAAAGACTATTTGCAGCAAGGGGGAATTTATTGTCTCTCATCAGATTCGATTTTGGATGACTCACGTCGACCATGGTGTCCATTCTGTCAAGACAGCAACACCCACTTTGTCGGAGCTCCCATACTCCTCATATAATTTCTCTCTTGCGCAGCGAGAAAAGGGCTTTCAGTGTACTCACTTGGTCAACCTTTGGAGGCCAATTTATCGTACCCGCACTAATCCTTTGCGACGGACACCACAACATCTGTTTACACATCTACGATCCTAGCTGTGGTCTCCCTAAGCCTACAATCTCAACAATGTTAGAGGCTTAAGCTGGTATTCAGTTTTAACTTGGAAATGCAAGCCACTGTGACCGTGTCTGACAGACCGAGGGATACTTCACCGCGGGTTTTGGATGCACGGTGATGATGCCAAACGTCGGATGCTTAACTGCCAGTTGTACACCCATTCGACAACTAATGACGAGTTGCTCCATCAATTTGAATAGAAAATAAAAGGGGGTTAGGAAAGTCTGTTGCGAAAACTCTAGTATATAGTAAAGAGTAGACGACCGTGTATGCAGGATTGAGGGGTTTCACCTGGAACTCTACACAGCTACCAGTGAGTTACATTTGAAGGCTTGATCATACTACTGGTACGTATTTTCAATTGTCTATTTTACAAATATGTGTATGGTAATCGCCGACAGTTTATCGTGCATTCTCGGCCTCTAGAGCCTCCTCATGCTGTAGAGCCATCTTGGCCATGACGTCCCGCGCCGCGACCTTAGCCTTCCGCTTCTCATTCATAGCGGCTTCATCTCCGTCGTCATCTGGACCACCAGTTCTTTTCCCATTGGGAGAGCCAGTGTTACGCTTGCTCTTTTTATTGGGTGCCGGGTGAGTCTCAGGAGGTGCCTTGGGTAATTCTTGTGACTTCTGCTGGCCCTCTTGACCAAGTTCATGGTTTACATTTGGACCAAGGGATTGTGCACGCAAGCTGCGACGAGACGTGCGTCGTCTGACTGTGTTTTGTTGACCGTTTGACTCGACATCCCCTTGCGTGCTAGAAGGATCCGTACTAGTTGAGTCGGTAGTGTCGGGAATGGTGGGTTGGCTGATCGATTTCCTCGGTCTGCCGGGTCTTCTTTGAGGAACAGCTGGTGGCTGCGGAGGGACTGCTTGGGGGTTATCTTCAGGTGGCGCACCTATCCGAGGGCGTTTGGCCGTGGTCTGCTGCAGGGTGTATGATTGGGGTTGAAAGGAGTTGACGGTATTTAGGGGCTCTCGAGCAGACATTTGCACCTCTAGGGGTTTGAATTGCTTTTCTACAGGCGGCCCATTGGTAATTGCAGGTCGGCGTTGGTCATTGAGGGGAACGCGAGAGCTGTAAATCGGCGGATCTGATAGCGACATTTCATCCACCATGTCGTCTTCGTCGAAAGAGTCCGCGATTGACTGACTCTGATCGCCCGGAAACGCGTCAGGCCAGTTACGTTTCCGGCCCGCTTGAAGCAAACCAGGACTCTGAACTTCGGGTAGCGCAGCATTCGCGTTCATGATTGACATTGACTCTTGTTGGTGCGGCTGAGTCACTCCCATGTAGCGATTCTTCAGTTTCAGGGCCTCAATCTCCAACTTCAATTTCTCGATCTCGTCAGACTTGGACTTAAGCTCCTTCAGCACCATAGCAATCATGTCAAAGTCTTGTCCCTGAAGCATGGAGCCTTCGCCCAGATTTCGGCCCGGTCCATTTAACTCGATTCGAAGTGCTGTAAAAGAATGTTTGAGATCTGACATTGTGTCTTGGAGGTGATTCACCGAGTTCGAAATCTGATCAATGGTTCTACCCTGGTGGAGCATTTGCTTTTCCATGGAGGGTTCGAGGGTACTGGGGTCGGTGCAGCCAGCTGGCACTAGTGCACTACCCTGGACGACGTCGGGGTTTCGGCGGGGAGGTTCTTTTGAGGGGCAAATTAGTCGTTCCAGGGCGCCCTGTTTGTAGACGGGTTGCACTGTTCGCATGGTAACGATCTCCCTAAAAGCGACCTTCGACATTTTCCACAGAATGTTCATCCTAAGAACAGATAAGCCATGAGAAGCGCCAGTCTTAGTCCATAGCCACTTACCCGTTGTCAAGTGGACAAAGTACCCCCATCCGCTGCTGACAGAGTTTACACGACACTTCTTGAATGACACGGCCACGCAACAAGGTCATATCCGATGTCTGAGGAATTTGCTTCCGCTCCGAAGAAACAGCGATGCGATGGAGGTCGACACTGAGCCATGCTGTCGGGATTGAGTAGGCGTTGGATAGCTTGGCCCATTCGTTCTCCAATGCAGCTAGTGAGCTAGAACACCGAGCACATTGACACAAAATGCCAGGTCGTGTGAGATGGGCTAGATCCATCTTTGCGCGACTGGTGTAAGTAGTCAAAAGTCGGTAAGATTGTGCGGGCTTGAACAGTTGAAACGCATTGCCCGGCTACGGCCAGCCAAAGCTGAGTCAGCGGTCGAGGCCGCCAATTTGAATGCACTAGTCCCAATTGGGTTATCGATAAGGACCCGCGGGCTCCAGTGGCCCGAGCGTCATAGGCGCGGAGGCATCAAGTCACAGATCATACACTTCTGATAGGTGAAACACATGTTTTAGGTTGTACCTGGACTGGACTGTATAGAATGCTTATCCCCCGAGCACCAGTGCGATCTGCCGCACATCGATGATATATGCATCGCCCCGGTTCCACAGTGTAGCATCCACTCTGTCCCCGGATCACGTGTCGGCTCTCCTCTTTCCCCAATTCCCCCGAGGCATCTGCGCTTGCTATCGCCCGACATCATCCATGAATCGCTTGTTAAATCCGATCTGTCGGTATTCTTCGGCACTTCGATTCAAAAATCCACGCGGACGGACAAGCATCCTCCCGATCGCCATGGCACAACTCTCCACTGATGCCCTGGCTCATGCCTCGGCAGTCATTGGCACAAGTGACCAAAAGCCCACAGCCTGGCACGGGGCTGGAGCTGCCGAGTTCGACCTCCGAAGTATGATTCAACCGGGGAGGTGATGATAGAATTGAAGCTGATCTGACTCAGGCGATACAATGACTAAACCTACTCCGTCGATGCTCGAAGCGATCTGCCAAACAACTCTTCTGGATGATGTTTTCAACGAAGATCCAGTCACAAATGAGCTTCAAAGTTATGTCGCTGAGATCACCAAACACGAGGAAAGTCTACTAGTACTTTCCGGTACAATGGGAAACCAGGTGGCCATTCGTTCGCATCTAGTTCAGCCACCACATTCAGTTTTGTGCGATCATAGATCACACATCGTCTGTTATGAAGCTGGTGGTGTGAGCGCTTGGACTGGTGCCACTTTGAGCCCTATTATTCCCAAAAATGGGATCTATTTGACTTTGGAAGATATCAAAAAGCACGCAGTTCTTGGGGATAACATTCATTATTGCCCAACCAAATTGATCAGTCTGGAGAATACCCTCGATGGAATGATAATGCCGCTCAACGAGGCAAAACTAATTGTGCAATGGGCCCATGCTAATGGCATCAAGGTTCACTTAGACGGCGCCCGGCTGTGGGAGGCTGTCGTGGCTGGTGCTGCGAGCTTGCCTGAATTTACAAGCCTCTTTGATAGCGTAAGTCTATGCTTCTCGAAGGGGTTAGGGGCACCCATTGGAAGTATCATTGTTGGCTCTCAAGAGTTTGTCAAGAAAGCGCGCTGGTTCCGCAAATCGATCGGCGGCGGTGCCCGACAGACGGGCGTGATTGCAGCAGCCGCCCGCGTTGCGCTCACTGAAACTTTTGGAACAGACCCGAAAGGCCAGACTGGAAAGCTTGCAGCAACGCACAACAAGGCCAAGCGGGTAGCCGATCTATGGACCAGTCGCGGTGGCAGGCTGGAGTACCCCGTACACACCAATATGGTTTGGTTGGACCTCGAGGCATCAGGAGTGGGGCCAAATGACCTGGCAGAAATTGGACAGCAAAAAGGGCTAAGATTGATGGGTGGCCGCATTGTGGTTCATTACCGTAAGTGCTTCCTTACTCTGGCTCGCGGCTGAGAATGCATCACTTAAAATTTGACCTGCCACAGAGGTATCGGACGAAGCCCTTGCACGGCTGGAACAAGTGTTCGACTCTGCATTGAAGGGTGATTTCAAACGCAGTGAGGACACTAGCAAGCCGTACGGGAGTAAATAGTTGAAGCCAATAATAACCGAACCTAGTTTACACCCATTTGTACAAATTTGAAACCCTTACTTCGTGGTGTATATTGTACGGTAATTACAGATGTAATCTCATAGATCGAACTTGAGAAATTCCACGGCCAGCCCCTGTCTCCCGCTCGACCAATTAACGCGTCTGTCGCCTGATGAGTAAGGAGTCACGCGTCCCAGGGACGCGCTGTTGCCTTAGGTATCTGGTCGCGATTGTTGCGGCTCGTTTTTGGTCTTGTTACTTGGACGACGACCTTCCGAGGGGTGCGAATTTGCTCTATCCCGGCGTGCCCATTTTTATCTATCTACAGTCTCAATCTTACCAGCAGTGGACAGGCTAATAGCAAACCTTTCAAGCTGTGTGAGTTCATTCTCGACCTCCAGTCGACGCTAAAACAAAGGCCTCTTCAAGCTATCAAAAGACGTTTGCTAATTTGTTGGAACGGAATTCCACAGACATACATCCTGGCCCACCCGAAATCGCAGAAAACTGTCCCTTCCTTAGATCGCCTTCCTTAAATCGAGCATTGTTAATACAGAAACACCATTGGATAGCATCTCATTTGAACGGCATCTAGACAATCCTATCCCTCCACCGATTCACATCTTCAACCACAAAATCGAGCTCTGTATTCTTATAGCCTAGAGACAAGGGCTCATAGTCTCACTTCCACTTCCATTTTCGTGGGCAGCGTCGTCATCTGTGTTGATCAACACTAGCTTTGAGGAGAGTGGGAAGGACACCCCACTCTGCAAGGCACACGGTTCACTTATCGCTCACCCATTGCCTATTCCACTCCTTGCAATCACTAAGCAAATTCTTTGCGGCCAATCAGTTGATCAGGCGACACGCACACCCTGGTGAATTTGCCATTGGTCCTGAACCATACATATTATTATCTTACCCGACTTTTCCCCGGCTGCGCGATTCCTCAGCCCCAGTACCCATCTCCCTCGAGGTATATAAATCTGATAAACTTTTCATGACCCTTCCTTGTTGGCGCAACCTTACTGACATTTTGTATCTTTAGTCTACGACGTTAATGACCTTTTTATGCAAATTCCATTCGGTGGCCTCACATCACATATACCCCACCCCATCAGATCTGTACCTGTATTTCATCTCTCATTTCTTTCTCCTAGCAGCTTCATTTACACTTGCATTCATTTTCATAATGGAAGCCACTCAGGAATCCACACAGCCATGTGCTGATCCTCGCCGAATGGGAATGAATAACTCTGGCATCCAAGATCAAGACTTGGCCGACATCATCTGTATCCTTCATCCGAACTCACATGCTGCCCATGATGCTGTTGGTGCCACAGGAGAGCTGCGTGCTCAGCATATCCTCCAAAGGGACATACTGGAGCATGAATCTTCTCACACAGCTGCACTAGATTTGGCGTTGAGGCTTTCGTCAAAAGTTCACAGCCTGGCGGTTGGCTTCTGCTTCGGTCGCAATCGCTCTCGCTGTGATATTCTTCTGAGTGTTGATGATGATGCTAAACGAGTGTCGAATACTCACTTTCGCATCTATCTAACCGAAGACGGTATTCTCATGCTCCAGGATACTTCGACAAACGGGACGATAGTGGACAATTGCCGCCTGCGAAAATCTCTGAAAGATGGGAATAGTCGAATGCTGACGAACGGATCTGTCATTCAAGTCATCACCGGATCTCAAGCCTCCGACGAGGTCCGCTTTGTGGTTCGAATTCCGTCTCGAGAAGGATTCGCTGTCCAATATCACCAGAACTTATTTCGCTATTTCGAACGGGTTCATGCACATACTCCAGCGCACAAAGAACGACAGGGCCCGTCTGCCTTGGCGTGGTCGTCCGCCAACGCTTATGGCATGCATTGGACCGGTGGTGCCGAGTACAACGTGACTGGACAGATTGGAAAGGGTGCTTTTGCTACTGTGTACAAGATTGCAACAAAGCAACATGGCGCCATCTATGCTGCAAAGGAACTGGACAAGCGCCGCTTTATGAAAAACGGCATCCTTGATCAAAAGGTCGATAATGAGATGAAAATTATGAGAGACCTCACACATGTAAGCGATGATTTTCAGTTGGCCTGTTAATGATCCAACTAATTTGTTACAGCCGAATATCGTTCAATACATCAATCACCACGAGCATGATCGGTGGATCTACATCATCATGGAGTACGTTCCAGGCGGTGAGCTGTCGACATACCTGCAGACCCAGGGAAGAATTGCAGAGGAGATGGTGAGAACGATCGCACGACAAGTGTTACGGGCCCTTCACTATCTGCACAAACGTCGCATCACCCATCGAGACATCAAACCGGACAACATCCTGATTGCCTCTCTGGACCCGCTTAGGATCAAATTATCTGATTTTGGTTTATCAAAAGTGGTGGAGCAGGAAACCTTTTTAAAGACTTTTTGTGGAACACTTCTCTACTGTGCACCGGAGGTGTACCCGGATTATGATCAATACCGCCGTGGGGAGCTCCGAAAGAGGCGTCGTGTTGGAGACCCGTAAGTGGCTATTTTCCTTTTTCTCGCTGAAGAAGCCTCTGCTGATACTGAAAGACCTCCTAAAACATCTCCGTACAGTCAATCTGTTGACATGTGGTCGCTAGGTGCAGTCCTTTTCCATATCCTGTCCGGCGTTCCACCATATTCAGGGCGTGCAGAAGATCGAGGTGTCCAGATGCTTCGCACCATTATGACATGTGATGCTGATTTTGACGCCTTGCGGAAGGTAAACGTGTCTGAATCTGGTATCGACTTTGTTGCGAAGCTTCTGAATCGGGACCCCTTCTCGCGTCCGACAGAGAAGGAATGTTTCCAGCACCCTTGGGTTGCGGAGGTCCCTGATGTGGATGAGTATGAGGATGATGATGACTTGCTTTATGATCATCAAGATGGGCTTTCAGTAATTGGCGAGGATGCCGAGGACGAGCTAGACGCTTCACAATTGTCCATCACTGAGGGTCCGGGCTATGTCCACGAAGCCGACGGCGAAGAAGGTAGCGGCAGTGAGGAAATCTCCAAACGGCCCCGGACCGAGTACACTCCCACCAATGTGCGCTATCCTAGCCTTCCCAACATCGAGAGCTTCCACGATGGGCAAGCGGTGGTGGACGATCATGCCAAACGTTTGTTTGGCGAAGTTTCTGCCTCAGCCCTGCGGAGCTCCCATGCACTCGGCAACATGGATGCATACGACGCGAGTAATTTCAACGTTGACTTTCTCTCTTCCGGTGAGTCGATGATGAGCGACGATCCCAACGACTCGATTATTTCCCTTCCGGCGGTACCCTTCGGTGGCACTGCGCCCAGTTTGATGGGCGCAGAGAAACTCGTTGGGCAGCTCAACATGAATTCCTTAAATCCAACTCTGCAACTAAAGGGTGGCCCGGTTAACAGATCCTCCTTGCGGCAGATCACTCCTGGGCACATCAAAAGCGCGATACCAGCTAGTACCATCAACAGGGATTCCGTTCCGCCAATTTCGAGTCCCCAGGAAGAACCTGTCTCGAGTCCCCAGGTGCCAACCCCGAAAGCAAAGTTCACGCGTCGAATAAACCTTGCTCTTGCAATCCCCGACACAGCCAGCGAGGCATCTAGCGATAATAGTGCCCAAAGCAGCCGCTGCAATACTGCCGCCGAAACCCCATCTCGGTCCGCCCATTCTGAATACGACCCCGAGTTTGCTACTACACTTGACGCACAGACAGGCCAAGCCATCTTGGATCAAGCCCGGGTCGAAGAACCTGACTCGTCAGAACCGATAGTTCATCGACCCAAATCACCCCCTCTTCCCTTCACGCTGTCTGATCCCGAGTTTGCCAAACCACCAAAGAGATTTGGAAAACTGAAGAGTCTCCCCGGTTCGATCTTCGACTTGACAATCTACCTTGAGGATAGACTTACCTCGTGGGGTCGAGGACCATTAGCAACTATCAAGCATGCCGACCCCATGGACACAAGGATCCCCGCCTATGCCTTAGAGGTCACATTCTGGACTCCAGGTATCGAGGCTAGGATTGCAGCTGGTGAAAGCTGGCTCGAGATTCCAGGTGTGATGGCCATTCTCTCCACCAAAGCGCGTTCTGGCATCTGGGTAAACGACACACTGCTGCGCCGTGGCTCTATGACCGAGGATGGTCCCGAGGCTTTGCAATACGGGAAGCTCTACACAGGCGACATCATCACTGTGTACCAAAACAAAGATAGATCGAAGTTCCTCAAGCTCCAGTGTGATTTCACTCATGGCGAGAGTTCCCAGCCTCGGCCCGGACACGAAGCTGGGTTCATGGTGCGACAGGCTCTCATGGCCAAGACTAGCCGTGCGGCGAACCGGATGCCGATTCGGCCCCAATCCAAGGATCGAGATCAGGTTGAGATCTAGCGTTATAGTCTTTCCGCTTTGGATATCGATTGATATGAAATACGTGGTCCAGTGGGAATCAAATGTTACATACCTTTCATGTTCCATCATGGCTCTGTCCGCAAGCAGTAGAGTAGATATTAGAGATGTGGAGCCCTATCTCCGCCATTTGATCCACGCTTAAGTAGTTCGGAGGTTTAAATTAGGCTAAACTAATGTCGACTTATACTGCAGTGGTTAGAGTAAATTATCAACCACGGTGATTGAGAGAATTGAGGCTAACGCGAGTATCAAATCCAAATTTACTCTTCAACGGAAGGATCGAAACTTAAGACGCACCTGCTCCAAGACGGTAGCATAGGCGTGCCGCATCCGGCCTTTCCTGAACCTCAGCACAACCCCATCCGGTACATTATCTCCAACCATTAAATGATGTTTTGTGTGTCTTAATTGCCTACTCACCTTTCTTCCTAACTTTCGTCACTAGTTAAATCTGTCACTCTGACCTCACTGCGAATCAATTCACCCTTCGCTCGAATCTTTCCTCCGATCAACATCCCCCAAGATTTCACAACGATCTCTCTCTAGGAATTAATTGTTGAGCTCTGATCACAGCGATGACCTTGTCGCGATCACCCTCTCCCCACCCGGGCGGGGGGTGGTCCAGCCCGGGACTCATTCCGGCTAGCGGCACCACCTCGCCCGGTTCATTATCACCAGGCGGTATTTCGTGGGCTGCAGCCAAATCGAAAAGCGAAGAAGTGCGTGGGTATCCATCGTTTTCAACGCGCAATAGCGGCTTTTTCTCTCGGCAGCGACACAAGATCTCGACGTGGTTTCCTAGCTTCCGAAGGGTTTCCTCACATGACTACATCGATAAAGATGACTATGGCCGAAATTGGAAGCGTGCGAGTGGTGGGTGTGGCCTGCTAGGTGCATTACGGATACCAGTGCGTCGGGGTCGGTTCCGGCTGTTGTTGGCATTAATGTTAGTGTGGGTTGGGTGTCTGTTTTTCTGGACGAGTAAGTGATTGCGGCTACAATGATTATGTTGAGGCGTTCTGACGAAACTACAGGCATTGTCCAAACATACCGAAGATCACCTATAGGTGGCGGGAGCAAGTTCGTCATCATACTCGGATCCAATGTGGAGGGCGGCGTCATGGAGTGGAAGGGCGCACGTGAATGGGCCATTGAACGCAACAGCATATGGAACAAGAGGAGATATGCTGAGAAATGGGGTTACGAGCTAGAACTGGCTAATCTACTGGCCAAAAAGCGGTACTCACATGAATGGCGCGAGAGCTGGGAGAAGGGCGATGTGATCCGCGAAGCCATGCGCAAGTATCCAGACGCGGAATGGTTTTGGTGGCTCGACTTAAACACTTGGGTTATGGAATACGATATATCGCTCCAACAACATCTATTCAATGATCTCAAGTCTCATGTCTACCGCGACATCACCGCCTACAACCCTCTCAACATCACCCATCCACTGCCCGAGTTCTGGCTCGACGAGCTAGGTCGTTCTCTTGAGGGCGACGGCCAGGCAGATTCTTTGAACATGTTACTGACACAAGATTGCGCCGGCTTCAATCTTGGATCGTTCTTCCTGCGACGATCTCTTTGGACCGATCGCCTGCTTGATATCTGGTGGGATCCCGTCATGTACGAGCAGATGCATATGGAATGGGAACATAAAGAACAGGATGCCTTGGAATACATTTATCAGAGTCAGCCATGGGTTCGGAGTGGTGTTGGCTTTTTGCCAAAACGCAGCATCAACGCTTTCCCTCCTGGCGCATGCGGCGACGGAGAAAATCCAGTCATTCACTATCAGCAGAATGCGCATGATCTTGTTGTTAACATGGCTGGGTGTATCTTTGGTCGTGATTGCTGGTCTGAAATCTACTACTACCGTGAGCTGAGCAACTGGCTTGGTCGGTCGGGTTGGGAGCAATTCAGGGACGGCTTGACTGATCTGTACGACCGAATGACGGGGAAGGATAAGGATGATTGATGCATAGTGTTTACTCTTATCACGTTTATTGTGCTTATCTACGGCAGGTCTGCATTGCTGTAGTTATTCCTTGCGCCATGAGAGGCAATGTGTTAGATTTTCGCTCTGTATGTATATTTGCTTTCGTGGTTTCCATGATTTTAATCCGGCGAACGATAGCTAGCGTGAACAACCATAGTCCTTGAAAATACGACCTTTTTGAAGGATGTTTCTGCCTTTCAAAAAAAAAACGTCCTCTGTTTCCTCTGAGTCACATGAAAATCGAATATCGACTCATCTAAACTTTCCTTGGTGCACGACCTACCGCTTTCGGATTGTACTGCTTCACGTGACTATGGAATCTGCACAAAAGACCCCTTCCGTCTCCCGTACCACGGCCATCATCACCGCCTTCACCTCACCCAATCACAAACCAGGTAATCCAAACTTCAAGATCAACGACCCAGACAACCGCATGAAGCAGCCACCACAAACCGACTCACTCCCACCAACCTTTGCTGCCATTGTCCTGCGCCCGAGCAAGCAACCACCTCAACAGACTCTCACTATACACCGAACTACCAAACCCAGCCGCACAATATGCCAACCGCCGAGTCCGCCGCCTTCCTCGCTAAGAAGCCCACTGTCGCCCCGACCTACGAGGGCGTCGACTTCGAGGACAACATCGCACTCCACAACGCTCGCGATGCTATTATCCGTGAACAGTGGGTCCGCAGCATGATGGCGCGTCTTGTTGGCGAGGAATTGGGCAAGTGCTATGCGCGCGAGGGCGTGAACCACCTTGAGAAGTGTGGTGTTTACCGAGGTGGGTTGTTTTCCGTTTCAAATCTTGTCTACGCCGCACATCCTAGATAGTGAAGGTTCAGCGAGTGTTTGCCTGTGAAGGAACCGGATCTGGCGGGATTGAGGGCGACATGGATTAGTGGTGGTTGTGATTGCGATGCGTTATACTGACACATCTATCTGCTGCAGAGAAGTACTTCGAGCTCCTGAAGGAGAGCAAGGTTAAGGGTTACCTTGGCCAGGAAAAGAACCGCTTTGGTGGAGAGTCCGCATAAGTGTTTGCGTCTTTTCTTTCGTGTTCAGCTATGCGATTGCGTTTTGAGGCTCGGGGCTTGATGGGTGATATCGACACCGCGGGGACCGGACAATTTGAGGACCGGGGAATCTTGATGTCGAGACAAAACCGTCAGCTCTGGACGGAAACCCTGTGGCTTCGATTCCGTGTCTTGTAGCCATCCAGATCGGGTCTGTGTCGGAGGGATACAAAAAGATGCCAGAAGAGAGGCTCTGGAGATTACCCTCTGTGCTCTTGTCCGTTTGTACTGTATATAATATCACTTTTTTTGATTACATTCCTTTTTTTACAAGGTGATTGAGTGCGGTTCGGAGAGGTCGTAGCCAACAGGTGACCCACACCTGGTCCTCGAATGCTAATGTGTTCTTACTAGGCCCTTATGGCAACTGAGTGCTGATTTTGGCACCTGTTACCATATCCCCTTGTTCTCTATATGTACTAATTTGTCGATATTTTTCAATAATAAACTCTCGACGCTGTCGCACTTCGGTCCGGGAATGTACTCGGAGGTCCACGGCTATGATCAGGCTGGCCTGAATCGTCGTCACTATCATCGTCACTTCCGAACTGAAGATCCTTATTCTCTTCTGGCGGAGCACGCATCCGCATCAGTTGATCCTGATCTAAAGATGGGGGTTGGTATAGTGCCGGGGGAGGGTGAATATCACGACCAGAAGGCAGATTAGACAGCAATGATGCAGAGGGTGGGATGGGCTGTGTGTTCATCTATATTGGGTCAGCAAGGCATGCATATTGAGATCGGCCTGGATTATATGGGAAATGAAAAAAATCCGAACTTACTGTGTCATTAATTTTCACCCATTTTGTCTCAAGCATCGCAAGGACCCGTCCCTCCTCGTTACGACCAGCATCGTCCCCCGCATCCAATGGACCTTTTTCGCTGCGACTACCGCCAGCATCCTTAGTAGCGCGACGATCCTCACGCCGCTCTGTCCATTCGCGCTTTAAACGGGAAAGTCCACTCTTTGCAGAGCCCCCCATGCTTGCAACGTCTTCCTGCGAAGACCCTGCTCCACGTAGCCCGAGGGGAATGCGTGCAGCTCGTAACCACGCAATTCCTTCGCCGACTTTACTGGATAGCTCGGCATCTACAGCAAAGAATCGACAGGCGCGTGCCCGAGCAACGCGAGCCAAAACTCCTGTATAGCGGGTCAAATCCTCATCCACATGACCTGCACGACCAGAAGTGGATCCAACAGCGCCTAGACCTGCAGTCGCTTGCTCAGCGTATTCTGCAGCACGCACACATAGTCTTGCAAATAGCAGAGCGCGCACTTTTGGAATTTGAGGTGCATGGACCATCCACTCTTTATCATTCGGATTGCGCGACTGGATGCACGCCACAACATACGCATCATCCTTAAGAACAGCCAATAACGTAGCCTCCGCCATAGCCAAGGATGACAGAGCCGACTGTGTCGCAGCCTCAAGGTCCGGTACTGTCGATACAGTAGCGGCGGTGAAAGATGGCGAAGACGCGAGCAGATTGTGCACCGAGCTAGCTTGTAGTAGATACCGCGTGGCAGTTTGCACAGCAGCAGTGCGGACCTCTGCAGACGGGGTAGACGATGTGTATAGCGCAGCGACAACGCCCGCGCGTGCCATCCTACACAATACATAACCGAGAGTTGTGAGAGTAAACGCCAATTCAAAGTATATACCTCGGCCAGTGACCCGTCCATTCCGCGTGCGGATACTGTTTCCACCTGGTATATTTCCACTGGATCCGAAATTCAATCCACTGGAGGATGACAACGTGTATCTCCATGTCGACTCTATCTCCGCATGGATTGTGATGTCGACTATTTCGCCGGTGCGGAGATTCGGTCCCCCTGAAGTATTACCATCTTGGGGAGCAGAGGAGTACGCATCTGTTGGAACGGAGCGACCATTCAGTCCATTCGAAATTGCGAATAGGAAGGGGATATATTCATTCAAAGCGGACAGAACTGTGGGTAGATGGGCATCCTGGCGCGAGCCGCGGGGTAAGCGCTTGTGAGCCTTCAGTGCGAGGCGGAGAGCATGGCGTGCTGTTGAGGCTGATTGGGGGAGGGATGGGTGAGTGGTAGAAGTTATGAATGTTTGAATTGAGAGGGGCGAGGTATTTGGGAGGCTAAAAGCGTAGACCATTGTGAACTGGGGAGTTGGAGATGGAGGGATTCGGGCATCGGAGCTGATGTCACTGCCAAGACCTTAGAACAATATCTGAGATGAACAGAGAGGACATCCACAAAATGATACAAAGAAAGGTTCTTCGAAGGTTGCCAATCTTAAACCTGCCTCTGCCTTATACTAGCTACTAAATTCATATTTTAAGAAAAAGACAACCAAACGTCTAGCCAGACGACCAAGAAAATACCCAAAAGACTACCACAAAAGACTACCATCACTCAAGGGCGCATAAACTGACTATCCTTGTACTGTTAATCACTATTTGAGGTCGAGTCTATACGATTGGAGTGAGATATTGAACAGTGCAAAATCAAATATCAAGAAAACAACTCTAGAGTTCAGGTCAACAAAACCAAACGTGAAATACATGCGCATAGCAGAACGCAAGACATTCGCCTCACTACACCTGAAAAAAAAATAAGAAAACATTGCGATCAGGGGAATAATCCTCCCGCTGCTGGACGTGCCGATCCTACAGCTGTCACGGCTGTCACGGTTTTCGCAGCTTTCGGTACTGGATCTAGTGGAAGGTCTGGCAAGAGGGCGACCGTGTGAAGCGGATTTGCCGTAGGCACACTCATAAATCGGGGGTGTATGTCACCAAAATAGGTATAGCTTGTGCTATCAGGCGCCGATGCTGTGTACATCCTGTGTCGCAGCCACGGACCGTTTAATCGAACCTTCGAACTAACCACGGTGTCATCGTGAATGAGGACTTGGACCGGATGCCACAAGAAGTCCAGATAGTTCGTGGACCGGGCACTCCACATGTTTACCTCAAATCGCCTGCAGATATAGCTCTCGGTTGATCCATTCGCGAGTGTCACGGCCATGCTACCTAACAGGGGTGGAAGAGGAGGGTCGTTTCCGAGTGGATCACAATTGTAAGTTACCAGGTTTCGCATATCGCTTTCATTAATCTGCATCACACTAGCCCCAGTATCATCCATGAAGGAAAAATCAAGGGGCATTGACGGCAGTACAGGCTGAAATAAAGCTGTCGGTTGGATAGTGGACTGGGGAAGTTTTAAGCTGAGATCCATCTTCATGTCATGTTAGACAAACCCCTCCTTCTGTCGGTGGCATCTGAACTCACGTGCGTACAAAATTCTCCGTGTCCAGGAAATGGCTTAGCTATCCATTCTGCCATTTGGGGGATTGGACTTTGTCCTTCAAGCTAAGCTTGTTAGTTTCCGGTCAGTTCAAGTTTTTTTGGAGGAGACGTACCCCTTCTACCCAAAAACCTGTGTGACCATCATGTTGGGCGTTGATGATATCAAACTCGTTCCACCTGAATGGCCTCGGCTGGCAAAGGAGAACGCCTTTAGACCAGTAGGTAACAAGGCCTGGATTCCACCTCAAGTGGCCCGATCTGTATGCTGCCATGATGTTTGTCACATTTCCAACCAGCTCATACTTGTCATTCTCGCTCTGGAGCCATTCCAAAGTCCCCTGGAGAGTTTGCAAGCGCTGAACGACAGGCCAACTCAATCCAGCGGGCTCCAAGTCCATCATTGCTCTAATGATTGAGTTAAATCTTGTCAAGAAAAAGGTCTCGCGAAATACTCACTCGCGACTTTTCTGCTCTTTCAATAACTTCTCCAACGTGAATTCAAACACCCGGCTCATGATATTATCACCAATTCGCTCACGACACCTTGCTATCTGAGCCTCCAAATCACTAAAATAACATATCTCAGAAGCTATCCACAGATGGAGATGTAGTGGGAAATACGTACTCCGGATCAAGGTCAGGTTCTTTAGCATTCCATCCTTTTGGTGTATCCTCCAGGCGGATAATCGGATTCTTTGCCGGTTGTCTCCATCTTTTCTGTCGTTTTGGTAGTGTCGGTAGTGGAATTTGGCCTTCGTAGGATTTCTTCAAATCCAATGCGAGTGCGGCCGGATTCAATGGTGGAGGCACCATGACAGGGATAGGTTTATGGGAAGGAGCAGGAGCAGGAGCAGGAGCAGGAGCAAAACCAGGGAGTGGCAATCTCATTGCGTCTTCCGCGTACTGAAACTCAGTCTTCTGTTTGCCCTTCTTCCGGGCCGACGATGCAATAGTACTGATCCTCCGTTTTTTTATGGGCGAGGTGGCAGCAGCATAGTGACCCTCTGGCTTTTGAGCAGCGGCACGCCGAGGACGAACCATTTCGAAGGAGATAATCGAAGCGATATGAGAGTCCCTCGGTGTGGAAGCTTTAGTGCAGCTTGAGTTGATCGAGAGGTGTTTGAAGTCGGGTCTTGGGGGGAGGTATTTGTACTTCATCAAACTCCTAGTTCCTATCTACACAAACAAAGAACATCGATCGGAGAAAAGCCCCCGGTTCAAAAGCGACGGCGTGAGAATTCGAATTCAAAGAACACGAAAGACGGAGAGCCACGTTCTCTGATCATCTCTGAGCAATATAGCATCAAAGAACTTGAGCTACCTTTTTTTTTTCAAGTTCCTCGTGTTGAATGCGAGAAAATCCCGGTCACCTTGGTCTTTCTTTCACATAACTGTTGAGATGGTCTTTTCAGAGGTCCTCTGAGATGATGTACAAAGACGCGAAGAATCACAATCCGAGTGGAGAATCTTTCTCTATGCACTCGGGGACTAGTCCTCTTCTCTTTGTCTCAAATTTGGCCCAGCTACCCAAGGGGAATATCACGGTCGTCCACGCCTTGAAGTTTGAAATGATCTGTTTCGGATATGACCTGAGAGGGCCTTTGTTAGAAGTTCACTTTATTCCCGCCAGACTTGATACGAATGATCTAGTCTGATTGCAAGCATGATTTCCCAGAGCAACTGCTGCTGCAAATGAGGCACATCCCATTTCATATTACATTTTCAATAAAACCTTTCATTCTTGATTTCCAATGAACCGTTAGGAATGAACATTCAGGGTATCCGAGGGAAATGGTTGCAGGGAGTTTCGGATGATTCTCACAAGGAATCTATGAAGTTGAAAAAAACAACCAGAGTTAACGATGATCTTGCACTAGCTGTAGATAAGCTTCTGCGGCAGCGAAAACAGAGTCATTTCGTCTCTTCTCTAAGTCTAACATCACACTTTATAAGGAGCATCGGACCGTGATGTACAACGAACGGGAACTGGAAAGGGAGTGCGAATTCCATGAGATCACTTGAGAGGCCTGTGGAAACCTCTATTGCACTATCTGGATGATTCAACTCTCTTTTGCTTGGACTTTAGATCTCCTGTCTCACTAGATCGTTTCGGATGTGTTATGATAAAGAAAGGCAACGAGGCAAGTTGGTTTCTTGAGACGTCAAGTCCTTGAGCGCATGGAAAGAACAAAGAGAATTTCAACAAAAGAAAAGAAAATTTTTCAAATCGAATCAGAATTTTGAACGATAATCACTTTGATTGTCTCTTTCTAGATATGTAATATCTTTGATGGCCTACGCAGGTGTGTCGGTGATAAGGAACCTAGGTCCACAGTATTCTACGTAGACTCTAGACGATCTATCTTGTAATGCACACGACAGGCATAATTGACAACCAACAACCAACTCTAAGGAACTTGATCTATGGTCATGACAATCTTGCATTGACAACCATGTCCCAGATTCCCGTGCATGGATCGGACCTTGAGGCGGACTACATCAAAATAATCCAGATTGTGGAAAAACAGGTTGACACTCTAACATACAAGGTCTGGCGACGCCGCGAAGTAATTGATCAACTGGAAGCCCTTTGTCGTGAGCTGATCTTCCAAGCAACCGCCGATGAACGCAAGCCTCGCAGTCATCTTCCTGGCTATGCTCAATTCCAACGTGTCTCCATGACACTGAGACTTTTTCTACCGGAGGCAATTCTCATTCTCAAAAGTGACGGGACTAGTTATCAAGTTAGTAACCGGGCTTTCCGCTGGGTGAGAGAGGATGTGGTTGAATACAGGGCAGCTTGTGTCCTCAAAGAGGCAATGATCGCGGCACAGGCAACAGACTGGTATCTTTGACGAGGGCTGGAGGACAGATTCTTATAGGATGTATTGGGGAGGTTTTCTCTCCTGGGCATTTCTGACACGTTTGCTGAATTCCGCCATATAATCGGCGGGTAGTTGTTCCCAAGATTTAAATCATCCGCGACGTGCATTTTGACAATTCTGCTCAAAGAAGTAATTTAAGTCTACGGATCAGAAATTCAACGCGACTGTAGAGTGTTTTGTAATTCCAGTAGGTGTTGAATTTAAAGATTCATAGAAAGACATGCACAGCTCATGGTAACTGCAAACTATTCATGGAGGAGAGACACTTCAAGTCACTTTCTCAAATCTTCCTTGAATTGTGTGCATTAGCCCAACACTACGCCTGAACTAATCCTAGTATCAGTGTTAGAATGGCAAGATAACCCGAGCCCGGGGCACAAGCGGAGTTGAAAGAACTGGTGACCGAAGCGACAGCACCAGTGCTAGAATGAGAAGCCTGGCTAGTTGCGATTATGGAGCTCACTGCTGAGGTCGAACTGGAACGCAAGACAGTGCTTTGGGGCTTAGTGAATGAGGCCGTCGGGAGGGCAGGGGCGGAAATGAAAGAATCAATGTCAGCACCCGAATTGTTCGAAGACGAGACCAAAGAAGACAAAGCCGCAAGATACGGGGAGGATGTAGCAAGGTCAGTAGTGGTTTTGGTCTCTGGATTGGCTGAACTCAAAGCGACGGACGAGGTCGCAGTAGATAAACCCGCGGAAGACGAAGTCAACGAGGCAACATCGGCAGTCGTCGAAGTGCCAGAACCGGTCGAACTTGAAGTCTCCCCCGAGGGGACGCCACCATTGATCTCAATGCTGTCTGAAGAACCAGATTTATCGGAATAGACATAGCTCTCCGCCGGAGTGTAGTTGACGATTTCAACCGATTTGACATACATCGTGAACGGTGCCTTGGAGTAATCAGTCTCGCCACCAGCCCAGTCGATAGTGCCCTTGATTCTGCTCGGATCACCTCCTGCCCAGATGCCAATTCTCACGCGCATCGGTGTCTGTGGGAAGCGAGTGCCCCCTTTCGCATCAGCATAGTCAACGGTCCGGACAACGGTGCCATCGATCGCCCATGAAAGTTTTTCCTTGGACCAAATCCAAGTGTACTGATGGAACTCTTTTTGCGGGGTCGTCACAGACTGCCAGGTCCAGCGATGGTAACCTTCACTAGTGTCACCTTTGCCGAAGTAGTCGGTCTGTAACTTGTCGGTAAACCCACCCAGGGTTTCCTATGCAATTATCAGCATATACGTTTCCCCTGGAGGATCAATCCAAGTTAGCACTCACCCAGTCAATCTCATCATTCGCGTCTGACAACATGTAGACAGAGCTGACGATGCCGGTACCGGGGGAAGCCTTCATCTCAACAGATACCTCGCCATAGAAGATGTAGTAGTCTGTTACTATTGTCGGGGCATCACCTTGCTTGTGGATCGTGAACTCTGCGCCATCAGGGCCAGTGACTACTGCTCCCCCAACTGCTGTCCAGTCATTCAAAGCTGACGTCTCCGTCAAGTCGTATTTGATACGACCTTTGATGGTACCTTTGTTCGACTGGCAGGTTTTATCAAAGGCATTGCAGTCTGGGGATTTCTGAGCGAGAACGAGGGAGAACCAAGCAGCCAGAGCTGCAAGAAACAGGCGATACCGCATGATTGGTATGGATCACTTGTCGTGGGGAGCAGACACGTCTCGTCTACAAGAGCAACGAGACGAGTTTCAACCCCAGCGATAGGCAAACAAAGCAAACGGATGTGTGTTCAACCCCCGAAAGAGGAAAGAACAAAACCGGAGACCATCTGAGCTCACTAGGAGCTCACTGTCTACGTCACATCCGAAAGTAGTAAGAATTGATACAAACAAGGGCCCAGGTCTTCAGCTTTTTGATTTGGTTTGGTGGGCCAGCTCTGCAGTCAGATGTAGCTGTTAGAGGATATTCGAATAAGTGAGATCAGTGCAATTCAACTTTTATGCAAGAAGTAGGGCTATTCTAACCATTTCCCCCCGTTGAAAGACAGACGTAACGGGGCCTCAATATAGAGCGAGTCCAACTACTTTGGCAAGGACATCACATGCCTGCCATTTCCTAGAGCCAGATCTAAAACAAGAAAATGCTTCTAATAGCCCTAGCTGCCGACGGACCAGGGAAATGAAGTGCTTGTCAAAGTAGTTGGCCTCGATCTAAGTTGGTTCCCCGTTAGTGCTGGGATGGTCCTATAGTCGGCGAAAAGGGTTAGACATGACACAGAGATTGATTCAGTAGACTTGATTACCTCCATTGTGATAGAAGATCCCACATATCAACCCAATATAGATATCCTCAGCAAAAGAGAAAATTAACGAAACAAGTTGAACAGGCGAGCTGGTTTTTTTAAATCCTCCTCGGGGCTGTGTCGTGGCTATGACAATTATCCCCTGTGCCCTTTTTTTTAGTTCTTTCTTTCCATTTCCACTTTTTAATTTACTCGACTTCTCGTGGTCAAACAGGCATAGCCAATGATCGGACATTGTTTTTGATCTGTTCCTGGGAGCGGATGCTAGCGACAAAGTAGCGTGGCCAATCGGCATCGCAAGGACAAGCAATTAATAACGCTCCCAGTGGGCCTTCGACAGACAGCTAACCCAATAAGGCGGTTTTAATTGGCGCCAAGGAGCTAGCTTATTTATAGTGCAGGGTCAAGCTTCGTGAAAGCTCTCCCTGGGACTCGGGGATAACCAGAAGTCTCCATAACTTCAATCTCAACTGGATGAGACGTCTGCGACAATTTTTAGCGCTAAACTCGACTAAGTATGGGCAGAGTTCTAATTACAGCTCGAATTGGGGATCCCTTTAGCCTGCTATCTCGCTTATGGACCTCCCTAATCTTGATGTTACTAGCCGTGAGGGTGAGTTTGCCAGTCATTAAACTCATATCCACAGCCTCTCCTATCTCCTTTTGTGGACGACTTTCTTAGATGTTGATTTCTCCACATCCATCCCATCCAGCTATCGTGATACTTCCGCTGCAGAGATTGCGATCTAAGGTGGCATTGTGCGGGTACTACGATCGGACTGAGCATACCGCGTTGACATCAAACCCGACATGATGAGGTCCTGGGTTTCGCTCTTTCTTTTGCCCCTGACGACGATGGTCGGGGTCACCATTGCCACTTCTGACTACACCGGAACGGATTGCAACCCCCTGAACAAGACGACATGCAGTCCAGATCCTGCCCTCGGAACCGAGCACACATGGCTGTTCAACTCGACTCTTGACACCGACCTCTGGGACATGAGAACGGGAACTCTAGACTATACGCCCGAAGGAGCCGACTTCTCCATGAAGACCGAAAACTCCTCAACTCTCCTAGTATCCAACTTCTACATCTTCTTTGGCGTGATGGAAGCACACGTCAAGATGGCGAAGGGAGCCGGCATCATCAGTAGTGTTATCCTGCAATCTGACGACCTGGATGAGATTGACTGGGAGTGGGTTGGTTACAACACGAGCGGAGTGCAATCCAATTTCTTCGGCAAGGGAAACGTCACCACGAGTGACCGCGGCGGAAAACATGCGGTTTCAAATGCAGATACCGAGTTCCACAACTACACCTCGTACTGGGATAAAGACCGTCTGGAATGGTGGATTGATGGTGACTTGGTGCGGACAGTGCACTACGACGAGCCGTTGACGGTATATGGCAAAAACTACCCCCAAACACCGTGTCAGGTCAAGGTTAGCAATTGGCCGGTTGGAATTAAGGGACAGACGCTGGGCAATCTCGAATGGGGTGGTGGTTTTGTTGACTGGTCCGAAGTTCCATTCACCATGACTGTATCGAAGATGCGCGTTCAGGATTTCCACACCGGAAAAGAGTACAGGTACAACGGGACCACGGGCACCCGGGAGAGCATCGAGGTGATTCGGTGAGTTTGCTTTAAAGCCGGAATTGAAGAATTGGGGGACTAACGTCAAATCGTAGTGGAAACTCTACTGCTCAAGCAATAATTAACAAGAAACCACCTATGAGCCTATCCCAAAAATGGGATGGTCTTGGCCAGGGGGCTCATATCGGTGTGTACTGCGTTGTAGGTATTGCTGGTGCGGTTCTTCTTGGTTTATGCACATTCTGTTGTTTGAAGCAACGCCGGAGCGGCCGTTTACAACGGGCCTTGAACGATGGTGAATATAGCGCGGAGCTTACGACGTTGGAGCAGTCGAAGTTGAGATGGAGGCAAAGTGAATTGCGTCGCAAAGGCAGTTACCAGCCGGTTCCTTGACCGGGTCAGTTCAATTGTATATTTCGGTCATTTTTGCCTTGTAAATGTTTCACTTCTTGTATATTCTGTGTCAAAAGATCATCTTAAACATCATATGTTGAGAGGTCCTGTCGATATTTCATTTTAAGCCGTTCTCTGCCATGTATCTAGAACGCTTTGAGAAAAGGGAGAAGATATCCAATAATAAGCCATCTAACAAGACTGCCAAAAAAAAAATTGAGGAGGCCGCATAAGCCGCCGACGACAAGGTTCCCTGTTTGCCAATGGAAGTTTTGATACTTGAAGCATCTTTAAGTTGCATCTGACACAACTAGGGACGTGTAGATTCATTTTTTTTTGTGATCCGGGATAGGACACCCGCTCGAATGTTCGGTATCAAACAGAAGTGAGAACGAACCAGATGATTGAGTCAACCTTACATATTGATCGTCGATTAACCGAAATCCTGGCGATTTGCACCTCTTAAACAAACCTAATCCGCTTGCAATTCCCGATTGGCCACTCTCGTCGGTTCCCTGAGATACCGTGGGATACAGGGGTGAAGGTATAGAAGTTACCCTATCAATAGAGAGTTGTCTGCGTCAGAGACTGGAGGGGGAGCGATTATCATGCCTCAAATCAAGTCGGAACAATCTCGGTGACCACTGGGGAGGATAGGCTTTGATTGTCCCAGTGGATGGTGGTGGGGCTCTTTGCGCTTCAAATAGGGAAGTAGGGATGAGATATCGCATCAGGTCTGGGCACATTCGTGAAGTAAAGATTCAAGAGTTGCGACTCTCTCAAAGTCAAGCAATTCATGAGGCCGTGTGGAGTCTTTCACGCCCCCATCGCTTCATCATCGGAGAGATGACTCGGGGCGCTGCTGACACCTGAACTGTCGCTTTCTATCGCCTCCAAAGCCCGGGCACGAACCTGTGCACCCCAGTCTTGAATGCTGGGGGCACCACCCTCAATGATGACGGGGTGTTCCTCTGCGGGTTTTCCCAGGACAGTCCCAGCGTAGCGGGACTCCTCGCCAGTCTTACTATGTTTCTTCTTCAATGCGGTCAAGTAATCCTCCTTTTCAACGGCGTCAGGGTCCACCATGTCGCCCTCGCTGGGCACAAAGCCAGCGACACGTCGGATTTCACGGTGGGCAGGGCCAGTGATCCAGCCCAGGAAGGCATCAAGCCCACGCATATCTTCTTCTCCTTGCCATTCCTCTTCCCATTGGCGCAATTGTGGTCGTATGGCTCCTGCATCCTGCAAGGCTTGATAGATGTCTTCGAGGTCCGGAACTGGATCGTATGGGTGTGCATTTGCGGCATGCTCAGCGGCAGATGAGGCGAGAATGATCAGATACCGCCCAGTCAGGTCCTGGATAGACTCTAAGACTGAGGGGCGTGTTGAGTGAAAGCCTTGAGCACGGAGGATTTGGATAATCGGAGGGCGGAGGAGAGCATTGTGAAGGTTTGGACCTGACATTATGGACAGGTAATAGCAGGACGGGCAGCAGAGAATTTTCGGGATGAAATAAATTTAAGAGTGATTAACATATCCTCGGCAAAGAGGTGTAAAGCAAGATTGTTAGGGAAACGTGAAAAAAGGAAAAAAAAGAGGTATTGAAGAGACGGAGCTGTGGGTGTTTGGGCGGGTCCAAGGCGGAGACGCTCTTACAGATTGCGGTCCTGTGCCTCCCAGACTTGACTTGCCAGGTTCTGCATATCGCCATGACTTATAACGAAGTCAGTATCGGTTGGCCCTTTAGGCCTCATGTGAATGTCTTCAAATGAGAGTTGCATACTGCCTTGAATCTTTTCACAATTGGGCGCCGGGTTTCTCGTGATCTCAATTTTCTGAACCGTTATTGGAGTGCGGGCGCCCATCTTCCAATGTTCAATGGATATCCTTCCGCGCTTGTATATCCTGACTGCAAGCACAATGTTGACATTTCCAGAAGATTGGGTTAACCAGAACTTCATATCTTTGTATAGCTTCCCCGGGGGCTCTGTCCATGCGACTTCAACTGCGATGCTCGGCCATTTCCCATCGAGCCCCGAATGGGTCGGGGTCCAGGAGCAATCCCCACGTTTCTTCTTCCCTGAACTACCTCTCCATACCTTCGTGGATGCACCGCAAAGTGGATAATTCGGGTCAAATGGTCCTTTCCATCCATGGAACATTTCGGTGAAGGCAATAACCCCGGCTGCGTGAACTCCGGACTCCATGGTTTTGACCAGCACTTGGTTAACAGAAGGATCATAAAACTCCCATGACTTCCAGAGAAGACTTTCTTCGAAACGTTCAAAACAATTAAGGAAGGAACGCTCATCGATAACAAAAATTACATAAGGACTAGATGACATATACCCTTCACCTTGCTCCTCAGCCTGCTCAACAATCTGGAGACAATCCTGAACCCCCTTGAATTCATATTTTGGAGTAGAAGAGAGAATGTCTGTATAGGACATGATGGTGATAAACCAAGTGATAGCCTTAAGGTAGGGAAATTTAGGTGTGAGTGAGGTGCATGTATAAACTGAGTGACAAAAAGATGACAAAATGAGATCATCATTTAGCTCATATGTCCACTACCTAGGTACAAATTGTTGTGCCTATTATATAACCTCACTTCATCTCTTAATTCTCTTGGATAGCTCTCATATTGGCGTCATGCGTTTGAAAGGTCAAGTTCTTTTGGAGACCAGACCAGCAAAACAACTAGCGCCTACGCTCCTAGGGGTGAAAATCCAAGGTTCAAAGGCATTTCTTTATTCTACCATCTATGAAGCTGACAAGGAAAATAAAAAATCCATTGAAGAAAGACTTCTAAAAAAATCAACTGGAAAGATCACCAAAAAGGCGTCCCAAGCGCGGCCGACTATTCTTGTTCCATTAAATAGACGTACATAATTAGGCACCACGGAATAAATCCATTCTAACAAGAGATTAGCTATATGAATGATGAACTTATTTTGTCATTCTTGCCACTAAAGGAACAAACTCAAGCCTACAATTTCAATATATCTATAAGGGGTATACCATCTCTTACACTCAAGCTTCGTCTAACTTAGTTCATTACCGGCATCATGTCTTACGAAGATGTTCTTCCTTCTACGACCCCAAAATACGAGTTTAAGGGAATCCAGGATTGTCTCCAGATTCTAGAGCGGCCTGGGGAACAACATGAAGCGGGTATGGACTCATACATTATCTTTAACATTGATGAGCGTTCCTTCCTTGATTACATTCAGAATTCCGACGAAAGCCTACTGAGAAAATCTTGGAAGTTCTACGATCCTTCACTCAATCTTCTTGTCGTTAAAGCCATGGAGTCTACAACCCACGGAGCAGCACAGGGAGCCTTTGAAAAAATCTTTGAAGCTTGGACAGGGTTCGATGAAAACTATCCACTTCTTGCTACAAGAAACGCGACCTTCCGCGGTGCTTCGGGCAGAAACAAACGCCCAGATTCTGCCTGGCAACCATTACATGCTGCATCGGGGAGATCCTCACATTGGCCTACTATAGTGTTGGAGGTAGCGTGTTCCGAGAGTCGGAGAAAGATAGAACGAGACATAAAGTTCTGGTTAACTGAGTCTAACGACCAGGTGAACATTGCGCTGACAATGAGGATTTACAACCGCGGCAGAATATCTGTGGAGGAATGGAGGGGAAGAGGCCCAAATCGACCCCCAATCCCATGCCAACGAATTGATATCGTGCGGGATGCCGGCCTAAATGGCTCCAGGGTGCAAGGCAGCTTTCGCCTGTCCTACGAAGATATCCATCTTAGAGAGAGGCCGCAAAAGGCAACGGATTTCACCCTGACTGCCGGCAACATGGAATACATTGCAAAGGCAGTTTGGGAGTTTCAGTTTGCCTAAACCGAGATCTGGAGAAACTCTTTTCCGCATCCTTTCACCTCCACCTACACATCCTCCATCGTCTTTTTATCTCTTAGTCTTCTCACACTTGCTACCTCCCAGGTAGCCCTCATACTGTCGCCATGCCTTTAAAGATCAAATTCTCAAGGAGGCCGGACCCCCCTCCAGCTGAAGAACCAGCACCTGTACCTGCACCTGTGCCTGCGCCTGCGCCCCCAGTGGCCGAAACTCCTCAACCCCCGCGCAAAATCACACTTAAGATCGCACGAAAACCCCAACCCGGGCTGAGTGAAGAAAAATCTAAGAAAAAAAAATCGACCAAGAAGCGACCGGCCGAAAGTCTTGCGCTGCCCGAGCCTGAACCCGAACCCGAGACGAGCCAACAAGGACCTAAGCGAATAAAGCTCATCCCATCCAAGAAACCAGCCTTACAGTCCATCCGCATCAAAAACAAGGGAATTGTTCCCAACCGACCGGTGGGCGTTGGGTACGACTCTGAAGCCTCGGATACTGAAAATGATCCTGCTATCGAAGAACAATTTATCCTACGAATGCTCCCAGGAGAAGACTGCGATATTGTGAGGAAATCAATCAGCGATAGGACATTCAAGACTGGTGAGGTCGGGCTTAAAGCCCTCACACGTGAGGGTCGGCGCTCTATCTTGAATGTTCGGGGTCGCCAATATGCGGCAGCCTTAGTGGATTTACCTTGCATTATCGAGGGCATGAAAAGTTGGGACCGACGAGGGTGGTACAAGTCAGCAGATATCTGTCAAATGCTCTTGGTGCTGGGACGCGTTAACAGTGACCAAGAAGCGATGGAATACCCACTTCCCCCGGGCGTTGATTCCCCCGATGAAAAGACACTTCAATATGCACACGGTATTGCACCACCCCTCCGCTGGGTTCGCAAGCGGCGATTCCGCGACCGTGTCAGTACTCGCACAATCGAACAAGTTGAAAAGGCTGTTGAGGAACTCATGGCCCAGGATGAAACCTCGATTTTCCCTCCCAAGTTCGAGTTAGTGGACAGCACATCCCTGAATCGTGTCGAGGGCTTGGTGCAATCCGGAGAATACGAGGATGAATACGATGATGAGCAGGATGCATACGGTGAAGCGGAAGAAGAGATGATGGACGACTTCGAGGACGCCCTTGCTGCTGAGATGGAAGCCGCACTTGCTGCTGGCGATGATGAGGCACCGGGTCCTGGACCAGAGCAGGTGGATACTCCGTCTATGCAACCTTTCACACCCGCTGGAGGACCTACCGAACGTGGCGATACTTCTGGCGATGAAAGCAATATCTCCGACGAGGACGAAGATGAGCTGGATGACGATCAAATCGAGCAGCAGCAACAGCTTCAACAACAGCGCGAGGAAGTCGCAGAGCTGGAAGCCCTCATCCGAACTGAAACTGCACAGTGGGAGAAGGTGCAGAATCATATTTTGCGCAACAAGATGGGCCGACGTATCCAGGAACTGAAGAAGGATTTGCAACTGAAGAAGGTCTCCATGGGTATGCCAGCTGGGGACGATATCTGATCCCCTATGCTCTCCTTGTTCAATTTTTTAATGGTGGGATTTTTCGGCGTTTTCATTTCAATATTCATACCCAATTTGTCTGACCGAGGAGCGAGTCAGGTTTCCATGTTGACACAAGCAGCGCTTAGCTAGCTCGAAATACTTAATGAAAGTTATGTCCCAATACCCCAACCACATGTAAGACACTTTTTTAATGCTACTCCAAGATCAAATCCGAATACATTTTGAGACACACTTTTCTTGCCTATTTACCCACAACTGGATCACCAGTAACCTGTTTAACCGCTCTTTCCACATCGAACTTCTCATCCCGCTCCAACCTACCTCGTCTAGCAGCCTTACCTTCCCCCTCAGGCTCAGCTGGACTTCCCTTAACCCTCTCATCAAGAATCCGATCATGTTCAACCTTCTTCGCCCCCAGATTCGCCGTCAGGTCATCCGCTTCCCCGAAACCAGGGTGACCAGGCCCACCCGCACTCCCAACAGGACCAGCATGAGCACCAGCCTGTGCGCGCTGAGCCTCCCTCCCCTTACGCTGAACAGTATCCGCAATATACCCCTCCGCAGGCTGCTGCTCCACGCCGTATTCTAGATCGACGTCGGGTGCATTGTGCAGCTCTTGTTCATGTTTCCGGTGCTGCGCACTCAGACGAGTTCGTTCTTCATCGCTCGAGGGTTTTGACTCGGCTGTGCGTTTAATTGCTCCGATTGTATCACCGTGGTGTCGACTCGGTTCGGTGGTTACTCGTTGCTCTTGTGGCATCTGTGAGACGGGATTCGAGGATTGGGCGTAGGCGGCTTGCTTTGGAGGCTGGGGGGGTTGGTCTTGTGTCTGCGAGCGGGTCTGCATTGTTATAGATGTGGGTGAAATAAATTTACATTCCAGGGTTATAATGAGAATATGTTCAAGAGAACAAGAAGTGCATTTCAATGGCTGACGAAAGTGACAGCTGGGTACCCACATATGACGTCAGTGGCCTGGACCAATGGGAGTAGAGTGAGAGTCCAATGCCCATGTGAGTTTGGAAACCTGACTGCGTATGTTGTACAATTTGGACCTTGGAGGGTACCTTCAGTCTATGGGAAATCTTCTTGGTGCACTAACAAGAACTCCGCAATTCGTACTTTGTCAAGACCCATCAAGCCTAGCGAAATGTCCACTTTCCAAGTGAACGGCCAACACCTCTTTCCGCATGGCCTGCCATGATGACCCAGACTGCTGGGAGATCGAATGCCCTCATCGATAATATGCCATTCCGTCTATCCCCGCTCAAATGGCATAACCATCTGATTTTAGTTCAACCCGCAGTAATTCGAACTAATCAACCCCATCAATGGGGCCCGGGAGGATGTCACTCAACCCACCGAACGCCCTAACCCAGTTCAACGTCCAAGGGTGAATTAGGGTAACTCTATTCGACTCCACAGTCTGCCCACTCGCTTACAGCTTACTCGCGATGTTCTTCTCTCTACTTTTCACCTCGCACAGAAACAGAACACCCATATCTCCTCCATGGCTAAACAATCCTTCTATCTGCCTCGCGGCTCACAGATCCTCGTGACCGGAGCCAACGGCTTCATTGGAAGTAATGTCATCCACGGTCTGCTTGAACTAGGGTTCCGAGTGCGCGGGACTGTCCGGTCTCCGAAGCCATGGCTCGATGAGATGTTCCGAGACAGGTTCGGGCGGGACTCATATGAGTCTGTAATTCTTGCTAACTTTGAGGACGTGGAAACTCTATACAAGGTGATGGATGGTGTATCCGGGGTGGCACATGTGGTACGTGTTTGCTAGTCGAAACGAGACTACTAGGACGAGAATATGTGCTAACGAGATTGGGATGTATAGGCATCCGATGTTACCTTGAACTCAAATCCGGAAGAGGTCGTGCCGTGGGTAGTGAGAGCCACTCATAATGTGCTGGAGGCTGCTTCAAGACATTCGGATATCAAACGGGTTGTCTTGACCTCTTCTGCGGTCGCGGTGTTGTTTGCGGAGCCGAATAAAGAGGGCATTGTTGTTCGTGAGGGTGAGAGACAAGTTCCTAGAGAAAGCAAGGGAAGAATGTATTGGCTGACACTGGATCTAGATTCCTGGAATGACGAAGCTGTCGAGCAAGCCTATAACCCGGACACTCCAGAGCATATGAAGGGCATGTTCAGCTATGCTGCCTCCAAGACCGAGGGAGAGAAAGCTGCATGGAGATGGATGGAGAAGAACAAGCCGAACTTCCAATTCAATACCGTGTTGCCTTTTTTTACCGTGAGTTCTGGGATAACAGCCCATTCGAAAGGTATGACATTGACTCGGGATAGATCGGGAGAATCCTACACGAAAATATCCCTGGCTCGACATCGGGCTGGGTCTCGGGCCTGGCAAAGGGAGATAAACGAATCTTCGAGGTCTTTGTGCCGCGTAAGTGGACACTGCTGTTAGAATGGTTGATCGAGGCTGACATGCAAAAACAGAATATTTCTGTGATGTCATTGATATTGCACGTCTCCATGCAGCAGCCCTCCTCGACCCTAATACGATCTCTCGGCGACTCTTCGGGTATGCTGCTCCCGTGAACCTTACTGATATAATCTCAATTGTTCGGAAGCTCCTACCTAATAATTCTTTGATTCCTGACCCTCCCGTTGACGACGGACGTGATCGGAGTGAAGTTATCCCCGCCAAGGAAGCAGAAAGGCTCCTGCGGGAATTCTGTGGGCGGAAAGGGTGGACTTCGTTGGAGGATAGCATTGCACAGGGACTTGAGGTATCCCGAAAAAGGTTGTCTTCGTTGTAAGATTCTGTCTGTCTATCACCTGATAGACCTATCAAACTGGCAAGGACATGTCCATGAACACGCTATGACTACTTTTCGAGTTTCAGTTGAGCGTCTCATTCTATTTTCTCCGAGCCCTTTCGACGAACTGCCTTGTTAATTTGAACATCGTATGGGAAGATCAACATTGAAGTTACTATAGTAACTTCACGACTGCTCTTCCCGTGATACCATCTTCCCTCAGCTTCTCTATCAAAGTCGACATAGCCGAGTAACCAAAAGCTTTGATCGATGGCGCTATCTGGCCAAGAGCTGCCGCTTGCAGTAAGTTGGCCATTTGAGCTTCGGTGCCCACCGACGACTATATGTAAACGCTTACCATAGACCGGTGCAAAGTTAGTTTAACGAGAACTTCGTTTGGCCCCGGCGTTGCGATTGGTATGTCATTTCGAAGACAGACAGTTACCCTTTCTCCTGGATTTTTGCACCACGGCAGCTTGTTGTAGAGTGGATGTGTAAGTTGCCATTGACACGAGCAGGCTCAGATGACTTTTAGTGTTGAGGGTTGAATTCGACATTCCCCATGGTCAACTAACACTTTGCCGAAAGTGGTCAGGAAAATGGAAAGAGAACATCCCATATTCTAAGAGCGTCCAGTCATTACGTTTGATGGAAATATCAGACTAAATGTTCATGCAATTTGATTTTCACGATCCGGTTGATCCTCTGAGATGTTCTATAGTTCTGCCTTCAACCCCTCATCCTGGATTTTAAGGACCCACCACGCCCAACGCCATCCCCCGCAGTAACTAACTAGTAGTTAGCTAGGTTGCAAAGATTGACTTGTCTACACAGGCAGCATCACCTCACTCTTCTGCTGGCATAGTACATAGTACTGTCTGATTTAGATGGTACATACGACCACAGGGTGTGGAAAACAGGGCTTCCCGTCCGCTCAGCCGTACTTAAGCCACACGCCGGTGAGTTAGTAGTTGGGTGGGTGACCACCAGCGAATCCTCACTGTTGTATGTTATTTTTGTCTGTGAATTATATCCATGTCCTTTTTTTGTAAGTGTCGGCAAAGGGACATTGATCACAATGCGAGAGCCACGAACGGGCAAAGTCAATGCCATCTATTGCTTTTCCGTCCCCCCTCTGAGTTTTCCTCTCTTCTCTCCCGGAAAAATCTCATCGAACATGCATGTTTTTGTTCCTCAACTCACTTCAAATGGCATGTGTCATCACGTGATGGCATCAATGCGGCCGGCATGTGATGGCGCCGAGGTCTGATTAGTGTTCGTTTGGCCGATCACATCTATAAAGGGCATCCCGTTTTCTGAACCACGTTCTTGTTCCAAATAATCCTATCATGACAACTCTTTTCACTGTACCCATCAGCTCCACTAGAGGCTCGATCATATGCACAAACCCTAGCACGGCGAAAGAACATGAAACCATCTATGTGCTCACCTTTAGTTCACCCCCAGACAACCGACTGACACCCGTTTTCATTGATGCTCTGCTGCTCACCCTCGACATTATCGAGCATCGTTACCCCAAGGGTGTTGTAGTGACAACTAGTGGAATTGCCAAGTTCTACAGCAATGGGCTTGATCTCGATCTTGCCCAGAAAACAAAAGGCTTCCTTGAGAACTGGTTGTGGCGATTGTTCCGACGCCTTTTGACGTACGTTTTTGTTTCACGTCCTGATACGAGGATAGAGTCCAGTATACAAGATTTTCAAAATAACAATAGACGAACAAAGAAATACTGACATCCGTCCTAGATACCCCATGCCAACTGTGTGTCTACTTAACGGACACGCCTTTGCTGGCGGCTTCATGTTGGCCATGTACCATGACTACCGAATCATGAACCCAGACCGTGGTTTCCTCTGCGTCAATGAGCTGGAATTCGGCGTCCCGCTTCAGACGCCAATGATGGCTATCTTTCGCGAGAAGCTGACACCAGTCAGTTTCCGAAGTGTGGTTCTAGAAGCTCATCGCTTTGGTGGAAGCAATGCCCTTCAGGCTGGTATCGTCGATGCCGTCGGTGGAGCCGAGGAGACGCTTGCACTGATCCAGACCCGCAAGCTTCAGACTAAAGCCGCGACAGGTATCTACGGTACCATGAGAGAGGAGATGTACTCTCGGGTGTTGAGCGGACTGGATGATCATGCTGGGAACTTGCAGTGGCGCGAGAAAGTTGAAGATAAGAACCAAGCTGTTGAAGAAAGCGGGTTGGGCTCTGTGCAGGAGTTTGAGAAGAATGGGAAAGCAAAGCTTTAAAGTTTGTTGAATTTGGAGATACTTGGACCCTTTGTTGACATCAAACTGGAATGAGTACATATAGCTATCCTTGGTTCAATCAATTAGACTAACAACTCGCCCTATTATGTCAATTTCATACTCCTAAGAAGCTGGAAATAAGACCCGTAGCCCAATCAAAGAAGGCGATAACTATATTATTGTGTAGAGCTTGGAATTATTAAATCTGTAGGGCCAGCTAGAGCCATAGTACGTGCTATCATCTAAACCTACCACAGAAGAGTTATTGGACACAAGCCAGTGTCTATGTCTCTGGGTTGAAGAAAAATTTCACGCGTGTTGATCTATCCGTTTGCAGATAATCTAGCTTTGAGGTTGCTTTAGACGACGCTCGGAGCTTGTGATTGGTACTCCTATACATGACCAACATGACGCTACTATCAAAAGCATGTACTCAAGCTTCTCATGTAGTTTTCACTCGATACCAACTCATCATGTGCTTAGATTGATCTGTCCTTCTGTAATTCCAATTCTCAAAAACACGACAGCACAGATTGTTCTATCACAATCGCCTTATGAAACTTTGAGTTTTTGATCACTAGTGTCTTAAATCCTGTATCTTTTTTTAGTTCATTGATAAATTGGCTTGCCGGCGGTTATGCAATATCAATGAGAAACGAACTGATCCCAGTTTCCTCCTGACAATCTATTGAAGCCGACATTCGTAGGATGCTCTTCCTGTCAGTAGAGTTGCTAGTAGATCTGGCCATCGCTCCTTCCGTCTGGGGGGAATCTATTGGTATCATCATAATTGAAAATGCCATCGAAATCGGGAGCATCAACATGTCGTCAATAGCTTATGGCACCTCTGAGACTTCTGTCCATTTTTTCACATCTCTTTCCCTAAGAACTAAACAATGTTTGACTTTTTTATACCTTTCAAGTGCTGAGCTATTTTTCCAAGGATTTAGCCTTGGGATTCGAGATTTTCAGGCCTGCCAGAATTGATTTCCTTCATACTCTCACTCAGCCTGAGAATCACTCCACTTGACACCCTCTAAATCACCACCTTCACTAGTCTAAGCTCACAACATCAAGGCATCCCACCAACTCTTACAGTAATGGAGAAGCAACACCCTGTCCCACTCTCCTCTGAGGAGATTTTGGCCCTCAATCGCTCTGAGGGCCTTGCCGATTACGAGGGCTGGAGACAAGCCGTAGCACAGTTCAACCAGCAGGGTGGTAAGCACACAGCTACCACCACCAGGGCCACAACTAGCCCTGGGATCCCCCTCGGTGAGAGCGTCTTGACCTCAAAGACTGCCACTCCACCTGGTGCCCCAACCGTAGGATACATTTCCGGTTCATCTCTCTGTGGCCTTTACTGACTCGAGTATCTTAGATTAATCTGAGCCAGCCCCCCGTTAACGCAGCTGGGGAAAACCACATACTCTCAACATGCAAGTCTGATGACCCCAGCGCAAAGGAAAGGCTCAGGGAGAACACCAAGCGCCTTGTAGACTCCGGTGTTGCTAAGAAGCTGAGCATCGACCGCACCGTTGGTTCCTCTATCTTCGAGAGAACCGAGATCCCAGATTTTTTTGATGCCGATACCAATACCGAGGCCAAGCAAAAGCGTGCGCAGGCCGCCCATGCGCTCTACTTGGACGCAATTGCAGCAGTCGACAAAATCATTGAAAAGCGTTCTTAAAAGGCCTGGACGCACAAGCCTTCTGTTTTTACTCTTCGCATTTATTCTCCCGGTGAGGATGGTGAGATCGTCTCGGCTGGGAACTCTGCGTACGATGTCTTTCTTACCTTTTGTGAAGTCGGTGAAGATCGTCATCCCATTTGATATTCTTCAGACTCCTGACAACGATTTTTAATCCGAATCACTGCTGATAAATTTGTAGAGTTGCTGGGGTATATCGATCTGATGTGGGTAAATTTTCTCATTCCTGTAGACACTTTATAAAGATCGACAGTATTCTCGGTGATTGCAGCGCGTCTTCAATTTAAACTTTTATAGTTTCCGTGTGGGGCAACGGGATGTATTCGTGCATTGCGGAGTCTCGATTGGGTTTGGTGTGGACTTGAATCTACGAGTCAGTTCTACAAGGCCCACTGAATTCATTCTACAACAAGTCATCTCTATACATAAAAGGTTAAAGTTTTACGTTTCATACCTACTGCACTATCTCGCTACATTGTCGCATAATTCACATTCCCCGCACATGAACGTTTCTTTTTTATCTCAACTACGAACATCCATACCTCTTCAACAGCACTGCCCTATATATTTAGCAATGGTTTCAAATCCTTACAGGGCTATCCAAGCGAAGCAAGCCCCAAGTACATTCACAGTGTACCAAGCCTATTCCCCCGACATAGCCGAACCAGCACTCAAAGCCCAAGCATTCGTCCCACCATTCTCGCGAGAAAGAATGACATGGATCAAGCCCTCTTTCCTATGGCTGGCATACCGATCAGGCTGGGCAACAAAGTCCCAACAAGAACCCATCCTGGCGATAGAAATCACTCGTGAGGGATTCGAATGGGCATTGCGCCACTCCTGTTTGAGTCGATATAGGCCGGATGTGGAGGCAAGCCAGGAGGAGTGGCAGAAGAAACTGCGTACCAGACCAGTGCGCATTCTATGGGATCCCGAGCGGGATCTATTAATGCGGTCTTTGAGTTATCGAAGTATTCAGATTGGGTTGCGTGGGGGAGGCCGTTGGGAAAGACGTTGATAAGTGGATTGTTTCGGTTGTTGATGTGACTGCTACTATGAAGCAGATTGATGGATATCTTAAGACCGGACATGTTTAAGCTGCTAGGGCTTGTCTGCCTGAGGAAACTCCGTTTGTTTTGCCTGAAGATTCGCTGGGGTATCTTGGGATGAAACAAGTCATGAGAATTCTATCGTTCGTCTGTCTGGCGACCGACTGAAGCCCAGGGGCCTTTCTTGTATTTGCAACCGAAGATGCGTCTTATATCGTATCCACAGATGGAGGAAGTTGTATTTGTCCTAGATCATCAAGTTTCTGAATATTTGCTCAAGGCTCTTGATGGCTAGGGACTCTCAAGACGGCTGCCTTGACTGGATCTCAAATTCTGCTCAACACTTAGCGGTCTGGTTCAGGAGGTGCCCATATCAAATACCCCACACCACAGCCTATGCCTGCTTCGAATTTGTCCTCTTATGCTTTCTACGGCTTAAACGCATCGGCGATCTTGCCCCTCCACTTCTCTGCTTCTTCCTACATGTCATGCGCAGATCCAGTGGTGTTCATCGTAGGTAGTTTCAAACTCCTTGGTTACCACTCTTTGTCTAGTGAAACATAAAATAGGAAGAGGAGGGGGGCCTTGAAGTGAATTATCATAGCCCGTACCTACTAGATGCTCAATGCAGATTTTATTGCACACTTTGACGTCTATATTTAAAAAGACTTTGCAACAGGACGTGAAAAGCAAGTCTCAGTTCACAGCCCCTAGTAGGCAGTGGTTGGGGCACAGGAAAGATCTTTGAAGGAATAAACAAATGAGGTATCTATCTTTTTTCTCCTTTTCGATTTGTCAGTATAGTGTGCAAAACATAGCGCCAAATACCCAGGAAACCATGAGAAATCGTCAATTAGACATGGAAGTCCAGTTCTGTTCATAAATAGTAAAGTACATAACTTCATAAAACTCCATAATCCCATAATCATGACTTTACAAGCTTAAGTCTTTTTCACCTTGCCTGGACGGCCGAGTCTGGAGGGCCCGTCCAACTGATCTACCAACGGCCGATACGGCGACGCCAGCACATGTTCTGGCGCACGCCCTCGGCCGGGCTCCCCAGAGCTCGGTCGATGTAATTGCTCCTCGTGCAAGCGATCCAGCGGTTCTCCAACGACCTGATATTTGGCCCAGTTGATTGGGGGCATACGGACGATATTCTGCGGAACGGGAATATGGCCAAAATTCGACGTTTGTAAGCCATCTGGGTTCGTGCGTTTTGAGCCTTCTTCATTCTTCTCGTCGTCACCCGCATCGTCCTCGGAGAACTGGATCACAGTACCACGGTCCTTGGTCTTCAACCGACCTGCTGCCAACTCATGCGCGAACCCCTCAGGATCAGCAGCGGCGGCCTCTTTCATGCGATCTAAAGCCTGGATGTCGCGCAAGCTCTGCTGCTTCTGCATTTGCAGGATCGAGATGGCGGAACGGAGCGCGATGGCATCTGGATTCTCACTCTCGGAGATAGGGACAGGGGACGGTCGGGGTTTAAAGACAGGAGGGTTGGTTATAGGAGGCGGGACGTTTGAGTAGTTGTCATATGTCTGCGAAGGGAGGTGTGATGTTGGAGAGGGAGATGCAGCTGGCGGCACGATTGGTGGCTCGTTGGAGGCGACTGGCGCGAGGTGAGCAAACACGGGCGTCACCGGAGAATAAGGCGGACGAGGTGGAGTCCCCGGTTGATCTGGAATTGGGGGTTCAGTCCCTTGTCGCTGCATGATGAGATTCGACAAAGTTGAGGACCAAGCAAGTCTGGACTAAGTGGGGAGACAATCGAGGTCTTTCCGGCGATAAGGCGGGAAGGGAAATGCGGGCGATGACGACAGCGGTTCCTGGATTTGCCGCAGTCACAGGTGCAATGGCTTTGATCAAAACAAAGACTGTGGGTTATAAGGATCTTTTGCAATTTCAGATCTGAAAGATCAAGACTTACGTGCAGGAACTAGGCTGCTGTAAGATTGGGATGAGCGTATCGGCGATGCGCCACTCATCTACGAACAGAGACCAACCCTCCTGGATCCAGGTGTTTGAAATGCAAGATTAGTTGGGATAGAAACCACTTAAGCTAAATGTGTAATAACATCTGAATCAAAATAAGCTAAACTTCAGAAGTGAACCGTGATCTTGTATCTTCAGAGCAAGAATGCAGTTGACCGCCTCATCGTGCGCCCTCACCGCCCGGAAAAATCTATGAAACATCAGACCACTCGCTGATGAAGCTCTCAATCCTCTAAAAATCTCAAAAATGAAACGCAAGACAGATACGAGGGCCTCTCTTGATGGCAATGCTATGCCCCAGTCCAAGAAACGGGCTCTCTCCAGCGAGGAGGCTGCTGCCCGCTTTCGCGACGGCCTTTTCGACACCGCGGAGCAGCAGAAGTACACCAACGAGTACGCCAAGTCGTCTCCGTATGTGTGCACAGGAAAAAATCCAATTAAAAAAAACTTCTGACATTTCTGCATCTCTAGCTATCTCCACGGCGTCATTCACCCTCTGATTGAGCCCAACCTCCTCCGCGCCGTCCGAAATGAGATCGAAACCCAAGTGTCCTTCACCGAGAAGGAAACAGATATCTACAAGATCTTCCAGTCTGGTGATCTCGCCAATCTCGATGGACTGGATGACTCCTCCCTCTCAAAGCTGCCGTCACTATTGAAGCTGCGCGACGCAATGTACTCAGCACGGTTCCGCGAGTACTTGTCCTCCGTGACTGGCTCCGGCAAGCTGAGCGGGCAAAAGACCGACATGGCCATCAACGTCTACACCGAGGGCTGCCACCTCCTTTGCCACGACGATGTCATCGGCAGCCGCCGCGTCAGCTACATCCTCTACCTGACCGACCCTGATACACCCTGGCAAGCCGAGTGGGGCGGTGCCCTGCGCCTGTTCCCGACAACGACCCAGAAGGACGCCAAAGGCGAGGACGTCAAAATCCCCAGCCCGGACCACAGCCTCTCTATCCCTCCTGCCTTCAACCAATTGAGCTTCTTCACCGTCCAACCGGGCGAGAGCTTCCACGATGTCGAGGAAGTGTACCACCCACGTGAAGGCGAAGACAAGACTAAGAAGCGCGTGCGCATGGCGATCAGCGGCTGGTTCCACATCCCGCAAGAAGGCGAAGACGGCTACGAAGAGGGACTGGAAGAGAAGCTCGCCGAGCGCAGCAGTCTGGCTCAGTTGCAGGGCCGCGGCGATATTTACGACCTGCCGCAGCCGCAGCCAGTGTCCTGGGAGGAGCCCGAAGTCGAAGGCAAGGGCAAGGACAAGGTGGAAGAGCAGACCGAGGGCGAGTTCACAGAGAGCGACCTAGCCTTCCTACTTCAATACATTGCGCCTTCGTACCTGACACCCGATATCGCTGAGGAGATGTCAGATGCGTTCTCGGCCGAGTCTTCACTCAGCCTGGAGCGGTTCCTGAGTGATAAGTTTGGATCGCGCGTGAGCGCTTACATCGAGGAGCAGGAGAGACAACCTCTTCCTGCTTCTGCTGAAGAGATCCATGCACGGCGCGGGTGGACTGTTGCTCGTCCTCCGCACAAGCATCGTTATCTCTACCAGCATGCTTCCGGTGAGAAGGATACCGATAACCCGATTCAGGAGCTGTTGAATGTGCTGTTCCCGTCGCAGCCTTTCCGGAAGTGGCTTGGTCTTGTTACTGGTGTGGACCACCTCACGAGCTACAATTTGCTTGCGAGACGGTTCCGTCGCGGTGCGGACTATACTCTTGCTAGTGCGTACGAAGGCGAGGAGCCTCGACTCGAGTTCTCGCTCTGCCTTACCCCGAGCACGGGATGGGAGAAGCAGGAGGAGGAAGACGAGGATGAGGATGAGAATGAAGATGAAGCAGCCAACGGCTCGTCTACCAAAGAATCCAAGCCAAAGGAGAAGACAAGCGACGACGCTGTGGAAGGTCCTGCTCTAGGCGGTTATGAGATCTACATGGCTGGTGATGAGGATGAAGATGATGACGAGGAGGATGCCGAAAATGCTGACCAAGTCTTGGGCCGGAAGAAGACCAAGGCCGATCCGGCTGTCTACCGGTCTGCGGGTGCAGATGAGGACGACGGTATTCTGTTCAGCACCCAAGCAGGATGGAACCGGCTCAGTATTGTGCTACGAGATAGCGGCACTCTCAAGTTCGTCAAGTATGTCAGTGCTGCAGCTAAGGGTGATCGCTGGGATATCACTGGTGAGATTGGGGTTGAGTTTGAGGAGAATGATGAAGATGAAGAAGAAGGCGATGGAGATGAGGATGAGGGTGAAGAGTAAATCTTAATCACGATGGCAGCATGACTGCAGTGCAGAAATTTCCCCAAAAGAAACATTTGTAGATATAGATATGGCGCAAATACGACTTGAATTGACTTGATGATATAAAGAGATTGCATACCTTATGATTCCTGGCGAGACCTTGCCCCTTTCTCAACACTCACGCTGCTTTTCATCTATAAGATCTCAGACCATATAAATCTTCTGAACACAATGTCGGAAAAAGACTTGGAGAATAACCTAGGTGAAACACCTATGCTTCCAGTGGCCAAAAATGCGTTCATCTCTGTCGTCAAGGTCCTGCTTAGCGGGTCGATGTCTCTCATAGAAAACGACAACACAGTTAGTTACCTTGGCTCTCCAGAATAGTAGGTTAGGGAAAATACTTCCTGATAGTTGCTCTCCTTGAATCCAAAAACGGTGTTATGACCTGTCTCCGCAAGTTCTTGCCGCCGGTTTGTAATAGCAGAGGAAGCTCATGCATTTTCACTTAGTCGAAGAATAATGGCCGGATGCTCAACCCCTCATCTAGTTCTAGCCCCATTGCGTCGCTTGTTGACAGAGGAGTCGCTGCCCGATCTAATGAAGGGAACATGGAGGTGTACAGTACCGCCTTCGAAGTGATGACCATCATATCATTATCATGATTTCTACGTTAAATTTCTCGTTCCTTGGCAAGGCTAGCCATCAAATACCGTAAGTAGTAAAGCTAGGTACGGAGTGATTAGATGGATTCCTCAGATGTGATCGCAACAACTTGATGTCCTCGGACATTATTTTGGAAACAGATCATAGTGCGAAGACTGTTCAATACTGACATTACATGACCACTTAGGCTAGATCGAGGATGATCATGATTTACAACATACAGTCATCGAACCCACTCTAATTTAATTCAAACTTGGAGGCTATTTTGAAGTGGGCAAGCTAGTATAGAGCTGGGACCAGGACGGGATGTCATTACAACGCTATCTTTGTGAAAGCACCCCAGCATTTTTCTTGAAATTGTGGATCGGACATTGAGCAACACGGTGACTATAATGAATTAATTTCCTGGTCACCGGATGGAAATTTAGTTGCGATGAGGTCAGGAACACGAACTGATGACACGGTTCGAATCCTGGACACCGCACTGGAGATCTCATATCTATCTTTGGATTACATCCCTCATGTGGATTGACACTTGCCTAGTCACCAGATGGAAGATTTACTGCGTCAGATGGGAGAGCAAGTTATAATTCGTGATCCCAGCAGCCAAAAGCCCAGATTAATGTTCCAATAAAAAATTCGCCGGACATGTGAGGGGAAAGAATCGCCTGGTCACAAAATAAAACTTGGCTTGCATCCACAGTATTTCATGATTGTTAAATCTAGAAGCCCGGAACTAGCACATTGATGATCCCCGATACCCGGGATACTACGTCGATTGCCTAGTCCCACAAAAGCTACCAGCTCGCATCCGGGTCATACAGTGGACAAGTGCAGATCTGTGACCCAGTCACTAGAGAGTACAGATCAAGTTTCGAGGGCCATGTCGAACGAGTCAATTGCTTGTGCTGGTTGCAGAGTGGAAGACCAGCATCAGGGTCATATGATTAAAGAGTCAGAATCTTGGATCTGGAGACCGGACAAGGTACAGCAGTCCTTGGTGAGAGTCATGTTGAAGTCATATCTATTTCTGGTCTTTGGATGGAAGTTGGCTCGTGTTGTAGGCCAATAGACTTGTAAAAAGCCCTTTCAAGGTCAGGTACTATGCTACCACGGTCTGGGACTCTGCCACTGGAGAATGAATCTCATCGATGGATTTTGAGTTGCCCAACATGCAACCTTCTAATACTCTGCTCATGGAGAACATTCTGATTTTCTCAAATTTGGTAAAACAAAAAAGACCCCAAATCGGCTGCATCCTATTGCGGACACATTCGATTTGAAAAGTGATATTCTCGTTTGGATCTCCTCTGCCAATCTAACCCCTGCCATGGAAGAAGCAGACGTGATATGGCATGAGTAATGACCTGACCAGGATTACATGTCGAGGAGAAAACCTCAGATAGCTGCCCTCGGACTATCACCCGGTCGTTCGACCTTTGCTTCATACATGCAGTACAGGGGCAGGAGTTCATTTGGGAATAGGTTGCTCATCGGGCCATGCTATGACATTGATGCTCTCTCATCCCATTGAAATCCCAAGCTGCGATTCTAGTGGCATTGTTGTATGAGACGAGCTGGCCAGTGTCGTAAAAACTATTTATTTTTATCTTATCACGCCATTCTCAATTCCCCCAAGGGTGACAAGACTGGGCTTGTAGGTTGTATTGCCCTTGCTGATAGGCTGTTAGGCCATAAATTTTCCACAAAAGTATCTGGGCATATCCAACAAATTTGTTGAGTTCAATCCAATCTACGTACGATGAATCTCAAACACCAGATCTCCGCATCAGCACCTAGCAGCAGGGCCAAATCTCAACCAGTTTTACAAGAACCCACTGACATCATGCAATATAACCCCGTAACAAGACACGCGGGACGATCCCATGAGCCGGCGCGAACTGAAACAAGCACATGGCGGGATACGTGTTAGACGAAACGATCTGAGACAAGAGATAAATGGGTATTAATTAGGGACGATTAACGATCGTTTCGATACATGAAAAAACAAACAACACAATAATTACAGCCAATCTTGGAAGTGGAGGGGGCGGGGAGGGGGGGGGGGGGAATATTGAAAAAAAATTGGATGTAAACATAAAATCCAAAATCGTGACCACAAGGGTAGGTACACAAGTGGAGTCGAGTCTCTCAGCCATCTCCAACATTGTGTGGTATTGTGTCGTAGTGCACATGTTCGATGCATGTACGGAGCATGCACTCCGTACCTAGAGGAAAGAGCTACACATGGCGCAGAACAGATCCACATATCCGCATTTCCAGTAAGGAGTGCACCAGGGAAGCAGCTACGATTCCCCATGGAATTCTCGAGATGCAAGACAAGACCTGTTGGGGACGGTATGGCAACTCTTCTCCACCAGAACAATTCAACGCCTCTTCCTACAGGGCCTTTTGACATCCGACACGCGATAGCAGCTAAACAGAGAATGAGAACAGGATGGATCCGCGGTGGAGTTTTGGCAGGCAAGGGGTGTGCCACGATGATTTCAAGGAAGGGAGATCGTGGAATGATCTGCCAATCATACCTGGTCATCGGGGAAGATGCGAGGTACATTTGGTGGGATCATGCAGACATGGTCCGAAGGATGTCCGAAGCCTAAGCCTTCTGATATGATATTAAGTACCGTGGATTGTGGGGGGTTCTTGACTGGGGTATTCTGATGTGGTGGTTAGTTGAGGCAGCGGGAACCTCGCCTTCGACCGACGGTTAGGCCGAGGGGGGGGTTTTTTTTTTAAAAAACTTCAGTCAAATTTTTATTCGCCAGGCTTGCGGACAACCGTTGGGGCGTGCCGTTGATCTTTTCCTATATTAGTAGACAGAGTGAGCGGCCATGTTCCAGATTAGTGACCTCATCCGGAGGGGTTCACCAGAGTGGTCAGTTGCGGCGCCCGGATGGATATACCTAGTTACATATGTAGATCGTCGCGTCGATCCTGAGTCTGTCTCCATTTTCTCTTTAATTGAGGATGATTGGTCTACTGAACTTCCATTCGATCTCGGGATGGGCCGAGGTTGGGGAAAAGTGGTCCGAAGAGGGGCCAGCGATGGATCCGTCGACACCTGAGAGCCTGAGGCACCAGTATGGGACCACCGGTCTCAAGTAACAACAGGGTTGGATTTTTGTTCCTCCAATCCTGTAATACGGAGTAGGCTAAGAGCTGTTAGTACATTTTTGCGGCGTTCAAAGCCAATTAGCTAGATGCTCGGGACTATAGTGGTAACCTAGTAAATATTCTAATGACATGAATAACCCTCTATAACATATACAAGTTGTATATATGGTACCCATCTAGACATTCTACTTAGCACCCTGGGACCTCTACTTAAACGCGGAACAAGGAACAGGAGACCACACCAATGGACTACTCGGATTAAGCGCTCTATGCATAGTCAGCGTCATGACAATAGAGTAGGGAAATGATAATACCAGACAGAAGGTTATAGGCAATACTGTGTTTTATCTCCATCCCACCATCACTCCATCCAAAGGATCACCTCTGTCATCGTACCAAACGACTATTATCAACATCCGATCTGTCGATAGCAGAGGATACCCACCACTCCGACATAGACGTATCGCAGTTCACCTTCGAACCCAACGGTCTCTACATTCTTCTGTCGGACTGAGGTGACAAAAGCTACACATTCCACTAGCGCCTCTATCTACACCAGAGTTCAACCTCAGGCTCGATCTACCATCTGCTCAATGGCATTGACACTACCATCTGGCGCTTCGAACACTTACCCGACCAGACAGTCATCTGTGATAAATCATTCCTTGGGGCCCTCAAACTAGGAGTGTTAGACCCAGCCATCCATGCAAATTTGCTCGAGCGTCTTTATCAAATCCCAATCATCGACTCAGTCCGATTCCGCGAGAGAATCACTTGCCGGGTATGGGTCAAGGAAGCTCTCTTTGCGCTCGATGATGAAGGCTATATCATTCTCACTCGCAGTGTGGATGAAAATGAAGTTAAGGCGAGGAACCTCGGGCTTCGGAAAAAGAGTTTGGGGAGGCGGGCGGTTGTGGGAAGTGGTGGGAGCCAGGCTTGAGATTCAAGATGTCATGTGAAACACTGAAGTGTATTTTGGAGATATCATGTGGAGGTCGGGGGTGGAGACACTTGATATGAACGGACGAGGTTGGGCGATGTTGGACGGAACCAAATTTGAACAAAATGGGAAGCCAGTCTGGTGCTATTTCGATCACAGGCGGGCAAGAAACAACACCATCTTAATTCCTGACGCCAGGGTTGTTGGAGTAGGATATCTACCATCAATAGTGTCCATATGGGTAGAAAACACATTTGCTACGGAAGTGGTTGGGGGGGGAGAAGGGGGGGGCGACACGCCGGCGGAAGCCACGGATTGACAAGAGGAGAGATTTCTGATTTCAGTGGATCATAGACGATACTTGGTAATTTAATTTGTGCTCACATTCTAGTTGAAAATCCTGGTTTGAACTTCCCAAACTTTTTCGCATGTAACCTCCAAGCTTTGGCTGTGAGCTCCCCAGCTTCGGGGAACGGGAGCCGGCACGAGATCGACGGCAGGGGAGTTTGGGTTGGCAGGTACGGAGTACTCCGTACCTCTAGATGTAAATAGGCAGGTAGTTGCCATGTACTCCGTACTTCGTAGGTTGTATACATGAGGAGAACCATGTAAAATGGGGTAGTAGTGCAGAACGCACAGAGGCACGGGATCGGATTCCGTGCTGGAGAGTGTTTCCGAAAACGAAAGGAGACTTTTTTGAAGCTAGGTCATATTCCAGAACATCATTTCCACGAAGGGGCTGTTGCCATGCGAGGGAATGGGGGCTAGAATTGGAATTGGAAGAGGCAAAAGCAAAGAAAAGGAAAGAAACCAAAAAAGGAGCTATATCCCTGGACAGTACGACCCGTGTATCAAGACAGACTATTGGGACAGGGGCAGCAAGGCGTGGTCCACGAGCTCGACCCTCCAAAGAGGCGTGGATTCAGGAATGGGCAAGGAGCCACGGTATTGCCATGATGGCTCCCGGATGGGAGAGCATGGGGGGGGATTGCCATGAGCTATTCGAAAGAGTGCATTCACATCACCACGTACTACTGACATACCGAACTCTAAGCTTCACGACCAGTGTTCCCATCCCTTGATCGAGATTAGGCAGGCTGGCGAGGGTGTCCAAAGTTGTAGAGATCAAACTGTACTCAGAATTACCGTTGACGGACCGATTTTTGGACCTTTTTTTTGCCGGGGGGGAGCAACTGTTTTGGTAGAGATCGAGCTTGGAGTCTCAGATAAGCAGTATCCTTTCGTCAAGTATGAAGAAGTGCTACCGTGTCAGAGGTTCGAGGAATGTGCTGTAGATCTGGTGGCGATCTTTGAGACAATTCTGCAAGGCGACAAAGGCGCCATGTGGCATGCTGGAAGTGGAAGATGGTCATTGACAGACATCCGTTTATTATATTGCATTTTGCATTTCTGCCCAAAGAATTTTGCTTAGCCTTTTGGATGTTGTGGATAGGGCAGACGTGTAGCCACAGTGTGGCGGTGTCAACAAGACCGTCGGTTGGGCCGATGCGGGTTTAATTTTGTTTTGGGGTTTAGCGTCTTTAGCGTCTTTAGCGTCTTTTAGCGTCGTTAGCGTTTTTAAGGCTATTTTTTTTTTTTTTTTTCAGTATTCCAATTACAAACGGGCTTGATCTATTTCTGGACGAACACCCGATCAAACGGAAAGATCAAATCGACACATCAACCCAAAAGGTTCAGGCAACGCGAATGTAGTGGCTGAGGCTAACCCCTCGGGTAAATACTGTTGTTCCAAGGTCAATTTCCCTCGAAAAAGACAATGAGACTATGTTATGACTAAATCCTCCGCACGATGAAATAATACCCCTCTGATACCTACAACATACGTGTACATATAACATAGGTGACTCACGAAAGGTAGATTCAGATCGAAAAAAAAACAACAAAAAAAAAAACAAATAAGCATGGTCATATTTGCCAAGCCTCCAGGTCACACTGGACGGTTCGGAGCCGGGAGATTACCCTCAGTAGCCCCGTGAATATATAGGTGAGATTAGCCGCGCGACATAGTCCTCCGTACTACCCATGCCCTTTGACTCTGACAGGTCGACATGTGATGATTTAGGCGGCAGGGACGGGTGAATGCATGGCTTCGGTATGAAGCTCAAGCTCATGGAAGCGTGGGTGATCCGTGACACACTTTCCTGTGTGTGTCCGAGGTGTTACAGAAAAAAATGTAGGGGAGAAAGTGGATCATGTTTTAGCTAGAGGGTAACATATGCAGAAATCCTAAGATTATGGAGATTGGGGATTGTAAGGATGATAACCTTGGAAAAACGGAAATGTACAAAACATGTGGTGATCAAACGCACCCTCGGTGAGTAAAGAAGACCCTACCAAAAATGCCATGTGTGGGACTGAAGAGAAGACATGTCGATTCGCATGGAGGACAAGGATTAGACTGACAAGGATGAAGTTAGGTACTAGATACTTCCGGACTTTGTTCAATCTCCCGATTAAACAGAAGCGAAAGACAAGTATTTGCGACTCTTTGTCCCCCGAGACCGCCGATCAACCCTGCATCCTCATGCCATGTGTCCAACGTCAACAAGTTTCTTTTTTATGGGCTGTTTGATAGGGTCCGTACTCGTACATACAGTACCTAATCTCCCAAACGGGATTGTGCAGTTAGCCCCGGTCGCGAATGCAGCTTGACTGAATGGAAAGAGAAGGAGACTCAATAAATAGAGAAGAGACTGCAAGGGAGAGAGCCACGTGAAGGTGTATTGTAACAATAGTATTCTAGTTTTCTATATAAGAGAAATAAACAAAACAGAAAAATTAGAAAAAAAAAGAAAAAAAAAAAGGAAATCCCCCCAAAAGATGACGTTAAGACTTGGATACAACGAAACGTGTTCTCCTTGCTTGTCCCAGGGATCTTTCTTCAGGAATGCCACTTGTGTAGTAGTTTATATATATATATTTACAGATATCTATATACGTATATTTGTGGATATTTCGCGATCTCAAAAAGTAGATAAATAATCGAGATTAGCGTAAAACAAAGAGCAGATCGTAAATGGTAGAATAATAGGAAGAAGTATAGCACAGTCCTTACTCTCCCCAGGGTCAGCCTCGTGGCACACACAGTTGCAGTAGGGCCTTGGCGGTAATACCAGTACATTCTTTGGATTTCTCTTTTCTTTTCGATTTTATATTTTAGAATTTTAATTCTTTTAATTCTGTTATTTATAATTGCGAATATTGCCCTAAGGAAGGGGGATGCCAAAAAAGAAGGTTAAAAAAAAAGAGGAAAAGAGTTTCAGAGACTCGAGGGCTTCGAGTCTCCAATTTTCTATTCTTTAATCTCTCGACTCTCTCGCTCTACACTCCATCTACTCTTATATCTCTCTACATCATAATATTCTATACCCTAATACTTTTACAGTTCCGTGCCACGTTCCTTTCGGTAAGCTTGATCTGTGTTGCCTAGATGTCTTCACGTCTAACCTTCGATCTAGCCTTTTGATCTCCAAGTTGCGCGAACCTTTTACAACCCTCTGAACGAAACGGTTTCACGGGGAAACGTTTCTCGAATTGGATATTCACCCTCTTCACTTGGAATATGCGATAGTGTGGGAGAGAGAAAGAAAAAACAGAATAGCGAGCCGATCATCGATTCTTCTGCACTGTTTCCCCTCCCCCCGCCTGATTCAGACTCTCCCACCATGGATCCTTCTGTCGCACATCGCCCATGGGAGGCAGTCTCAGGGCCTCAGTCTACTACAGGCTCAACTCAAACCCTTCCATCCATCTCAACCCTCACCGCCAATATGCCTGGTACCGGAGCCCCCGCGGAGAAATCCCCCGGGAACGGCTCCTTGAATACAATCGAACGTGACTCGGGGAATTGGTCAATGCCGCAAAGCACAAGTAGGAGACCCTCACCTAGTATGGAATGGGAGCGGCGCGGTACTGACCATGTAGGATCGTCCACGTACTCCACGGCGACCAATGGCACGGGCAACAATTATCCCTCCCTCAGCTTCATTTCCGCGTCGCAACCCTCCCCGAATCGCGGACACCCGGCTGTCGATCGCTCACCTTACCCCCACGACCAATCCACCACCCCTTCCTCGGCTGGCACTCAACAGCCCTCTCCAAACTTCAGCCAGCCTTTTTCAACTCTCCCCTCCATCAATCAAAACTACGAAGTCCCCTCCCAACGAACAAGTGCGGTAGAGACGACCGAATCCCGACGCAGCAGTGTCGACAGTCGCATGAACCAAGGAATCAGTTCTCTGGCAATCAACCCGGCCTCACCATACCACAGCACCAATGCCTCCCAATCGTCGATCGTCTCAAGTCTACAACGGGAGCGAGGGATTCCGACCGACCTGAACTCTTACCGGGGACCTCGGTACTCAGGAGGCAACCAGCCACTCTCTCCCCTGGGCCCTCGTGCAACCGACCAACAGCGCAGTTTCGCAGCCGGCCGCACTGCTCCGGCCATTTCATCGAATCCCCGGTCGGAAATTTACAATGCTGAAGCACCCACGGCGGGTATGGCATATGCCTTCCCCGACCCGGATATGGCACGCTCAAGCTCCGTCTCCTCGAAGGGAGAGTCCAACCCTCCTTTCTCCCGAAAAGGCAGCATGGCGGAGTCGATGAACAGCATGTACTCGGAACGAATGCCACGAGGACAACATGGTCAGATGACTCTATCCACAATAAGTTGTGCGCGCAAAACTGACCATCTCCCAGACCTACCCCAAAATGTACACCACCACCACTCTCTTCAGCACAAGGCCGTGCGAGAGTTGATCGGCGAAGAGGACGGACCGCCCGGCAGCACACCTTACAGCCGTACACCTGAACTCCGTGTAACCCACAAACTTGCCGAACGCAAACGGCGCAGCGAAATGAAAGACTGCTTTGAAGCACTCCGACTTCGTCTGCCACCGGGCCAAACCAACAAATCCAGCAAATGGGAAACACTCACCCGGGCAATTGATTACATAGGGATGTTGGAGAAAACTGTCACGCAGTCACAGCGCGACCGGGCCGTCATGCAGTCTGAGATGGATGAGATGCGCGCCCAACTCAACCAGCAAGCTAACGCCTCCCGCCCCCAATCCATCTTCGAGCACCACCAAATGAACACCAGCCAGGTCAACGGCCAGGGCTCTGTCTTCGGTGGGTTCGGGAATGGCGTGACTCAGGAGCAGCCACGCACGTTGCCGCCCCTTCTGAATGGCTCTAGTGCAGCTATGCAGGGAATTGAGTATGAGCGGCGGTAAAAGATGTGGAGGTGCGACAAGGAAGTTGAAGTTTGTATGAGATATGATTAGTCACGCAAAACCTATCATCAACGACTTTGTTTTGGACTTTGTTCTCTTGATATCATATATCCCTCTTAAAGATGTGATCCCCATTCGACCTTTTCGACTTGAGGATTGATTTATATTGATTTTTTGTTTGATCTTATGGAGTGGTCTCTTGTTTTTTTTTTTTTTCTCTGATATTCTGTTCATACCCGCACTTGCTTTGCTTTTTGTTTTCTGGGCCACTCTACATGGAATACGATAGGGAGGAATATGGAATATTCAATAGCTGGAATAGCTGAAATACAGATATTCATCATGTTTCAATCCAAAAAGCATCTGCTCTAGGATGATGCGGAGTATCACCACACATCTCATGAGATGATAGAGATCAACTAGACCATCTAATACAAAAATGTAACACAAAAACATCTCGTTTCAGAACCTCAGATCCTGATTTTTTAAAAAAAAACTCTTAGTGTGAAGATCTATTTCTGTCCCTCGACTCATTGGCCTCTCGAAGCGCCCGCCCCCGGCTCGGCGCGTAGTGACCGGCCTCAGTCTGACATCTGCATCCAATCCATCGTCTTCATTTCTGCTTCCCCTGGTGATCACTCTGCCAGTCGTCCAATGACAAACCTTGAGGAAGCATCACGGAGCTAGTTGCAGCGGGTTGTCTGGGATCGCTGCAGAAATTTCCCAGCGACGATAATTATTGGCAGGGTTTCTAGCAGCTTGAGCGGTGTCCTGTAGAGTGACCAGCCTGGACTCTGGAATCTGCATTGTGATGATGCAGAAATGCAGAAACAAAGCTTGGGCTTAAATCTCGGAGGATTTCTAATTTCTTTGTCTTTGTGTCTTCCATTTGATTTGCATTTTGACTCAATCGACTCTATTCAGGGCTGTTGTGCATTGATGCCTTTCCCATTGTTTTCCTATATCATATTAATAGACCTCTTTATTACGCTTCCTTGCAATTTCATTCTTTCATGCCTTTCTGATACATGAGATGAAGACATCGAATCCTGTCACTTCTGCAGACCAACATCTCGACACAGTTGAGTCTACCAGACTACCATGCTCGAACGAAAACCTCAAGGCCTACAGGTCCCTTTACCAAATTTCCCACTATCATCGCCGATCAGCGAAGAGATCTCAAGTCCCTCATGCTCCTCAGAGGACCAGGAAGAACGAGACCGACCCTTTACACTTCTAACAAAGGCAGCACGACAAAGGCTCGAGGAGAAACGCTTCGAAGATGGAAATCGCTCGCCCATCTCCCCCCGCGAAACCTCGAGACTAAATTTCCGCATCACCAAGAAACGCAAAAGCGTCGGGAAACCAGTCGGCCTGAACCTCATTACGGATTTCACCTTGGCACCCGCGCCGAGGAAACAGTCAATTCCCGCGAAACCAAACGTGACTGCGCCGTTCGTCGATCTGAACGACCTCATGTTCCTTTCAAAAGTGCGAGAGAAGGAACGCACTGCTCAGAAATCAAATGATACCTTCAAGAAGCGGCTTTCACGGGGTTTTCAACGGTTACCTGAGACGGTACAGGGTCAAAACCAAAACATGGATGAGACTGCAGCCTCGTTTCTTTCTGCTAGAGAGGAAGATCCGTTTCACGATAGACATGAGCATGCCTTATCGCCCTCGGACCACCACATCATGATAGGACTCACTGTGCCTCGCAGCGAGTCAGTGGAAAGATCACAAGAGCTCGACAGCGCAGGCACGCCACTGACACCATCGATTGTTGTCACTCCAGCAAGAGGAGAGGCATTATGGAACGCACACTCAAACCCAAGCATCGAGATGCTACGACCAAGAGCAACATCAAGTATCTACTCGCAGCCAACACCCCGCCTCTGGCAATATGAAACGGGTGTCCCACCCGTGCCAGCCATTCCCGCACAGCATTCAGCTATTGCCAAAGCTCTTGCCCAAGAGACCGGACAAAACACGCTAGACGTAGAACGAAACGCACGCACCCTCTCAACAACCTCAATCTGGGAAGACGACAGTCCACCCCGGACACCAGAGGTAGTCCACCTAGACCCAAAGACCCAGCAACCAGGTCATCTAAGCGTCAACACCCAAACAGACACCTGCAGACCAGAGTCACAAGGCTGGTGGACATATCTTCTCTCTCCTCTGTTAAGCCGGTCCATTAAATCTCCCCTCAGTCCATCCTTCCCACAAGAATCAAACTCTACCCCGTTGAAAACAACAACCACAATCCATCCCCAGCCAAAAGAATGGATACCACGCGAAAAAGAAACATCCTGCTTCTCGCCCGATACACCAGAAACAGCAACACCGATGTGGGAAAAAGGATTCGAGATATCCCGGTCTTTCGAACAAGACCGATACCACCAAGATCAAGGTCCCGAACGCCATCAATCCCCACCACCCGCATACGTCTCCAACGTCTCAAGCAGACAAAACGCCATGTCCTTCATGTTCAGCAATAATCAGATAAGCCAGGGTGAAGCAGCCGAGTATTACCAAGCATGCGCGCACGAGCTCTTCAGTAAGACGCCGTACTTCGAGTGCGTCAATCACGTCTGCTCGATAACTGCCGTCAACCCCGTCGCCGTGCCAGCAGGTGCCACGGACACAGCTGCAGAGGGAGGTCGAGGACTTGCGATTATTGCGATTGAGGAGTCTGGAGTATCTGGTCTTGAAGATACGCGTGAAAATGAAAACCAAAATCCGGTCTCATCGACGGCGTCGACGAAGAATGCGAGGCTGCTAATCGATATTGACTCGCCTCGTCCTGAGACGACGAGATCAATTTCGGCTGGGTATTCTGTTCGTGCCAAGGAGGTGCAGCTTTTATCGCCATCATCGGAGTTCGGTTCTCATACGTGGGATTCGTCTGTTGTCGATGAGGATGAGAAGGAGAAGATTTCAGTATCCGCGCAGTGTGCTAATGGTGATGTTTCCGAATCAAAGTCTCAGCGTCCTGCTTTGCCTCCTGATCCTATTGCTGCGCCGCACGTGGAGGAGGTTGACAGACAGGGTTTGGAACCGCCAGCTCCAGCTCCCGCTCCCGCTTCTACTCCTGCTCCTATCCTTAGGCCTGACCCAACTCCCGCTCCTGCTTCGCAGATAATCACCAATATCTCGCCTCCAATTACTAGTTTCCATTACACTGTGCCTCCGCCGCAACCCCAAATGCAGCCTCTGCAACCGACTGTACAATATGTGCCACCTCCTCAGGCACAGCAAATGGAGCCGATAATGCAACGTCCTCAACTGCAGGAACAGTCGCGAGAAACATCTCCACCAATGGTCCAACCGTACCCTCAAGTAGCAACACCGAGATCGGAATGGCCATGGGGAGTGCGAGAGCAGCCACAAGAGCAACCCCAGGTTCAACGGGGAGCTAACCAAGGGCATGTTTCTGGGTTTGAATGGGCATATGCACCACAAAAACAACCGCAAGGACTTCCTGTTACACAAACATCTCCTCAACATCCACACGTGGCATATGAACAGGCTCCTCCCCAGAAACGACAGCCAACATATAGTCATGTACTTCAGCCTCAACGGACGCTTGTTATCCAGGGACGACAATCTGGGTCTGGATGGCCGTTTGGTCTAACCGCACACCCTCACTCGCATGCACCGCCTGTGCCACCCCTGTCACAAGCCCGGGCCACTAGATTGGAAATTCAATATCAGCAAGAACAATCCCAACTGTCCGTGACTCAGGATAAGCAGCCTGGATCTGAAGAGCCGCAGACAGAACAAGGATTGTCTCAAGAGCCTGACCTGTGGCCTCCTCGAGGGCATTTACAGCCTGCTGAACCTATCTCTCCTAGTTTCCAGCGAGCTGCCGGTGGACCCAATTCAATTCCAATGTCGGACATGCAAGCACCAGCTCCTGCATACACGCAAATTTCTCGAGATCCTGCTCCACCGCTTTGTTATGATACTCAGCCCTATTACGAAAATGAACCTACAGCTGGAGTTACCATTGTCAACCCAAGCGGGACGATAGGACCTCAGGAAACCCGACGCCGCAGACTGGAAAAAGAAGAAGCCACTGGCCGAAGGATTTGCAATCTCTGGCGTGGCCGGGGTCTATTCAGCAAGAAGAGTGGGCGACCAGGGCGCGAGGGTCGTACTCGACGGAGGTGGTTTTTCGTGATTTGCGTTTTTTTTTTCATCATCGTGATCCTAGCCACCATCCTCGCAATCACAGTGACGAGGAGAGGAGACGATACTCCAGTTCAATCGCAATGGCTTAACCTCACAGGTTATCCACCCATGCCTACTGGAATTGCAACACTCGCTGGGATGGAGGCGCAGCTTAAAAAATCAACCTGCATCACTCCTTCTTCAATGTGGAGTTGTGCTTTGCCCAAGGACCAACAGGATACTAATGAGCCTTACAATGCGGACCAGCCCAATTTCCGTGTTTTCATCCGCTTCCGCAATGACACATACGACAGTGGCACCGCCGTTGGCTCGAAGCTACGTATCAGGAGCGATGACATTTTCGATCCAACACCCGCAGCCCCAACAGACGCAGAGCAGAGCTTCCTCGGTCAATACACAGATAACAACACTTCACCCTACGCCGGCGAAGAAACACCCTTCTCCATGTCTCTCCTCTCGCCAGTCTCTCTCTCCTCGGCAAACATCTATCGCCGCTCAGTTACCTCTAACCGCACCACATACCCCAACATCTCATCAATAATCCCGCCGCCAGAAGAAAACGCAGACGGAACACCATCTGCAGCGATGCTCTACCCCCTCCTCTCATCCCAACCAATCCGCCTCTACAACCGCGGCCTCTCAACTGAGCACTACGGTTTCTACAGCTACTTCGACAAATCCATCTTCCTAACCTCCCAAACAATATCCTCACCCGCCGACACAAACGGCGGGACCTCAGAATCCAACGCCAAATACCGATGCACATGGTCCCAAACCCGCCTACTAGTCCAAGTATGGACGCAACCTGACAAAATAAACCGCCAACTCCTCCCGAAATCAAACAACTCAACGAGAAGCACTACAATCCCCTCTTCCGTAACACCAACATCAACAAACTCGCCCATGTCCTCATCCTCCGCAGTAGACTTCTCCCGTCCAGGCTCATTTCCATACCCGGTAACAATAACAGTGGACCGCCACGGCGGTGCCGAGAAAAAGAAAATGGTCTACTGCTACCTGCTCGAAGATGACGGTCATTATAATATCACGGCTGTGCAGTTGCAGCTTGAGGACCGCGCTGTTGGGGGTGACCTTGTAAACCCTGCTGAGGGGCTTTTTAAGGGGCTTGGCGAGACAAAGAATACTACTATTGAAGATGCCGGTGGTGTTGATGGTGGTTCTGGCGGGTGTGGGTGTCGGTGGGTGAATTGGATTTTGAGTGTGTAGAGACAGGGACTGGGGTGATTTGCAGAGACGATGTTTTAGTTTAGGAGGCTGCCGGTTATTCCTTATTCAGTTCTATGGGTCCTGTTGGTGTGCGTTCCATTACATTGTGTGTTCTTCTGGCGTTTGGGTGGCTTTCTGTTTCATTTTCCCTGAAGGCTCATTTAAGAGTTTGTGTACATATTGCACATCTTTAGCAATATACGGAGTACATCTAGTCACTTCAAAATTCAAAACCGATGTCACAGTTCATTTTTCAGATTTCACTCCATCTATCAAACCTACAACTCCATAATCACGAAGAATCTATTGAGATCTCGTAATATAGAAAGCAACAACCATGGATCAGTCCGACAGCCCCACAAAACAAAGCTCAGGTTGCATTAAAGTCAATCTGAAGTTTATCTGAAACCTTAATCTAGCCAATCACCAACCTTGGGTCCTTGAAATCATACAGAGAACCACTATATCAAAGTCAACAGGCGGTAAACGGATAGCAGAAATTCGCCACCCGACCCTGCAGGGACGACTGAATTACATTGATGGGCTTCTAATGACAGAGGTATGACTAGGGTTGCATTAATTGCTGCCAGATCAATCAGGGGTTGGCATGCGAGTTTTTCATCGAATTTAAATTTTTAAAAGTACCTGGAGATACAGCAGGAGGCTGGGATTTGCATTGAGTAGTAGTTAGACAGTATACTCAGGTTGTGAGGGCACTACATGTGCAAATCTCTTGATCTTCACATGTTTATGTTAACAAATTCTCTGCGACATTATCCAAAAACCTTTCTTTGTATTAGAATTAAATTAAAAGTACTCGTTTACCACCAATTAACCCATTGAGAAACTCCGCAACCCCCAAAATTCCAGTCATAAAATCCTCCAACGCCTGTCTAGATATCCCAATACCCCAACCTTCTAGCTGCATCAAGTCCCCGGCATCATCCCGGTCCTAGATTGGATATCAGAACGAATCAAAGAGATCTCCAGCAATCGAACAAAACGCCCACATTAAGTAACGGCGATACATTTATGCAAGCAGCATAACGGCACCGTAAACAATGCTGCCAATAACAGCGCTGAAAACTCCGACCTGGGGTGCGGTGATTTTGGAGCCAGGGCTGGAGGGGCTGTAATCGGTCGAGCTGGGGGAGCCAGAGCCGGAGCCAGATCCAGAGCCAGATCCGGAACCAGAGCCGGGGCCACCACCAACGCCGCCAGCATCACCGGAGCTAGAGACAGAGCCGGAGCTGGAGCCAGATCCAGAACCGGAGCTGGAACCACCACCACCAACACCGCCATAACCACCGGAGCTAGAGCCAGGGCCAGAGTCGGATCCAGAACCGGAGCCAGATCCGGAGCCAGAGCTACCACCAACGCCACCAGCACCAACAGAGGAAGAGGAACCGTTGGTCTTGGTAGGAACGTCGACGGGGATAGTTGCGCTACCGTGGCAGTTTAAGCAGGGGGCGGTGCCAGTACCGATGATAGCACTGCCTGCATCACCGCCGTGGGTACCGTTGTTGTGGGTACCGGTGACGATAGGGTGGCTACCAGTTTGAGTACCGGACCCGTTGTTATGGGAGCCAGTCATGATGGGTTGATTGCCAGTCTGGGCCCCGGTAGGAACGACACCGGTACCACTCGCAACACTAGCATGCTTGCCGATGACCATTCTGCCAAAGACGAGGGGTTCGTGCTGCTGCTTAGCGCCACTGGCCTGGACACCGGCTGCGAGAGCCAGCAAGGCCACAGAGGGGGCGGTAAAGAGCATTTTGATTGGAAAAGAAAAGCGATTGGATTTAAAATTTTAGATGTGGCTTGCTGTCTTAACGAGCGACGAAGCTAGGATTGGGGTTAGTATTTGCTCTTGAGATTGAGGCGCTAGTACTAGCAGATTTTGAAGAGTTTCAGGACTTACCTAGAGTGATAATGCTAATGCGATTGAGATTGAAAGTGAGCAGGAATTTGAGGCGAAGAGGATGCCACTCTTATAGATCTAGCGAGTGGTCCAAATCCGGCCTATAGATTGGTTAAGGTTGATTGGTGATGACATGAACAATTCAAAAACGAAATTTCGAATTCTAATGTGTGCCTCTCAATGATTCCTGTGGCCCTTGATGGAACCCTTGGTTACGTAGGAACGAGATGTGGTGATTTCCGCATCCGGGGTTAATGTCACACTGCTCTGATCTCGACTCCACATGAAAACCTCTGCACGAATGATTTCTCCCGACGCTAACATCGTCATGATCTTCCAAACTGGCAGTTCGTCCGAACGGTGGAGACGCGGCTCGGTTGGACCTGGTCACGTGGAAGTTCCCAATTAGGAAGGTGCAGCTCTTGCAAGCGGACATGCCGAACACTCCACCAACGTGAAATTCCACTGGGATCCACTTCAAAGCTGTCACAATGAATTAAAGTGGGGTATTTTTTTTGGCGGTGACCTGTTTTCAGATAAATATACCGAAGACACGTTGTCTGGAGGGATGGAGTCTTGGGGGACAATGGGTGGAGAGACCCTATAGCTCTCTAGATCCGCAGAGGATCCAGGAAGAGCAGTTCAAAGAGAGTGAATAGCCACCCGTAGCGCTCCGCTTAATGACTGTTGGGTTGCAAAATTCGCTGCTTCTCTAAGTTGTAAGACAGGTGGATCGTACTTTTACATTCAGTAGAGCGCACTTGTTCTCTAGAATCGGCCACGAACAACGTCATATCTGGCATCCAATGAGTCTACATCGACGCAACTCGCCTAGCATCAGAAATTTCAATTTCAATCATCTATCGGCTACAATGTCGCAGCGGCGTTCCCGTCAAGTCCATAATCTCTGATCTTTGTCATTTCCGATCATTCTAAGGAATGTGGGCTGCCACGCACTAGCTGTGGAATGTATGTTCCTGCAGAACCGATGGTACTCCGACAAGCTTTATTCACATGTTTCCGTCAAGCTCAATTCTTTCTGTGGGAAGCGCAAGGCAAGAAAGTTGATTCCAGTTAATAAGTAACGTAGGGAGGAATTTCTAGTGGATGACAGAGACCAAGAATGTCTCAAGGTTGAATTGGGTGCAAGTTGCACCTTCTGTTGCCAGAAAAAAACCCCCTTCAATTTTCAAGACACACGCGCCGACTACACTGCAATAACCTAGGCTGCTTTTCGAGAAGCGAATTCAGAGACAACAGGACAATTTGGAACCCAAAATGACGTGGTTTTGACACGGAACTGCAAAATTGGTCTTGAAGCTTTTTCTGGGAATCATCATAGACCTCCTCGCTGTATAAGTTGTCTGTGCCGTCATGGATTGATACATTCGAGCGTAGGATACTCAATTGCGATTCAAACTACCCTTGAGCATTGGACATGGCTTTGAGTGTGCATGATCATGCAGACTTAACACAAATTGGCAACCAGCAAGCGGAATTTTCCCACCTTGTTTAGGTTTTCGAGATCGTGCTATGTATATCCTTCAATTAAAACAGCATGTTGCGAAAAGGGGCAGATGCTCAGGCTTGTAAGAAAAGATGCTAAATGGTCCCCGTAAAATTATGGCAACCTACTCACACTAGATCTCAATTCTTCAATCCACCATTAACTCCATCTCCAGTCTTCTTTTCAAGCCTCTTTAACCGACGAGAACCAACTCTTGACGCTTAGCGCCCGATGAGTCCAGAAAAATTTGACATTCCGCCCATATGACACCGGAAAGGAAAGCGTAAGCAATGTTCGACACTTGATATAATCTGCTCTAAAACGCAGTGCGGTGTCAACTATGGGCAATCATCACAAATTCTCCTGGCGCTATCTTTTGAAATGCACCGGCTTAGACTCTTGGCCTATAGTCTTGGGTGGTAACATGTCAGAAGTCAAGTGGTTGAATTGGGCGTCACTTTCGGACCTTTCCTAGTTAGGCTGAAAGTGTTGAAAGATCAGTCTTTCGCTTAGTCCTCCGGAGTTCAATGTCAATTCTTGAAGTCTTCCAGATCCTTCTAACACGTCCGCGGACTCAGAGCATGCGCTAAAATTATCAAGATCGCGTGGCAAAGAATTTTATGCCGACATTTCTTGCCGCCTTGCAGGTTAATTCGGGCATAAAGGAATGAAAAGGTTCAGCCCAGGTGATGGTGGGGTGAGGGTTATGCACCAAATTTCCAACTTGTGAATGGAGCGCTCTTGTTTTGAGCCGTGAAAAGCCACGGGCCAAAGTGTCTAAAATATCTTGAGGCTCAAACTAATTAGTGAACATTCGTTAAGAAGATCGGCAGATGAACTTACCCAATCCTTCGTCTCAGTGTCACGTTCAGTGTTGAGTTACCAATATGAATGCAGAGGTTGATCAAAGAGTCTGCGGAGCATTTGCGCGAAGTGGAACGAAGCAGTACAATATATCCAGATCCACCAGTGTATCAAAAGCAACCAAGGAATGTTTAAGGCTTCGGCACAGCTCTTCATTTTGAACGTCACTCGCTGTAATTTTCAAGCGCTTTAGATTACTGAGACGTCCTGTCATGAATTTGAGACTCTCAGACGGAAACATTCCCTGGCTGATCTCGAGAGACTTGACCGGTTGAAATGACCTTGCCAACCACCAATATAGTTTAGATGAAGGTAGTGAACGCCGGATTCCTCAACGTCGTCCGGCGTTTTACCAAGTAGTGTTTCATTCAGATTTCCGCTGCCTAAGAACAAGACTTCAGGTTGAAACAAGAAGCGATGTAATTGAGAAAGTGTTTGGCCTGATTTTGTGGAGGTTGTTGCCCGTTGATATTACATTTGGTACCCCACAAAACTCCGATCAGGGTCAATGGGAGGAAGCAGAGATAGGGCTTTTTCCCGTCCCCTGCGAATAATTGAAGTTCAGGCTCTCGGGGATGCTGAGCAATGCTTATCACGTAGTTGTCACTGAGTTCTTAGGGCCATGAGACTTGTGTATTCGAGCCAACATAGGCTTTCACAAGATTCCATGCGTACCACGTTGAGTCTGTGAACATGCACTAAGCTTGCTTGGTACGCTTTTATTGAAGTGGGAACTTCAGAAGATGCAAGCTGGCATGGTTTTCTATCCCTGGACTGATTTTCCAGGTCCTGGTAAGTAATCAGTCCCTGTTTCTCGAAAAGAGCTCGCGTTGGGATTAGTCTATGTGGACGAAATGCAGTGTAGACCAATTAGAGAATGTCAAGATAAAGTAGTGATCGAGATAGAAAAGAGTTGAAGATGTGTATGATTCCTATTAAGAGCCATCTCATCGTAGTAAGTTGTTTAAAAAAAAAACAAAGGAAAAAAAAACAGACATGGACTTGATCATAGATTGTTTTGTGGCTTATCGCGAATGATTGCCTGGTCTTGGCAGTTCTCCAATCTCCTTTCTCCACCTCAGCTTGTTTTCCATGTCTTCATCAGACTAGCAATGCGCCGTGCAGATACTAGTAATTCTCTTCTTTCTCCTGCAAACTACGACAACGATGCATCTTCGTTGCGGTCGCCCTCCGACCAGGAATCCGATTCTGACGATGACGCCCTCCTCGATCAGAACCGCAGCACCTTGGAACTCGCAGAACACGACCGGGCAGTCCTAGAAGATGAAGAGGAGCTGGAAAATCTTTTGATCCGTCGTGGCACTGGGCAAGGTTTGCGGAGGATTTTCAGCCCGAACGGTAGCACTGTGAAGATCGGGAGGACGAAAAAGGAGCGGCGACGGCGGAGGGGGTCACGTCGTGAGAGAGTCAGTGAAGACGGTGAGCTGATGTATGAGATGGAGGAGGGGATTGGTGATGATAATGCTTCCCTTTTAAGCGGATCATCGTTAGATTCGGGTAGGAAACCCGAATATGCACATGGGCCGGTAAGACGAAGAGTGGCTGGTTTCTACAACACCTGCTAACACGTCCGCTGCTTAGCCTTCATGGCCTTCATGGCGAAGAACCTTGTTTTTAACTACTCTGGTCGCAATTCTCTTCGTCATCATCCTCCTCGGGGCGTATAGAGCCTCGAGCGGTTTCCGGTACTCACGAGCACACCCTCCACCCTTGCTTTCCAACGGCACAGCTCTCTTTGCGCCAACTACTATCGTTATCTCGCTCGACGGTTTCCGAGCTGACTTTCTTCACCGTGGCCTGACTCCTGCGCTGAAGTCCCTCATCGCTAATGGCGTTTCTCCGCAATACATGAACCCCAGCTTCCCGAGCGTCACCTTCCCAAACCACTTCACACTTATGACTGGACTCTACCCTGAGAGTCACGGGATAGTCGGCAACACATTTTGGGACCCGAAGATAGAAGAGGAATTTTATTACACCCATCCCTTTGTCAGCATGCAACCCAAGTGGTGGATGGCGGAACCGCTCTGGGTGACGGCCGAAAAGCAGCGTGTGAAGACTGCCGTCCATATGTGGCCGGGGTCTGAGGCGCACATTGGTGGCAAAGAGCCGACCATTTTGGACAAATACAACGGGACGGAAGTCTTGCCTCGCAAGGTGGATCGGATCATGGAGTTTTTGGATCTTCCGGGTCTTGAGGACGAATCGCAGATAACACCTGAGCGGCCTCGGTTTATCTTGGCTTACGTTCCCGACGTCGATCGGGACGGGCATAAATTTGGCCCTAATAGCACTGAAATTCGAAAGACGATTTTGGAAGTGGACAGCATGATCGCCGATATTATGACTGGTCTTGAGCGACGCAATCTTACTGAGGTAGTCAACATCGTGGTTGTCTCAGACCATGGCATGGCCACTACCTCTACGGAAAGGCTGATTCAGCTGGACGATCTGGTTGATTATGATCTAATTGAACACATTGACGGGTGGCCATCTGCTGGTCTACGCCCCAAGCGCCCCGAGGACCTGGAGACCCTGCGGAAACAATTGGAGAAGGTGGCTCCGGAATACGAGCATGCTTTTGAATTCTATACAAAGGAGACAATGCCTGAGCGGTATCATTTCGCGAATAACGAACGCATTGCGCCGCTATGGGTCATCCCCAAGTCGGGGTGGGCCATCGTTAACCGCTCGGAGCTCGATGTCAAAGAGGCTTTGAAGACCGGTAAGGATTACTATCCTCGGGGTATTCACGGATATGACCATGAGCACCCATTGATGCGTGCAATTTTTATTGCACGTGGCCCAGCCTTCCCGCACAAGCCAAACAGCCGGGTGGAAGTTTTCCGTAAGTACCTCCTCTAAACCGTTGATCGGGATTTCACCTAAGGAATTTGAATAGAAAACATCGAGGTATATAACCTTGTCTGTGACTCTTTGGGTGTCCATCCCCTTCCAAGTAATGGCACACTACGGCTCCCGCTGAAGCCAATCGGCCTTCACTCGGATGAGAACACACCGGTCTTGGACACGCCTCCCGACCCCCCGGCTCATACTTCAGCAACTGTAGGACCTGCGCAACCAACCACCCCGCAGCCATCGCCTCCACAGTCAAAACCAGTACAGCCAGCACCGAAGCCCACTCCAGCAGCCGTGGCACCACCCGTTATAGAACATCAAAGTGATGACGAAAAGGGTTCTACATGGTGGGGAACCCTTTGGCACAAATTCGACGGCTTGAAGAACTGGGCTAGCGGTGTTGCTGATGCTGTTCAGGGCAAGCATCAGGGTTCTTGAGGCTTCGTAATTTTGCTCCATTTTGTGCATTTGGCTTTGCATTTCAATAGATACCCAGACTCACTTATTTAATGTTTAAATTCTCTTTTCTCTCTCAATTCGCGGTGTTGGCTCAGTTTACATATCACACCCACGATGTGTTGTTGAATCCCGTTGGCTCTAGCCATCTCATCATCGGCAGCTTTTTCATCTTTCCGTGGCGCTAACTTAACCGACTGAGCGGTCTGTGGTTGAACTGTTTTGACACGATCTTGATATTCTATTTATGTGTAGATATCCACCGCACCCAAAGGGAGAAGATCGGGTGTAATGTTGAGAGGAAGAGGTTAGAGACTAAAATAGATGACAGAGATAACACACAGCCTAGGACCTTATAGAGCCAATGCAAATTTCTGAGCTGTTATTCACTTCATCTTCATTTCACCTTCACTTGACCCTTTGATCTCTGTCCCCTCTTCTTTCAAACGCCACTTCTCTGACCTAGGGGCTACTTAATGCCGTCTTTTATCTTCATCTCCACTCGACCTGACATCTATCTTCGGGGTTCTCTTCAATTACACCCACCCCCAATGTGTAACATCCTCCTCCATCAAAAGTCTTATGGGACTTTATAATGCCAACGATGGCAGTCAGGGGTCACAGGGGTTCCTGTGTCGGGACGTTCCTCAAGCCATACTACAAGTCAGAAACACAACTTCCAGAAAGTTCCCATGCCTTGCACCAGCAATATGCTGCACTTGAGCTTCTGTTCGTTAATGGGACGTGCTTCTTTTGGCGGTTGCGGTCTCCATTTGGCGTCCACGGAGTCCTTCTCAGCTGTCTAGGTTTCCTCTTTCTTCCTCTTTTATTCTCTATTCTCTTCCCCTTCTTCTGTCGCCCTCAACTCAACAGAACCGGTTGGTTTTCATGTTGACATTCACTTTACTGAAATTCCTCAACCCACTACGATTTTTCTATGCATGCTCAACTCAATAGACACACTGTTGGAAACATACTAGAAAGGTTATAGGCTAACTGCTCTTTCGAAGAACGCAAGAACCTCGCCACGCACACAATTCATACAAAGTCTCAGCGTGAGACTATCACCGGGTAAAAGAAAACTGACCACCCACCAGACCGACCAGCACGAAGCCTACGCTTGCGGTGCTGTTTCGCCTACCATCCACTGGACCCACAGCCGGGAACTCTCTATGACTCCACGCGGCCCGGGAGTTGGTCGGTCTGATGAACAACTGTGCGCTGTCAGATTAGAACATCGAATACACATGATCTGAACTCTTGCTGTAGTTCCTTGTAAAATCGTGCGCCGTTGTATTAATATGGGTTGTGGCCGATTCCTCTTTCTAACGATAGTGACACTAGATCCAACTAGATTGTAGAATATATCGTGAGTGTGCAGCATCAAACTTTCACTGGTATTCTCAGTCGAATCGATCGAAGTATGAACAGATACGGATATATCCGTGGTAGCCCCGATGGTGCTGTGGGCAGTTTCCACTTCCGCAAGCTTTATCTTAGTGAAGTTTTTCGGACAGTATTTTCAAATTTGCACTACGGCCACCCTTTGTATCTAAGTGCCAAGCAGCTTTTGAGAGTGCATTGCCGTTGAAAGCAATGACAGTGAGGCCGAGGTGCAGAACACAATTTTGATAGTGTTCTGGTTACTATAAACCAGTATCGAATCACTTTTACACTAATGAAGCGAGATACACATAAAAGGAGCTAGAACTACGATCATCATTGCATATCACATGATCGTAGGCATTTGTCCGTTGTTGATGATCTCCAATTTTGGGTTGAGTTGTGGAACACACGGGGTTGTTTTTGACCAAAAACAAAGGTTATGTAAGGTCAAGGACTTAAACCATTCATCAACCAGCCAAGTGGCCGAGCAGTAACTCGACCATCGCATCTTCCTTGGTCTAGTGGTGATGATTTCCGCTTGTCATTAACACCGATAAGCGCGGGAGACCGGGGTTCGATTCCCCGAGGGAGAGATTTCTTTTTTTTTTGTTTTTTTCTTTGGATCGTTTTTGATCTTCACTATACTCATCACTTGGAGCATTCAATATAGGTAGCTATAGAATTTGTTGAACGAAATACAGCGTACTTTCCCACTAGACCATAACAAAAACCAAGGTTCCCTGTTTATGGCCTAAGGGGGCCAAATTTGAGGTTTGACAGAAGTGACTATATTCGTTCCAATTCTAGACCATGACTTGGGAGGAATGACACTGCAGCGATCTGCAGGACGCAGTCAGACACAGGCAGCCTAACTCACTTCAATTGAGTCCAATCAAACCCGATGACTCCTGTGAGGCCAAGTGTGTTGGATGAAGGTCAGGTGCACGTCAGTCCAGCTCAGCGCGTTCTTGAGTCAGAGCAGGACACGCCAACACATGAGGCTCTTCGGTTAGTTTGCCTGGGGCGGATACAAAGACTAAATCCCTTCCGCTATGATTTTACTGTTCAGGTTCTGACTTCCCCCTTTATCCAACACTCGAAAATCCGATCAAATTCACGTGGGGATCTTGACATCTGTCGATCATGGATGCCAACCAGACCGTCCCCACCACAGCGGGGCCGTTTTCTACAACAGACACGGCCCTGTTGGAGGCACTAATCCCCGGCTATGGCTTCATATCACGTTTGTTGATGTCCTACCTCAACGTTGATGTGAGCGCCTACCTGCAGGTCCTGGTCGGACTGGCCGTCTTTGGCGCAACAGCTCGATACACTTTGTTCATCATCTGGGAACACATCCATGAATTTTTAGTGTCAAGAGCCGAGATTCGTGTGGATGACGAGACTTTTAATTATTTCATGTTCTGGATCTCACGTCAGCCGCACATGAAACGGACAAATCGATTTATCGCAGGCGTCAAAACCAATAGTTACTGGAGCGACAATGAAACCGACGATGAGGATTTTGAAAGGGACGAGGACGATGAGGACGACGAGGAAGAGTTGTTAAACGGTGGCAAAAATGCTTCTTTCGATTCATACTGGGCCAAGGTCACCATTCGGGACAAGTACAAGAAGATGCGGTTTACTCCGTCTGAAGGCTGCCATTACTTCTGGTACAAGAACCGACCGCTCATGCTCGAGCGCCAAGCCCGGGAGGGCGGTAATTGGTACATAATCAATAACGAGCGGATCTTCATATCGTGTCTCGGTCGGAACCCTGCGATTTTGAAAACACTGCTAGCCGAGGCCCAGCAGGCGTATGTCGACCGCGACAGGAACCGCACGGTAATCTACCGCGGGTCTCGATTTGGTGCTGGCCAAACATTCAGTTGGTATCGCTGTATGGCACGGGTACCACGTCCCCTGTCCACCGTTATTCTGGATCAAGAACAAAAGGAAGACTTTCTCGATGATATCAAGGAATACCTACATCCTCGCACGCGGCGCTGGTATACCAACCGTGGAATCCCGTATCGGCGTGGGTACCTTCTGCATGGTCCTCCGGGGACTGGAAAGACGAGTTTATGCTTCGCAGCGGCTGGACTCCTGGGACTGAAACTCTACCTGCTGGATCTGAATTCCACAGCCTTGGATGAAGACAGTCTGTCGTTGCTGTTCTCCGAACTGCCACGCCGATGCATTATCCTACTTGAAGATGTCGACTCAGCAGGTATTACCAATGCTAGGGCTGTCACATCTACATCTGCATCTACTTCCGACACCCTCGTGAATGATGCTACCCCCAAGGAGAGCAGTGCCAAAGTAGATAGTCCAGCTACCAAAGATGATGCCAAGAAAGGCGGAATTACACTTTCAGGACTTCTGAACGTGATTGATGGTGTCGCAGCCAGTGAGGGACGCATCCTCATTATGACCACCAACCACGTGGAGAAGCTCGACCCGGCTCTCACCCGTCCTGGCCGCGTCGATATGAAGATCCGTTTCGGGTACACAAGGGATGCCGATATCAGGGAGCTTTTCACTTCGATCTACGGGGCCATGGACAACGACATTACGCGCGATGAAGCCCCAACAACCCACCATCACAGCCATGCTTCAGTCAAGTCACCGAAAACCACCACTATTGCTAGTGATGTCGCCAAGGCAAAGGGCGAAGTGATCCAAGACTCCGAGGAGCGTAATGGGGACATGAAGGAGGATAATGCAGAAGACCTACAGGGCCTTGTATCCCTCCGATCCCGCATCTCGGAGCTAGCGTCCGAGTTTGCTGCAATTATTCCCAGTGGCGAGTTCACAGCTGCGGAGATCCAGGGATATCTCCTTCATCACAAGGAGGAACCTGAGGTCGCGATTCAGGGTGCAGTGGAGTGGGTTCAAACGGCGCGGGAGAAGAAGCGTGAGAGTGAGGGAGTGGGACAAGTCGAGGCAGAGGGAGAGGGGAAAGAGAACGCCTAGGTGCATACAGGCATGTCTAGAACGATTGGCGATATCATGCACGGAGTCTCACCTCCAAATCATCGAATTCCAGTACATTTATGTCCAAATCAAAGTTTGACGTACCTAGTGTAAATGTGCTTTTCTCGCTTGCTTTTTCATAGGCTATCCTTGTAAACAATTGCTTTGTTTAAAGAGCAGCATGGTGCTATACTTTTAGACAACTCCCATCTTTTTTTTTAATTTTTGAAATGGCAAAACAGAATATCATTGCTCTCGCATATCACATGCAATCCTATCCTTTAACTAACCCGGGGTATATAATGTCCAAAGAAACCAGACTTCGTAAAAGTCCAACGCGAAGCCAAACTCCAGTAGAGAAGACCAACCAAACTCTCAAGCAATCGATGCCGTCTTCCCATCGATAGCAACATCAGCCACATACATACACCTACTAGTCCTCTCCTGAGTACAGAAACCATGAAACAACATCCGATCCCCACAACCACAAACATTGCCCCCACCAGGCGAAAGAAGCCCTGTATTCTGAGCATTTATCATAGGAACATTGTTCTTAGTATAAGGGCCCGTAATACTCTCCGCCGTAGCGTAGCGCACATCATAAGCCGGGTCGGTAAAGCAATGAGTGGAGTAAAACAAAAAATACACATCACCACGGATGATCAGATTCGGCGCTTCGACAAGCGGACCATCACCATCAGCAGTATTGCGATCGAGAATCTGAATCGCATCTCCGATAGGCGTGATACCGTCGGCGCCAACCTTCTGCAGCAAGATCGGCGTAGAAACAAGCGGCTCGAGACCGTTGTTACAGTCCCCGCCGTGGCCGATGCTGTTACCGTCGACTTTGAAGACGACGTAGCGGGTACCATCTTTGTCTTTGAAGCCTGATGGGTCGATGGACCCGCCCTGATCGAGACGGCATGATAGGGGCGTGTTGCTGGGGACGTAGGGTCCTGTTGGGTTGTCTGCTATGGCTGTGCCGACGCAGTGGTGTCTGAGGTTTGATTTTGCTTCGCCGGAGTAATACATAACGTACTTTCCGTCATCCTGGGAGGTGATTAGTTATTTGTTTTGGGTTTGGGCTTGGGGTAGGGTGGCTTCGGTATTCTATGTGATGGTTTTTTTTTTCTTCTTCTTCGGAAGCCGAGCAAACTTACCCTCATCACAACATCTGGTGCCCAGTGATCGTTTTCAGTTTCCCATGTTGATAATGTGGGGAGGGCATCGATATCGAGGAGTGTCCATGTTTTGAAATCATCTGAAACGGCCACTTGGACCCGCTTTCCGTTACCGTTGGTGCCGAATGCGTACCATCTGTTGTCGGCTGCTTTCATGAAGCTGGGGTCTGGGAAATTGGTGTTCAGGCCTAGCCAAGGACCCTTTGCTCGTTTTTCAAATAGAGGCGAGCTCATGACGGCGGGGAAAATGGATAGGGTTAATAGAGCCCATGTGGAAGTGGAGTTCATGAAAGAAGACCGCATATTGGACGGATGACCAGGACCAAGAGACCTGAAAGAATTAACTCGGCAATCATGTAGATCTGAATCAATCAGGGCATGGAGGGAAGTCCTTCTTATATGTCGATTTGACCGCCATTGTCTGAAGGTAGGGGAACAGAGCCCGCATTGGAGTTAGGGTAACAAGACAATCAAAGTAAGGCCACATGCTGGGCATTTTATTGGCCCCGAGGGGCAAATTCACTCCGAAGAGAAGAAATGAAAGCAAGCGACAGAAGAAAACAGCCGCAATGCCTGATTCAAGTGGCACCCGGACTCGGCGAAGAACAAATTGGGCCATCCAGTCCTGTACGAGCTTGTTCTGGCACTTCGTATTGATTTCCTTATTTCGTTTTTCTATGAAAGACTTTCTCCTAATGCAGCCCAATCATCTGGCTATGTTATACAGTACATAGCAGTACTGTATGGACCTCGGGAGGGACTTGAAAGGCGTTTTGATGGCATTTAAATGAAAGAAGGGTTAGATCACCGGGGGACTGCCAAAACGAAGGGAAACCAAAGATCCCAAGGGGGAAAAACTTGAGGCTTTAACAGGAACCTTGGAAAGGTGTTTTTCTTTCAAACCCCTGACGAGCGAGGGTACAAAGAGTATCGAAACATTGTTTTGTTTTAGTCTAGAATTCTGATCCCGAAAACGACTGGGTATCCCTTGATAAATGCACGATAATCAACTAAATTCCATGCGTAACCACGTTGCTGAGCTTAGTTGGAGACGGTTAATTGTCCGTATTCTGCACGCAGGATGTGATGGGGTCATCACTGGAGTCAGCCTGAGTTTGGCTGTGTTTTAAAGTCGTGACAAGGCGTAGATATTATCCCGGAGGATCTTCAATGGGTCAGAGCTAATCTTCATGTGGATTTGACTAGGGGTGACCGGGAGTGGAATATGTGGACTGCGAACTAGAATGTCTGAATAAAATTGTTCAGGTCGACCAAGTGTGGAAAGATACTTTAGAAAGGGGGTTTTCGATCATCGATCAAGGCCAAAACGTCAAAGGTCTAGTGATCTGAACTGATTTGAATCTAGGCATTTCAAAACGGAGGAGTAAAAACCCCTAGAAAGGGCATGATACAAGGGCGGAAAAAGCAGACGAAAGTGCGACCCCAAGACAAGAAATTAATCCGGAAAAATGCAGCCCAGATATGATACTGCAAACAGTTTACCCCTAGCGGGCATTTAATGTATGTTTCGCCAAGATGATAGGGCTAGCGAAAAGAGAATCTGCCACTAGGGCCCAGGGGCTAAGTTGGGCCACGCGAGGCGCATGGCTTTCGTGTGCTGGCACTCGTGCTCGTCTGAGGACCAATGACTCTATGGTTGGCCTACATACAAAGAATTCATAGATGTGCTGTGCACACAACCCAAAAAAAGTTGAAACAACTACGGAGTATAGTAAAAAAGAAGCCACTCATCAAGTCCAACCGCATTGGTAAATTCAAGGCACACAATATCAAAAGCTTGTTCCATTCCATCGTTACCCCGCCATATAGCGGCCCAGTCAGACTACGGGTCCCACCAAGTCGCGCTATATCTGAATCAGCGCATCATGGAATGAAGGCTTGAAATACAAGTCATCTATCTGATGATATAGAAGCGGATGCCGGTACTGGATGCAAGCTGCATCAGATCTCGAACCAGAATAGCTAGATTGCCTGTAATTTGCTTCAATGCTTTTAACCCTATCTATCCATCTTCTGTCCTTCTGGAACCAACAAAACTACTTCGATTCTCTTCTTCTTCTTTTTGTTTTTCTTTTTGCAATCTTTAAGGAAAATGAAACAAAACTACCTTTTCGCAGCCGTCTTGCTGCCATTAGCATCCGCAAACCTCGACATCCCCTAAACTATAGCTATGACCCCAAAGCTATGGATCTCTTACAATTCATCGCCTCTGCCAGCCGCACTAACAGCCCAGAGGTAACGTCCTCCATCGAGCAACTAAACGAAATCCGCAACCGGCCCTCCCTTTTCAGTAGGCGGGTCTATGCTATCCAATAGATCTGGCAATTAAATAAACGTTCGGCACACCTCCAACTGACTCCACATAAGAAACATTCGGGGTATCCGAAACTGTACATTGGAAGAAATGACAGCACCTGGTTGGCAAATCGTGTTATATCCTGCGCTGCCCAAAGTGCATGTACATGCAGAACGATCGTTCCCCAAAGTCCAGTTGGCTAAAAAACTAGCAACGTCAGAAAAATGCAAGATTTTGTTGGAAGACATTAGTACTAACTGAGAGCTAGGAGTAGAAATTAACAAATTCATAAATCGACGTTGCAGTGTTTTCGGAAACACATTATATAATGGCAACGAATGAAACTCTTAGGATTAACGCAAAAAAAAAAAGGAACTCTGATGTGGCACATCTACATGTATGGCCCTAACACAATTTTACTTTTAATTGCAAATCATACTGTGGCTGATAGGTCGATGTTAAGGTGGTGCACGATGGTCGATAGTGACTCAAACAAGGGTTCAAGCGCGGTTGTAGATGTTAGAGTAAGACACGGAAAGCCTCGTCTAGGCTGGCATCTAGTTGCAGAAAGTCCACAAGACGCCCCAAATGATCAATTCCCCAGAAGCTTTCCTTTGCCCCATCGGCGTTTATGCAATCGAACCAAGGCAAACCGAAGGCGCCGGAGGTGAAGACCTGTTGTGTGTTCTCATCTAAGATGGCGTTTGCCTCTGTACTTTTGATCTGTAGAACAAAATTAGAGACGAGAGAGATCTGACATGCAGACAAGATGAAACGTACCTGATCCAAAATTTGCTTAGTGTTCTCGGCGCCAAGCTCGCTCTCAAAGACAGCAGCGAAACCGGATTGAGTGAGAACGTTCGAGTTTCCCTCTACCCAGAACCCACGATAGAGCTTATCCACGATGGAAACTAGCTTCTCAGGATGTTGTGTAGCCAGAAGGCAAAGAGCGAGCTGAACATCCGAGGTGGATGCGGGAAAGCCTTCTGGGATGGCTTCGGACATGGGAACCTGGAAGCGACGAGCCCAGTAAATACGCTCTCGGTTAATCCATTGGAACTTGTCTATAACAAGAAGTTAGCGGGCTTTAAATACGGGGTAATTCATAATGTTCGAGGAAGAAAGAACAAAGCGAAACCTACTCTTGACTGCAAGAGGAGGCGTGTTTTGACAGAACTGAAACAGTTCTCGCAGGGAGACGGGGACATAGTGAATGTCACATGTCGCAAAGACAGGGGATATCTATTTACCGTCATCAGCTAATTTCCCATCCAAAAAATCTTTTGGAAGATTCGCCTGACTCTCAAAGCATGGAACGCAATGCAGGCGAAGGGACTGCCAAGGTCGAAATAAAGGGTGATTTTAGGAGTAGCCATACTTGGAATAATTCTTTCGATGACAGACTGTTTGAATAAATCTAGATCAGTTCGCTGGGCCGGATCTCTTCATATAGTCAACATCATTTTATGATTATTCATATTCGGGGTCTGATTGAGGTATACTCCGTCAAGCTGTTCCCAACAAACTTTCGGATCTCAAAATTGCCGAATGAATTGAGGTTCGGGTGGATTTCTGGAGCCCGAGATCCTTCAACATTTTCATAGTTGAATGTTATTCTCCTTGTTGGGAAGGAGTGTAGTTTGAATCTCACGAACTAAATCTTGCAGTCAAGAAATACTATTAGAGCACAGAAAGACCACCATTTTATCCATCTCTGAAAGATCTTGGCTGAGCGTAAATCAACCAATAAGCATAACCTTCAGGGTTTACTACTACCACGGATAATAAAGCAGGCAGTGTGCTTAATATACGGTCACTTAGTACTATTCCCCCACGGTTTCAGATCGGCTTAAAGCTCTCCATCTCTTTCCACTCTTGAAAAAGACCCACGGAACAGGCAAAAGTGCCACTGCAATAAACCCAAGCAAGCTAGAGGCCCACCCTGCACCGAGCCTGGTGTACACTATAAAACCTGTTAGCTTGTATTTTTGGATATCACCATGAAAGTAAGGTGCTCTCTTTGGATGGTAAAGAGAGGAAAGGCAGCCGCGAGTCCATAACGTGCCAAACCATGGGCGCTTATGGCACTTGCGATAGTGTTGGATGCCTCAGGCATCACATGTAGGATAGACTGTTGAACGAAATACATCGTACTTTTCCACTAGACCATAACAAAAACCAAGGTTCCTGTTTATGGCCTAGGGAGGCCGTATTTGAGGTTTGACATAGACCAACTAGATAGTCTTCCTTCCACTCTCACCTTCTCTCTCTCCCCGTCCATCCAATTGGATACTGTTTTACCTGCATACATAATATCATTGTATTTGCATCAGATAGTGAGACCATGGTAAGTATCAACGAGGTACTGCGTTGTGCTGACGAAGACACCCAGATTCCCCCATGCGAAAACAACGATTGTAATCACGGGACTCGCCAAGGAGATATCAGCTCTAGCAGTGCATGCAAACCAGAAAAGACCGATCGACAGTTCAACACTACCTATTTGTGCTGGATAGAGGCGATGATCCGGTGGTATTTGCCCGTCTGGGTGCTTTGCGGCTTTCGGGAGGTACAAGAAGGCGTTGCATATTATGACTGTCACGGTTCCCAGCAGAGATCCGACGACGATACTCAAGAAGACAAGGCCGGAGTCCTCAATGTTGAAACAATGAATGCCTTGGAATATCAGTGGAAAGGCTGCGAAGAACGAGAAGAGTGTCGCGAATTTACAAGCAGTATAAAGGCAAATAAAGCCGACGATGGGGTCGGACATGAGCATGTGGATAGGACGGAGGAGGGAGATGGCTACAAATAGGCGTAGCTTCGAAGAGAGGCGTGCTGATGGGGGAAGGTCTAATCCGAGCTCCTTGGCACGACGACGCCTGGTGATAGGGTGAAAGGGCTCTTTGGCCATGGTAACTGTGATACCCTAAGAAAGGTAAATCACAGATCCCAGAAAACGTGGGACAAACCCCAACCCCTAGGGTAAACAGAGTGCCCAGAGACATGATCCCTGCATAAACTGGGTATCGCCCGACAGTTTCAGAAAGAGGTCCTCCGGCGATAGGTCATCATCACCACTTGCAAAACTTTTTGACTTGTCGGCCAGTTGTAAGGATTACTCGGATCATCCTCTCAATTCCATATTTCGCTAGATTTGGCCTCCTCTGCAATGGTGCCAAGTGCATTTTCGAGCGCATCGTCGGTTGATGACTGTAAAACCTCCACGTTACTGTGTATCTTGGCCTTCGCGTCTAGCTGTACCATGTTGAAAATCGATTTGAAATGGAGGCACACTCGGAGAGGTACTCATCGTGACAGCGCTCTCTTATATCGAAAGAGATCATGAAACGATAGGTTAATCGGTTATTGCCGAGCATTGCAAAACAACTGATGACTCATCGATAGTTCTATACGACCGACGCCGAGGTTATACAATCTCCAGTATAGACTACGTCGCGCTCACCGTCCAACAGCGATCTTCAAAGGGTCTTCGACTCGGGTCAAGAGCGGGGGCTGCCCGAAAAAGATCAAAGTCGATAAGTTTCTGATTGGCTCAAGAGGGGAGTGCTAACCTACTGAGTCTTTTGATTATTCAACATTTGATTATTCACCGCGTGCATTTTTGAAGACCTATCAACTGAGATTGGGTGACATAATTTTTGGATTGTTGAGATTCAGATGTGACTTGTTGAGGAGGCGTTTATTGTGGTTGAATAGAAAGTGAATCGGAAGATTCGTGGCAAAGCGACAACCCAGCGCATCAATCTTGGCCTCGCCTTAGCCATGTGTATAACATCAACTCCCATCTCCAAAAAAGGAGCCACTGGTTTTAGGCATGGGGCTTTTCTTTACCATCTGACAGACAGAACCCTCAAGCGGAATCGACATCTTAGTCAGCATCATCCGGTAGTACCAGTCATAAGGGGGTTAGGGAACGCCACAAAGTTGCCACCCTAATTGCGCCCTCGTCTCGGCTTCTGGTTCGGCCTCAGATAATGGACTTCGCAACTCAGCGAAGGATCTTCATACTTCTAATTCCCGACTCTTCTGGCATGCAAGTGATCTCGGTCACCTTGAACATCCCAAAAGTCCCTTAGGGCTCCTCGATACGAGCTAATGCTATGCCGACCCAAAGAAGCTTGCGGAACTTCTGTATGGACATGAGGGATCTAGGAATGTGAATCGATAGAGAGCCATGGTTCGCATGGCCAATGGAGACAGAAATTGTGGCCTGATTATGTGGGTGTTCACTTTCTGTATTTGTTCTCTCAAAGATGTCATCGATGACTTTTTCTTGTCCCAGAGCTTAGCCGTACGTCCGGCTCTTGGCCTTCCAGGTTCAATGCTGATTGACTAAATTTTCTTGCTCGGGGATCAAAAGGTTGTACGCTTCTTTGACATACTGTTTATGTCAAGATTCAAAATTTCACTCTCGAGCTACTATAGAGCTATCGCTCCACTAGATTACATGAAGTTCTATCCCAAAGCGCGAGAGCAGCGGCTTAGCATCCACCACCCATCTGTTCGGCCACGTCGATTGGGTCTTTTAAAGGCAGCTGCAGTCAATTTTCTATTGCTCCAAATTCTATTCCTGGGTTTATTTTGTTGGATATTCGGCGCTCTCTTCCATCAGTCGGGACACATTCACAACATCAATGTGTTGTTTGTTGACTATGATGGCGGCGCGATAGGCGATGCAGCCCGTGTCGCATTTCAAAAACTCAAAGGACCCTTCTTTCCAACCTTTATTGAGCGATCTGCCTCCGTATACCCTCAACCTGGATTAATTGAAAGTGCCGTCTGCGAGATCAAATATTGGGGAGCCCTCTACATCACAGCAAATGCGTCGAATGCATTGAGTGCCGCATTTACCGGTGGGTCGGCCGCCTCGTCATACGATAAGAACAATGTTCTCATCATGGTGTGGAACGAAGTGCGTTACCCGACTGTCGTTGACTCGGCCCTTGCCGATAGCATGAAATTGCTGTCGGAAACCGCACGTGTCGCGTACTCGCAGACTAACGCGAAAGAGGCGATGAAGAGTGTCAACACTTCCGATCCTACTGCGCTGGTAGCGTTCTACGAGCCATGGAAATTGGCCGACCACAATGTTTTACCCACAGCACAAGGATCCAGAGCTATTTACAACACGCTAGTTCTCATTTTGATCATGAACCAGGATTTCTTCTACCTGGGTACAGTCAATGGCTTATATACCCAATTCAAACTCTACACCTCGGTGTCACCGCATCGCATCCTCATCGCGCGTCAATTCATTTCTTTGGTCTACGCTCTCGTTGGGGCCATGTGCACAGCTGGGGCAATCTGGGCATTCCGAAGTGGCTGGAATGTCAACAGCAACCAATTCGCGCTCACTTGGCTTGCATTATGGCTCTTTGCGCATTTGAACTTCCTCGTACTAGACGTTTTTACCATCTGGCTTCCGCCTCCTTACGTCCCGATGGCGCTGATATCGTGGGTCATCGTGAATATCACTTCCATCATTATCCCATTCGAACTGTCACCTGCTTTCTTTAAAGTGGGCTTCGCCTTACCCGCACATTCTATCTTCCAGGTTCTCATCGATATCTGGTCCTCTGGCTGCAACCCCCAACTCTATTTCGCGCTACCTGTGCTCTTTGTGTACGAAATGCTTGGTATTACCTTGAGCTCCATTGGGGTTTATAGAAGGGCTCATTACGCGTGCATCACACAAGACAAGGACGAAAAGGCTTTTCAAGAGCGGGTGACGGCCGCATTACAGGAGCAGCAAGTGGCTCAAATTGTCAGACGGGAGACAATGCATAATATCGAAGGAGGCGAAACATTGGACACCGAGGATGGGGAAACTGCGACAGCAACGGCAGATCAAGTGGAGTTGATCAACATGATCAGCCGTGAGATTTCCCGGTCTACGGTCGACAGACCAGATACAGGCCGAGGTAGCACCGGGCCATCTTTTGCCTTGGCCTACAAATAATGGACGAGCCTTTTCAGTTGCTGCGAACATAAAAAAATCGATCGTGGTCCAGTGAAAATATCTAAATGCAAGGAATCTATGAAGATTGTGCATTATTCTTCTTTACATCCTCACCGCCTCATCAGAAATCTGGTCAACATCAGAGACCCAATAAACGAACAAAAGCATCACTTCATTCGACCGCTATCAGAATTCAACAGGGTATACCGATATCGATCTATTCAACTAAATACTGCTATAGAGGGGATGATTTGAGGTGAGCTATCGTAAATCTAGATTCACTTACCCAACTCCTCCTGACCAAATGGCTCCTCGGCAAAGTCAGCAATCGGAGTAGCCCATCCTGGCCCCAGGAGCAGGCGTGCAATATAGCCATCGTCGCTAGGATCCATCTTACTTTCTTTGTCACTAGCATCAATCTCCCCATGTGAATCTTCGTCAAAATCCACTCTCAATTGAGCCTATCCACCGTCGATAGAGCGAGGAGACAAGGAACATTTAAGGATCATTCGGTCGAGAGTATCTGCAACTATAATGTTACTGTTTATGTCACTCTTGAGCAGACCGATTTGTCCAGGCAAACCGCGCTGAAGGGTCTCACAAAGCTGTGTAAAGCGAGCTTCCGTCGCGAACTGTGCACAGATGCGTGCAAGGCGGGAAATTGAATCCAGCCTTGCAATTAACAATGAGCGGTTATCTGGGTTGGATCGGAGATCGCGGATTTGGTGCCTGAGAACAGCGAGCATACGCTCATGTTGCTCGCTATCATTGAGTGACGGCATATCTGTAAATGGGTCCCCTGAAAATGTCAGTAAATGTAGTGCCTGGACAGTACTTACCTAGACATTGTAGATGGATTCCAGGGTGGAACTGTTGATCGGAGATGGAATTACCACTGCTGATAAAGCCCAGATGATGTGGGCAAAGAGGCTATTTATCGTTTCTTGGTTCTCCTAGTGGTTCAAGAATGGATCATTTGGCAACAAAGACCATTGTTGTAGACAAAGATATGAATGATTGGGATCATACACTTGTTGATAGCCCCCTACAAGCAACAACACCAGCCACAAAGACCGTTCAAACTGGTTGGATAAAAGAAAGGATCGCGGTCAATAAGACAGTGAATCATTGGAGTTCGGACCCATTGGCGAGAGGACGCGTGATTCATTACAATAGTCATGCAACTTGGCTTCGTTTGCTAGAAATTTTTTTCAAATTGATTATCATCAACTTGGCTCTCGTGAGATAAAGCTGTAGATACCCAATACCACGTCGAGTGTGTTGGCGTTTCCTATTTGACCACAATTGCAGTAGTAAAGGATCGCTATAGCCTTGACAACAGAGAATTGATTTTTCAAAATTTGATTCCATGGGTCGAAGTCAATCCTCGCAGTGAAATGCAATCTTTTTATCCATCATGCTCTAGCGAGTCTCTCCTCGCATGCTCCGACACAAAATCAAGGACATTAGGTAATTTTTGGTACATGCGTGTAGGCTATTGCATTGGTTGTAATGGACAAGTGGGGTCAACGGAATTCTTGCGTGAAGTGTTTTGTATTCAAGGCAGAGTTAGGCCACAGGATGAAACAGAGATTTCATTTGCTTCGCGCTCTGTGCTAGAGTCCTGGCGATGACATTGAGGACACATGCACTTGGCAGATGTTCTTGGTCAATGTCAATCGGTCAAAAGATTCAAGTGGTTCTCTCAGTCACAGAGCTTGACCTGCCCGCAAAGAACGACATCTTCGCCAAATGGGTACCATTTGACATTCTTCAATCTTGCTGCGGAGATGGCATTTCCATCCTCGTCAAAGCGCCTAGCAGGGGAGACGACCACGCCACCTTCACCCAGCCACGTGGGAGCAATGGTAATAATTACACTGTCCAGCAAGGACATGTAAAGTGGGCTCAAAAGGGATTTGATGACCTGGCCGCCACCCTCTATCATCACGCTCCCAAGGCCGTTCGATTTCAAAGTGACAAGCAAATCAGGCCAGTCGATCTGATGTCGGCCGGTATGCAATCTTACCATTTTAACCGAGATAAATCTTCCGCCATACTTTTCCAGCAATGATTGCTTCTCGGCGCTCGGGTTTCCAACTGCAGTGATGATCCATGGGGCACGGCCACGGCCCTCTCTGCAAAGTTGGAACAGCTTACTGTCATCTGAAAAATTCCATCGGGCAGTTGGATCAATGACAACTGGTCTAGGCTGGCCATTGAGGCCATCTTGGCCATAACCCCCAACTCCTGTGATTCGACAGTTGAGACCGGGGTCGTCTGCAACTGCGGTACCAACGCCGATAAGAATTCCATCATGACGGGATCGTAGGTAGTGAGTCATTGCCTTGGACTGGGGCCCTGAAAGCACCGTACGTGTACCAGGGGAAAGAGCAAGAGAAGAGTCAAGCGAGGTCGCGAATGTGAGTGTTGTGAAGGGGAGATCAGACTGAGCTGCCGAGCTATCTTGTGGGGGCAGATGGGGCTCCAAGAAGCCCCTGTCTGAATCTGAAAACTCCAATGCATCTCTAGGTGCTGAGCACATCTGGAGCGTTGTGGGGTTCAAAATGGTTCACTCAACAATTGCTGTTCGAGATATGAAGCTCGGCCTTGGCGGTGAGATGAAGTCGATATTGATGCCTCAGGCACAAATAGTGTGCCTGACCCCACTACCCAACCACATCGCCGAACCACGATTGGACACAGACCAAAAATGGCAGGTTGGCCAACAGAAGAGGATCAGTGTGATGCATCTGAAAACCTGCATGAGCGGGGTCTTTTACGTGACCGCCCCCCCCGAAGTCGACACTTCCTCCTCTCCCATAATGTTCAACGATCCATAGTTAACGAATCTCACACATATCATGTCAGATCCACATACCCTTTTGCCTGGGAGCCAATCAATCTTGGTGATACGCGATCGGGAGAAGAGAAAAAGGACTAGCACATCAAAGGTCCGCACAGGGTGTGTGACCTGCAAGTAAGTACCCAAAATTCGGTTTCAAGTGAAAGCTCAGTAGATGAGGAGATCCGCAGCGCGTCAACACAATGCGGTGATTTTACCCAGCCATATGATCTTATTTCAGTAACAATGCTGGCACTAACACCCGTTTGAAGATCTCGTCATAAAAAATGTGATGAAACTCGACCCTCTTGTCTTACGTGCCTTCGTGTCGGACGTGTATGTGAAGGCTATACGGCGCTACCCGATAAAAGAACCCGCGAAGTGCGAAATGCGCGCACCATGAGGAGTGGTGATGCTCTAAACATTGTGCATGTGGGTCAGCAACAAGCTCAATCCGCTGGTTTGGTCTACGTGCTTGATGGGAGTCAAGTTGGCTTGTCGCGGATGGAACGTGACTATTTGTATTCATTCCGGTCGTACACTGCTAGCCAGTGCGCTGGGTATCACTTCGACCCATTCTGGCAGGTTCTGGTTCATCAAGTCAGTGAATCTTGCCCCGAGGTCCGCCATGCTGCTATTGGTATCGGTGCCTTGCATCGTAGATTTTCCAACCCCGGTTCTAACCGGCATGACAACTTCCCAATGCGGCAGTCGACAAAGGCCATTGCCTGTCTTCGCAAGGCTATGATGGAAGGTGACCAATCGGATCCCTCGGTCACAGAAAAGATCCTGGTAGCTTGTGTTGTTTTGGTAACCTTCGCTTTATTCCAAGGCGATGTTGATGCAGTTCGCTGCCATCTGCAAGCTGGCACTAAACTCCTATGGGAGTGGAGAAAGAAAACCACCAAGAGCCCGGTTGCTTCGGTTTTATTACATACATTTATCCAGCTCCATATCCATTGGGCAAGCGCTACAAGACTCCAGGATTATCTCGCGGGAGGATATCCTTATCTTCAAGAACTGATTCATGAAAACCTCGTCGACATCTCTGCACATGCCGATGAACTATCAAAATCGACTATGCTGGTATCTGTTCAATGTTGGGCGTTAATGTTCAGTGATCCTGTATCGCTTGACCCACAGACCACGAATCTGTCGCGAGGATTCACCTGGGACACTCCCGCGAACAAGGTCCATCGATTGAAAACACAGGTGGAGGAATGTAGCGCTCTCCACAGAAGGGCTATATCCCCCACCAAGCTCCGTGCCTTCATGATCGTCCAGATGCAGATTGAGATGATACAAATTGTACTTGCATCCACAAAATTTTCAGGCTCTGAAACAGAATGGGACCCTCTCTTTCCCCATTTCAAACGTGTTGTTGACAAAGCAGAAGTGTTGCTGAGCAACTTCAATTACTTGCCCGACCCATTGTTTTCTGTCAAGGAAGGATTCTTGGGATCCCTCATGTTTTGTGGGCTCAAATGTCGGGACTGGACGGTTCGACAGAAAGTATTGGCCATCTGCCAAAAGTACAACCGACGAGAGGGAATGTTTTCTACCGCTGAAGCCGCGCTCCTATTGAAGAAAGTCTACGATTTGGAGTCTGCCGGGATTTTACCGGGAGCGTACATACCCGAGTCCGCTCGTATTCCCTTAGCATATATCGCGGAATATCCCAACCTTTCGAAATTTACCACCAAATGTCTCATCAGATATCGTGATAGGGACGGCAATTGGTACAGTGAATTGTTATCACCTTGATGGGTTGTCCACCTGTAATAGACTTGATGGTGGACAAGAGTTCTGTAGATTGCAACTTTCTCAATAGAATTGTATAAATCTGTTTCCAGGTCGTCTGGCAAAATCACTGTGCAGTAATTGAAGTAGCGAAATCAAAGTCTTGTCCCCGAAGATCTGTTGACACGTGCCATTTGCTCGGTAATCTGATCGACAACATGAGACCACCGTCGGGGTTGGCGTTGGGGCTCCACTCGGGATTACAGCCCTCGCCTCCATCGCATGGGCCCTGTGGGAACGTTCGAGCTCGCTTGAGAGCTCGATCAACAGGCGCCCGTATACCGATGAACCAATCCTCAACACCAGGAGCCTTTCGGCAACCAGGGCAACCCCGTCGACCGGTCGAATTGGGCGCGTCTAATGGATCAGAGTTGGGAACTGGAGAGAATCACAAAACGACAAGTGAGCGCCAGGTTTGATGGCTTGTCTGCTGCCATCTCTGGTTACAACCTTTCTCTTTTGATGATTTCCGGCCGGTTTTGTGAAAACAACACGCATTTGAATTTGGGTTGTTCCCAGGTGGACTATACCCTATCAGGTTATTCATGTCGATGGTCCTACTCCAAATCCGTCAGGTCTTGCAAGTGTTTGAACTCTGGTAACTATATCCCTTGTTGTAGTACCCGCGTACTAGATATTACCTACTTTAGAAAACAGTGTAGAGGATAGGTCGAAATAGGTTTTGAGTTCGGTTGGGCTTTGATACTTGAACCCACAAGTGCCACAAGTGGGTTGGAGTTGGGGTTCGGGGGTCTCAACCCACTAGTGGGGTTTGGCGCAGAATAAGCATGAGCAAGTCATCAAGGCAAGGCTTAAATGGGAAATACTGTATAGCACGCGATGGTCAAGTGCGAGGAAGAGTGAAAAGGTCAGCAGCAGATAGCGGGCACAAAGAAACGCCGAGCAACTATGAGATCGGGTAGTCAGTTTGAAAAAGTAGAGATGCAGTACAACATATGTTGTAGGGAGGTCAGGTAAAAAAAAAAAAGAGGATCGTTAGGACAACATACAACATAGGCTTGGGGAGTGGTAGGGTATTAGGGAAATGCACGGACATCTTAAGTGGAGATAACTGAACCAATCCAATCCCACAGCTAATGACCTTGGTCCATGTTGACTTGTTGATTGCTGGCCAAAGAACGGAACTTCGACGGCCTCCGAAATTAAATTAAGATTAGTACTGAGTTCTAGTCATTGGGTAAGCAATGATGCTCAAGTACACGAGTTTTATACACCCCGGAGCGTTATAAATAGAGACAGAATTGCCAGCTAGGTATGAATGGACACAGACACAGCAAGCTATTGTCCGGTCAGTCTGGCAGCTCAGAACCTAGTAACACTTCTTTCCCTCTGCTCTTCCCGTCTATATGGCTTTACTCCTTACTCCCAAAAAGTCGCTTGACCGAGCCCAACCGCGATTTCTTCTCTCCTGCCTTCACAAGTTTACCCTTTCCCCTGTGAAGCTCTCGCAGCCGCCATAGCATCCCCAGCGCACTACTCACCACGATGCTTTCTCCAATGGAGCTCCGACCAGCAGGAAGAAGCAGAAGGCCCTCGCTGTGCGGTAGGTACAACGAGTCGTCGAGTCCGATGTGGTAGTATACGGCCTGGATATCGGCATCGCTGGGTTCTTGCTGCTTCTCCTGTGGGGCCGGGCGGTGGACAAGTGTATACCGTAGGCGCCCGATCCGGCTGGGGTGAATCTGCCATTGGTAGGTTGTTGATCCAACGTCGGCATCTGGGACACGGAAGGTGAAATAGGGGTGCTTCACGATGCCGTTGCGGGTTGATGAGGGGGGAATGGGGTATGTGACGTCGAGTATTATCTCACTTTCATCTGCGCCATTTGTCGTCAAGACGGCTGCTTCCTCCTCGGTGGGAGAAATTTCCCTGTGACAATGAGTCTCACTTTTTACCGAAGGTCAGAGAAAGTGCAACTTACAATTTTACCCCAGAAGACGGAGATGACGATTTTCGGCCTCTCACCAATCCTACCACCGCTTCTTCTTCTTTTTCATGATTAAAATTCACATCGTACAAGACGGTCGTATCATCTGGTTCACCACCCTGCGGTTTCGGCATGACTCCTATGGCTACCGCATACTTGGTACAACCGATGGGGAGTGTGCCCTTCGCAGCTGCATACCGGGTGCTGATGTCATGGATGGCCAGGTGAGTTGCGTTTCTGTCGTGACGAGGGATATAGACTGCACGTGAAAGGTGAGCGAGAGCCGCGGCATCTGGATGTCCAATTTGCGAGGCAGCAGAGCGGGTGATTTGGTTATGCGATGAATACTGTTCCCAACCGGGGACGCTCCCACCTTCAGCCATTTTTAATTGGAAAATCTTCCGGGATCAAGGAAACTGAGTGGGATCTTATTGAAAGGGTTATACGATGTGCAACACCGGTACTGGTGTGTAGAAGGGTCAGATTTGTAATTGAGTAGGCTGTCTTGGGCATGTGATCAACGTCCAGCGCCCGAGGCTAACCCCCTAACACTCCGAAAAAAACGATGTGGATGGGTATGTCCAATAGTACATGAGCAATCTAGAAATGGCGGGGAAGTGAGATCCGATCTTACACTTCCTATGACATCACTCCCCCGCGATGTCCAGGTCCAGAGTGATTCTTCCTTTGAACACAAACATAACACAACAATCCTGGCTTAAATTACAACTACACAGTAAACAAGAGAAGACCACCTACCATCGTCACTCGTAATTAGTTCCTTTTGCCTCGGCCTCTTTGAGCTACGCCTAAGACGATTCGTTCATTGGCCCAAACTCTAAAGTTGCCCCATTCATCCATAGCCCGGAATTGATTTACCCCGTGGGCCAGGAGAGAAATACGGAGTTCTTAGATTGGTTGTCAACGGCATACGCGAGCGCAGGATGTCCTATCGTATAAGTAACCTCCGGAACAGGACTCTCCTTTTGGTAGCAAATTCACCACCGCTTCTGGGGATTCGTCCATAGCCCAAAGCGGGGGCATGGTTGAAATGGCTGTCAATTGTGTGAGGACATCTATATCCACCCCCCAGGAGCAATTCCACGAGCTCTAAACTGTTGCTCCACACGGCAGAGAGAAGAGGCTGCACCCATTCTTCATCATCTTCCGGTTTATCGGATGAACAAAGTTCAGGGGGTGCGCCACCTTGATGGAAAAATCCTGGCAGGTCGTATACTCCGTATTCGCGTGTGAAATTACGCAAGCCACCGGTTCCGTGTGGTGGTGACTCACAGTTCCATCGACCAACATCTAGACGACTTCCTAACAGTCCTGCATCACTACCACTACCAGCGCATCAACCTTATCTTTTACTCGCAGTCAAGTTTGGACCCATATTCGGAGCCGTAAGGGAATTTAGCAACGGCAAGCTCATACGACAATAGATATCGCGGGCGGATCCCAGACGCATCTACGGACCGCCATGATAACGCGCTCCATTGAAAATTGCATGTTATATTTAGTCAGTTTGTTCCCCACGGATTTGGAAAAAAAGTCCGGATTTTGTCATAGAAAAAGATTAGAGAATCATGTGTATCCATTGATCACACCATATCGTGTTCTATCCCTAGATTTCTCTTATTATCTTCGGAAGGCCACGCTCCCACCGGAACTCCCCTATCATTCCAGCTTTGCCTCGGGGCTCGAAGCAGTCGTGTGACTTGTATTCGATCATGGACTACGAGGAACGAAGAAGGATCCAGAATCTTGATGCGCAACGAAAATAGCGTAGGTTTCTTGGAGTGTCGAGTTACCTTGCCGATATTCCGCTAACGATTGATTCAGGTAAAAAAAGAAAGCACACGACTAGCATCAACTAGACTACATGCTTCTTATGATCTGTAGTTAGAAACAAGGTAAAAAACTAAAAAAAGTACTAGGACCGCAATAGTAGTGTAGTTCATATTAATCACATGTTAAACTTGGTCAACTTTGTCCGCAGAGATTGGAAAAGGAGCGGATTTTGTCAGTTTTAGTTAGAGAACTATACATATCCTTTGATCGTCCCATCCCTTGATGCACGATAGACTTCTGTCATCATACCCTAAATTGGGGGTCATAACCTGGTGGCTAGATGTCTTCGCACTGAGTCGCCTCTTCCATAGCCCTCAAAAAGCAAGCCTTGTCAATAGGCCGCCCATTCTTCTGACCTCCTTTCCATGCCCGTCGCTGGTTGATCTTCCAGGCAGGTTCACTCTTGTGTGCGATCTTTTTCATCTCATCGCCGAGATCAAGCTTCATGATCAGCAATCGTAGCGCCCAGTTTTCGATACCACCGGCTAGCTTTTCAGTCTCCACGAGGAGGCGTAGCAGTTCAACATGCAATTTTCTCAATACAGCTTTCGTTTCGGTAAAAGCTCCCCGAGCAGTGATCTCCTCTAGCACGTACTGTTTCATCTCCGGTGACAAGATTTCGCCCTTCCGGGAACCCTTAAACACGCTTGTCAACGCTGTGTTGGAGAAGCCTGGTGGTTGCATTGATAAGATAACCGGGAAAGATAATTTTCCTTCGTCGAGATCATCGCAAAAGCCCTTGTTTTTAGTGTACTAATTTAAGATGTTGGTCAAAATGCGTGATGAGAAACATAGTAGGAGAATTTCTTACATCTTCGCTTTGAAGGTTCTGGTAATCATCTCGGATTTGGAAGTGTCTTCCAAGCAAGGTTACGAACTGACTTATATCTAAGTCACTAGATTTTGTTAGCTTCGGTCTAAATCTGTTGTACGATGAGAGTTGAAATACCTATTCATCGTCGCCTCTGATCTCATCAAGCGGCTGATAAGCCGGAACAAGCCACCAGTTTCTATTTAATGATCAGTGACTGGAAACATATGGATAGATGTGCTAGTACATACTGCCATCAACCATGCTGGTATACTGTGCAGGGGTTGGTACATGCGTGTGATAACTCCAGTGGAGATCGCGTCCCTGTCCAAGTTGTAGGTTACGCATTTCATCTATTGTTGTTAGTCCAAACGCTTTTGTAAGCATGCACACTAGGGGTATTCCGACCTGTGTAAATCGAAACCGCAGATGGTGAAAGCATCTGGATAAGAGACAAAGCTTCATTCATCAAATATGTCGCAGTGTTGATTGTTTGGCCAACGCCAAATATCTGATGCGCCACTGGCTTTCCGCGTCTGAGAACACTTCCATCTTGAACGTCATCGAGTCTGTTTATGTGTCAGCGAAGGCAAAGATGACGAAGTTGAGGGGGCCCGGCTACAATAACGATGAGTTATGCAGGAAATTCACTGCGCCTTCTATGATCAGTAGGGATTTCTTGGGCACTTTGTACCATGAGTTCAGAGCCGCTATTAATGTCTGTCTCACATTCTTAGAAGGTAGTGAGTTGATGTAGGTGTAGGGATTTAACACGGGCTGCACATTTCTAGTTAGCACTTAGGCCTCCTCGTTTTCGAATATTCTTAGCGACAGAAACTTGCCTCGTCAATTTTGGGATCTCCAGGGGAGTACTTGGCCAGGACATCAATCTCTGCTGCTGTTTCTGAGATATGGTGAGTCCCCTTTGTTCGGGATCAAGGCAGTCTTGAAACCGGATAATGGTTTTATACTTACTTCGGCTGGGATCTTTCAGCAAGACCTGATGATTGTCTTGAATGTCGTGTTTATGCTCCATTTTGGGTGTGAGAACTCGCACGGCGTCACTGCCAAACTTTGCAAGGTGATCCGTATAAGGATTCCGGTCAACCTTGAAGTAACGAGGAACACACAGACTCCAAACCCAGTTTCCAGCCATTGAGTGCTCGAGCAGCCTTAACCAGCGAAGAATTGACTCTGATGGGCTAGATGTAGCCTCGTATTGTTCTTTCAAAAAACAAAATCGCTCTTCGTGTGCTCGGATCTCAGCCTGAACAACTGCCTTTGCCGCGCAGTGCGTCAGACCCTGTGTAACTGCAACAATATGTACTGCGTTAACCAAAGGCACGTCCCCATGGCTTTTGACATGAGCGGCATATTCTTTGTCCCAAGAGAACAAGTCGTTTACCAGGCAAAGTTCTGCATAAGCGATGTAGCTCATGGGGTCGGCAATTTTCTCTTCGTCGGCAGTGAGAGTGATGCCTGATCCCCATCGAAAATTATAGAGGGTCCAGCTTTTAGAAGGTCAGATCAAGTTCCCGAATTGGGAATGGGCTGACATACTCTGCTGCTGCATCAACTATTCTGAACGCCAAGTAGTCATCCAGAGTAGGAAATTCAAGACTCCTCACGTCTTGTACTGACGCAGTGAATGTTTGCCAAGCATTAAGGAACCATTCGCCGAAAACGGGGTCAAGACGCAAGTACTCGGCCGCGATCTTGGCCTGGACCTCGGCTTTGCGTTGTGCTTTTGGTGAAATTCGAGTCGATACAGAAGTCATGCCGCTTTGATTAATAGCCTGGTGAAGCATCTCGTTTTCGAGGGACAACTAATTAGAGCGTCAGTTTTTGATTCACACAAACAAAGCGTTTTTCTGGTTATCATACAGACTCTTGATCTGCAGCATTATCCGTTTCATCTATCGCTTGTTGTTAGTTGTGGAAGACAGAATAGAGGTGTATACACGTGCCATCATGAAGGAATGCATATTCCACAGTGTACGCGACAAGTGCCAATCTTTCGGGTAGGCAATTTGGCGCACATAATGAAGTAAAGTTACCAGCATGTGCATTTAGATTGCCGAACTTCGAACCGACAGCATCAATCCCATTGAGGTCTATATGGCATTGGACCGAGACATGATCGGCGATGATGGTTTGCTTGTGAATATATGGGTTAAAGAGAGAGCTGTACGCCGGATTGTTAGCGTAGATTTCGGGATCAAGGTTCTCCGCATAGTCGTCGGATATTTGATCGGCCATTGTGATTTAGAATTGTTTGTAGATTTTTTAGAAAAGAAAAATGTGAGCTGCACCACACACATGTGCTAGTTGAGGGGGTCTCTTATTGAATAAATAATCAAAATTGAAAATGAGACCGTACTGAAACATCTAGCTGCGCTAGTTTAGACTGATACTATTAATGTCCTCTTCCGATTCCGGTCTCCCTCGTTCCTACCGTACGATATACAACCTACGCGCAAGGAACCTCAAAACTAGGGCTACTACCTTGCATGCAGCCTGCCCCGCAACAAATTAACGTATTATATATCCAATGACGGTGATTGGATACCCCGTTGCCATATTAGAATTGAGAGACCATGTCCACTACCCCTAGAGATTATTCTAAACCACGATTTAATCCTTCCCTACATGTCAAAGCCTCTATTCCGTATTACTGAGTAGAAATTGACTTGCATAGAAAATTGAGTGACGATCACCTACCTTGTCCGTTTGCTCTTGCCTATTTCAGGGAAATCTAAAGGATCAAAGAACAATGCGCCGTTCTAACATATCTAACAAATGACACTTATACCTAATGGGATATCCAGTCCATAGCTAAATGCAGCACTATGCTGTAGGGAAAGTAAAAAAAAATGGATTTGATCCATGATCCATAAATAGGAGCAATGAAAATCACCAATCTCGCTCGCGGGCCGTTACATTAAAGTAAATCACGGAGTCTTTCCCCTTGTTATTTAGCCTAGTTTCACCCGGCAGGCTCGGAAGGACCTTTGTCGAATGACCCACGCTTGTTCTCATTTGGTGAGTGGCAGGCGGGAGTTGTGGATGTGGTGGAGATGAGAGAGTTCGGGAACATTCCCGCAATAGCCTAGATCCAGGAAGTACGGCGTAGTGCATGTGTATGTTGTACCTACGCAGCTATGTGTACTCCTTGCTAGCCGCATTCGCGAATTTCCCGATCAGGGTGCCGCCGCTTTACCGTCCTGCCCACTAAGTGTCTCACAGCACAGGGTGATTACTCAGTAATTAACTAGGGACCACAGGAGCAAATAGGGAAGTCACATGACTTCCAACAATAAGCTTAACATAGCAGGAAACCCCACTTAACCGCATCTCCATGTGCATTAGCACTTGAATGTAAATTCCACTGCCCACTAGTACATATCAAGACCGCCAGATGTAATCTAGGGGGATACTTTGGATGAATTTGGAATCTATAAGGAGAGATAAAGGTATGTGTCAGAATACCAGGTGCAATACATAGTGAAAACCACATTTGACCTCGGTGGACTCGGCTATCCCACAATAAAAGTCCAAAGATTAGTAATCTAGATCCCACTTAGATTGTATAAATAGTTAGGGATTTTTGTCATTTTTAGTTAGTCAGAGAATTTGATACCTGTCGTTTCAACCAATCAATTTCATACAATCAGCTTTCTGTCAGTATGCACTGGTAATTAGGCGAATTAATAGCTACTTCTCTAAAGGGGCAGCTTGCGAGTTGCAATCCCAATGCCTAAATGTGTAATAAAGTTACCTACTTCGTTTGCTTGATTCTGAAAGTGATGAGGTTTGATGATACTCAAATATGTGCTACTTGATTTCTGGGCTGTGGGATAATCAAATAGTGGTATGAAGCTAATTGTGGTAAATCAAAGGTCCTCAATGGGAGAGATAGCTGTGACTCAAGAACTTGCTGAAATCATGAATCTACTCAAATTCCGCTTCGGGGCTTGACCTGAGGGTTGGATTGTCATATTGTTGATTAACCGTTAAAAAAATTAATTAATTTCAAGCTTACCCTTAGGCCAAGTTACTAGTTGCCTACGGGGCTTCCCTTTGATTTTTTTTTACAGTTTCGTTGGACAGAATTCGTACTTTATCATTCACAGCAAGTGTGAAACACTCACCAGCTGAGTGGAAGATAACATCTTGGAACTGCCGGCTGGAGGGTTATGAATTGGAATGTTGTATCAGCGAGGGAACATGATGAACCTTCTGCAAATTGAAAAACCAAGGTTTTACATGCCTCTGCGGCACCAAGTGACACTGACTGATTTGATACAGTTTACAAAAAGTCACCCGGAGATCATTCCAAGGGCAACCATCCCCATGGACCCGTTTCCCGATATCAAGGATTTTCAAGTGGACTGGAGCAAATTGACCGTCGGAGAGGTCAAACAAATCCCGCTGTGTTGGATTACGAGACACCAGTTCCAGATCTGTGGTGACGGAGCTTGGATATTTGAATTGAAATTATATATGCCTCTTACTGTGTTGCTTGAATCATAGAACCATGTAGCATTTTGATATTCGTTTCGCCTTCGTAATGAGATCAATCTAGTTCAGGACCTGTTATGTCTATCTGATCGTGACTGAACATTTTTTTCCTTCACAAGAGTCAAGTTTCACTTAAGCCATTTCGTTATGAACGGTCGACGAGCCAGTCTTTGAATCATCGAGAATACCCACCGGAGTCTTTTCCGCACCACTTCCCACCAGAGCATCTGGGCCGTCGAAGATCACGGCGATTTGTTCCAGCGAGTAGCCTTTGGTTTCGGGGTAGAAAAAGTATGCCGTAATACCGAATACGATGAGCACCACAATGAACACGATGTAGTATTTCCATGCAATGGCATCCAATGCAATGGGATTGACGAAGGTGTTGAAAAACATGCCAACAATCGTGGCAAGCCATGTAACGGTGAGACCGCGGGATCGGAGGCGGAAGGGCCAGATTTCGCAGGGATAGGAGGTGAGGAAGGGAGTCCTGGCAACAGATGGACTTGATTAGCGACCGTTAAAGGGGTGAGTGGGGGTAGAAGGCAGGCGAGACTCACAGCGCAACACAATATCCTGCGAAGAAAATGAACAGGAAAGGGATGACGGCAGCACCGGTTGCAGAATCGCCTGTCGTCGCGAAGGACCCTGAAAGAGCTGTGACAAGCACATAACTCACCAACATGATCACGGCCGAGGCCATGAAAAGTGGGCGGCGTCCTAGCCGATCAATCAAAACGGCTCCAATTGCAGCGAATACCAGGTCCCACATCTGAAGGCAGGCGGAAATGAGAGTCTGGTCTCGAACTTTGGTCATTCCAATGGATGTCAAGATTAGGGCAAGGTAGTATGAAATCACACCGTTACCAACCCATTGGGCAAACATTCCCAAGGTGATAGAAATCATCAAGCGACGACGATTACCAGGTGTCTTGAACATCTCTGCATAGGAACCGTTATTGCTTGCCTCCCTCTCTGCCCTGATAGTGGAGAGGATCTCCTGGAATTCGTAGTTGACCAAAGGCGAGGAAGCATCGCCCGCAGCATGGTATTTTATAAGTATTTTACGCGCTTCCTCTTCCCGGTCAACCGAAACCAACCACCGAGGGCTCTCGGGGGCGAAGAAAAATCCGGGCAAAGCAACAAGCGGCACCAGCGCTTGCAGGAGTGATGGAAGTCGCCAGGACCAGTGAGATGAGTATGTCCGTGAAGCAAAGACCACCCAAGCCGCGACTGTTCCACCAACGTACCATCCCGACATGAAGAGACAATTGAGGATCCCACGGTGGGTCGGGTAGGCAATTTCGTTGATCAGGAGGGGAACAGCGTTTCCGAATAGTGCAGAGGCAACCCCCAAGAACAGACGGGCTAGTAAGAATGCCTTGTCATTTGGGGCCGCTGTCTGGAGGGCTGTGCCGAGAGCAAGGAAGCTATATCCCACGTAAACTCCTGGCTTACGTCCGTAGCGATTGGCAATCCAAGCAGCAGATGGGTATCCAACACCACATCCGAGCCAGTAGATTGCATTGATCCATCCAAGCCAAGCGCCGGTTGGATGGTCCATGAAATCTTTCCACTGGTCGAGGGCTTCAAGACCATTCATCAAGGATCCATCATATCCGTTGGCCGATGAGTACAACACCAAAGAGATGATGATGAGGTTAAGACGTAGAAGATGCCGCTGCTTCCACCAAGGAATGCCATCTGATGGGAGGAGAGCAGTCAAACGGTCATCTGGAACAGAGTTACCAGAGTTACTTATGGGATTGGCCCCCATGGTGTTGATAGTTCAGAAGGTTGTCGCGAAAAGTAGAAGGCTTGTACTCCGCAGAGGAAAGGAACCAGGGGTTGTAGGAGCCTTTTATCAAATAACGGCGACGACTTCTGCCGATATTTCCGATGGTCCCATTGTCCGGATTTTGGCTTATCACACTACTCCTCCAAGGCTTTCAGAAATTCCTAAACAGTGTTTGGAGGTAAATGAAAGCGATGAACGAGACATTAACCAATCAAATGGATGAATCTTGGCCTTGACTCGGTTTTTCGCAGCCCTGCTCACATGGTCCGGCTCCATCAACTTCTCCGGAAATACGATTGCGGGATGAACTTTTGCGGAGGACATGGGGAACGGGGTCAGCAGTGAGCCAGTTACCGGGGCACGGAGAAAAGGCGAAACGGAGAAACGGAGAAATCCACCCATGAACTCAGGGACAACCAATCATGTCGTTAAACACCAACCCCATGTGTCGGTGTATGCTCCGAGAATTCGCGAAAGTGCTTCGTGACGCGCAGAGGATCCCAAAAAAAAATTGGATACTGTCTCATGGGTCAGAGCCCGAGATACTTAGGCTGCTTGCATTTTCCTCGACGCGGGGGATCTTTTTTTCCCTTTCACATACCGAGTAAACAAAATGCCGTTTGTCGACACTGTGATCAATGAGGTGGACGAATCCTTTGTGAGGATCGCGAATTCTGACATTGAGGTTATCCTCAAACAACTCACACAAGATGAAAAAGTAGCGCTTTTGACAGGTGCGCATGGCGTGTCCGGGTGTATTGACATCCACAAACACGAGAGAGGAAGCTGACCCTTCTTCACGCATAGGCGAGGACTTTTGGCATACCGTCCCCATACCTAGACTGGGTATCCCCTCGATCCGAGTTTCCGACGGTCCGAATGGAGTTCGGGGCACTCGCTTTTTCAGCAGCGTTCCTGCCGCATGCTTGCCATGTGGAACTGCGATCGGCGCAACATTTGATCGAGATCTCGCTGTTGAGATCGGACATCTGCTCGCCGCAGAAGCAAAAGCTAAAGGTGCACATGTTCTCCTTGGTCCAACCATCAATATCGCGCGAGGCCCACTGGGAGGAAGGGGTTTCGAGTCGTACTCGGAAGACCCGGTCCTATCTGGAGTTCTCGCGGGCCACTACTGCAGGGGATTGAAACAGAAGAAAATCGGCGCAACTCTCAAGCACTTTGTTTGCAATGACCAAGAGCATGAGCGTATGGCTGTCAGTTCCATCGTTACTGATCGAGCGCTGAGGGAAATTTATTTGCTCCCTTTCCAGATTGCGATCGCCCTTGGTGGCCCAGACGCAATAATGACCGCGTACAATAAGGTGAACGGTGTACATGCGGCTGAGAATAAGACCTTGTTACAGGACATTCTCCGCGGAGAATGGGGCTGGGATGGTTTGGTGATGAGTGACTGGTACAATCACCTTTTCCTTTCAATCGGTACGGACTCAGTAATACTAATACACGCTTTGCTTCCAGGTTCGGAACATACAGCACCTCCGAAGCTGTGGTGGCAGGTCTAGATCTGGAGATGCCCGGCCCTCCAAGATGGCGCGGTGCTGCCTTGTCACACGCGATCACATCCAACAAAATCCCACTTGCCGCGTTGAACGACCGGGTCAGAGCAGTTCTGAAACTCGTTCAAAAGGCAAGCAAATCAGGTGTCCCTGAGCATGCTCCAGAAACCCAGTTAAATCGACCTGAAGACCGAGCGCTACTGAGAAAGATTGCGGCGGAGGCGATCGTACTTCTTAAGAACGACGATGATATTCTCCCATTAAATAAGAACAAAAAGGTTGCGGTCATTGGGCCTAACGCCAAAATTGCCACCTACTGTGGAGGTGGCAGTTCGGCATTGAACCCATACTATGTTGTGACACCCTTTGATGGTATCTCGGCTTCAGCTTTAGGTGGTGTGGAGTTCGCACAAGGTATTTACGGCCATCAAATGCTGCCCCTGCTCGGCAAGCGTCTTCGTACCGAAGATGATCTGGTTGGATTTACCTTGAGCATTTTCAATGATTCACCAAAACTGGCGACCAGAAAGCCACTGGAACAACGGCACGAAACCGATTCGATGATTATTTTTATGGACTATGATCATCCGGATTTGAAAAAGACTTGGTATGCAGATGCAGAGGGCTACTTCATCCCCGAAGAGTCCGGAATGTACGACTTTGGTCTCACCGTTCATGGTACAGCAAAGCTATACGTTGACGGTGAGCTTCTCATCAATAATGCCGACATCCAACGACCAGGAACTAGCTTTTTTGGCAGCGGGACGTTGGAGGACACTGCAGCCTTGGAGTTACAGGCTGGCAAGAAATACAAGATCCATGTACAATGGGGTTGTGGCAAAACCAGCACCTTCAGAGTCCCTGGTGTGGTCGATTTTGGACACGGTGGATTCCGCTTTGGGGCATGCAAACGTCTCTCGCCCCAAGATGGTATCGCCGAGGCCGTGGAAGTGGCTTCAAAGGTCGACCAGGTAATCCTGGTTGCAGGGTTGAGCGCCGAATGGGAAGCAGAGGGCGAGGACAGGGCGCACATGGCCTTGCCGCCCTACACGGATGAGTTGATTTCGCAAGTGTTGGATGCAAACCCCAACACCGCTGTTGTCATTCAAAGTGGCACTCCAGTCGAGATGCCTTGGGTTCACAAAGCGAAAAGCATTCTCCACGCGTGGTATGGAGGAAATGAGACAGGCAATGGCATTGCTGATGTCGTATTCGGTGATGTGAATCCAGTAAGTGTCTATGCATCTCCATCGCTCATGCAGAATAATGGGGAACTGATAAACATGTGCTCTCTGAACAGTCCGCAAAGCTTCCTCTTACATTCCCTCGACGCCTGAAAGACAATCCCACCTTCTTCAATTACCGATCCGAGGGTGGCCGAGTTCTGTATGGAGAAGATGTATATGTTGGATATCGATACTACGATGGGCTGGAAGTTGATCCACTGTTCCCCTTTGGCCACGGACTTTCCTACACTACTTTCAAACTCTCAAATCTGGAGCTGATCAGAGATTCCGATAGCGTTTTGCAAATAAAGTGCAAGGTGCAAAACACGGGGCCCAGAACAGGTGCCGAGGTCCTCCAAGTATATGTGGCTCCTGTTTCTCCACCCATCAAGCGACCTGCCAAGGAACTCAAAGAGTTCCGCAAGTGTTTGCTGGAACCGTTGTCGGAAGAAGTCGTGACGATTCCGCTGGATCTGATTCGGGCAACAAGTTTCTGGGATGAGAAGAGCGGAAGTTGGTGCAGTCACAGTGGCGCCTACAAAATCATGGTTGGAACGAGCAGTCGCGGAGACTTCTTGGAAAGCTCACTGCATCTGAACGAGACTGTCTTTTGGTCTGGGAGTTGGGAGGTAACGAACTGATTAACTTGTACTCCGCTATGAAAAATTTTGCATTTCGCTTCAACCCTTTACACATGCATGTAAAGGGGGATCATTATTGTCTAATGGTGGTCATATCTGGATGCGATCTGTATCAACCCATGTCTGTAGATGCATGGTGTTCATGCTTTCACTACTGTCCAGTCGGGACAGTATTTCAGTAGAAAGTTGAACATATTCAGCCGCGTGTTGTGAAATGGGATCATCGGGGTGAAATGGACAGGCCAGAAGGCTTGTCATGACATCACGCACTTTGTTGGCTAGATGTAAACCATTCGCCTCCAGACTCAAGCGTGGAAAGTTAAATAGAATGAAGAACAACTGACGGCAAAGCTTTTCCCTCTCCAACCAAAGCAATCTTTGCTCCAAAGCCGTGGGTTGTTGGCTGATACTTGTTGCTGAAGGCTGAGCCTGTCGATGAGACTGCGCGGCTTCCAACTGATCCAAGATAAGACTCTGCAGCCACAGATGAGTGACGTGTAAATTTGCTCGTAGTGACGGGAGTTGCAATCGAATGGCTTTTTCATTCTCGTCTATGACAACCTCGTTGAGATTTTCTGGGTTTGATCCCCATGGTTGGAGAAGCGAGGGAATGTCGATGAGAAGATCCTGGAGACAATGCAGGCGCTCTTGAAAATAGGACACTTGGGCTTCAGGGTCCTTGGCTCTAACACACGCACACGGATCATCTGCAGCTGCATTTGGATGTGGGCTCCTGATTGCGGCCCAAAACACGCGCGAGTGGAAAATAAAGTCTGACACCAAGCATGTCTCGATATTGGCAGCCGGAAGCACCTCGTGTTCAAAGATAAATTCATCATCCACTCCAAGTGGCATAAGATCTTCAGGATTAATGGAGTGCAGCAAAACTGGATCCAGATAAGTGAGCCGCTCGCCGAGTAGATTTTGCAGATGAGCATGGCTGAAGGTGACATAATCGTGTTAAGTTCACGAAGAGAAAAAGTTTTTTGGGGGGAACATCTGGTCACACTCACACGAAACCATAAAACATTAGCCAGAACCCCTTTTTGCGTAATTGAGTCTCGATACAATTGAGGCCATCGTAATCAGATATCCGATGGAGATTCAGAAGACGTGCAATTTGCATTGCTTCTACACTCAACATACGGGACCAGTTATGATCTCCAAGTTGTAGGTAAGCCGCGAAGAAGAGATACTGGATTGAAAATTTTTGAAAGTTGAGCTCGTCAAAATACGAGGATGTTCTCAACCCCATAACTTTCTGATAACAGAAGTGAATGAACTCCTTGCGTGATGAGAACCTCAAGGAGTACGGCTCTGATTGGTAGGCTTGGAATCTGCTTCTCATGGTAGCCACCACCAAGGCAGCGATGGATAGAAGGAGTGCAAGGAACCCATCATTCTCACGGTCTTGGTCCTCCTGGAGAGCTTTCCGGAACGATGGACGGTGTACAATTGGAACCATTGGGTAGATGTAATCCAGATAGTCTTGCATAATTGCTTTGAATAGACTTCGATCGCAGAGATCATCAGTCCTATGCGGTACCGTCGGAACTGGGTGTGCTTCAGGTCGTTTCTCTGCATGGTGTCTATGTGGGAGTTAGGATGTAGCCCAGGAATGCCAGTAAGCCGGTAATGTGGCGTACCGCTTTTTAGGTCCTCTGATTTTCGAGGGTGAATCAAAAGTGCATGACAGGTTTAAACGCTCACATCGTGCACACCGCGATAATATATCCTCTGATCTTTGGAGTTTGCATTTTACCTTTCGTTTGCGACAGGTATCACATGCCTGGGTTGATAGATCTGCACGAGCGGATTGAGTCCCCTGTAACATCATGAATAAGCCTCAGACAGTAGAGCAACCATTTTACGCGTGGAAATTAGAAAGCCAGGAAGTCAATTTTAACAAAAGAACATGACGGTAGTCCGTTCTATATTATCGGGTCTCGCTAAGTGGGATTAGGCTTAGTGAGCAAACCAGAGAGATCACCTGTGCACCTCCAGGACTGGGTATCTTTGATGAGTCATCAAACATGGTGGGTCCATGGGTTGTGTTACTAGTGGTCGGGTGATGACTAACCAACCAACAGGGAGGCTCATAGCTTGTGGTCGGCATGCTTGTCATAAATCTCCTCTCTGCTCACCTCCGCGTTCCATTGATTGGTATACCAGAGTTTGGATTTCAGGATGGTATTTGCTGTCACACCCGCCGCAGCATACACAAATGATCTTCCAAACCTGGAGGGGTGCATTTGGGCTGCACGCTTAGTGCGGCTAAACCAACCCACGAGGCCGCCTGTATTACCATGACTTAGCATCAAAGCAATGACCATGCCTTGCTTCTTGGTACAGCAAGACTTCTACTGCTCTGCCGGTCATGAAGGCACGACAGCCTGTCATCACAGAACTAGACAAGCAAGCACTATTCAGTGCGAACTGATACATGAGTCTATTCTATAGTTCACTGCTCTTATTGGAGGCGGCTATAACTAAGCCTTCGTCTTGTCCAATAGTTTCCAGTCTTCTTGGTTCCTCTCTGGCGATCAACGGGTGAATGTGGTTCTGATCTTCGGAGGTTTAAGTGGCCAGACAATAGGTAGGTTCCCCTTGGCAATGGTGGTCAAGTTTAAGGTAGTTGGAGTTGGTGCTGTGGACTAAGATACTAACATAGGATGCACGTGGTAAGTGGAGATTAATTATTCTCACAAAGGGTTGGATCATCCGAAGCGGCGAGAGAGCCTATGTTTGCGGACCCATCGTTAACGAAGGTATATGCCGGTAAAAAAGGACCACCCTACGAGACTCGAACGCTATTCCTAATAGAATCCCGGCAGGTAAGCTGCCCTAGGCCCAGGAATCGAGAATACCAATGGTAGAGCTGATTGGGATGCAACTCGCACTGGAATCAGTTACCCTTGCCTTACATGATGCACATTTCAATGCGAATCACTGAGACATTTCCTTACTCCACGAACCGAGCTTTCGGGCATGTCTCATCATTCTTAAAACGGAGGGCATTTTCCTATAAAACGCCATTCTTAAAGTTGCTACTAGCATACTCACCTATTAGAGCCCACTTTCCCAACCAGAAAACTCTGTGTTCCCTAGATCCACATTTTAATCCTCGGCAGTGTAGGGCAGTGTGGATCGAGACTTTAGAGATTCATATTTTCTAGATCTTTTAGAAGCCGCACTAGAATCAGTCGCCTCTGCCGTTCTAATTTCCACCTTATACCTTCTAGAATGCAAGATACAGCTCTGCTTCGCTATCTCCAGACTAGGATCGCGAGCGGCGCAAGTGACAGACATTCATGACGAGACCACGTGGGGATATACACATATACGACAACGTCTTACATGCTATTCCAGGTACGTTGCACATGCGCACAGGAAACCATCGATCCCTCCACAGTGCAGTTCAACAACTCCGAGCTATAAGACCTAAATAGATTGCCGACCCAACGGCGCATTGCATAATTTACTTCATCTCAATAGTAGCATCTCCATCTCCTAGATAGAAGACCTGCCCGCGAGAGCTCAAGCTTAAGACCTTGTCAAAGGATCAGAGCATGATAAACGACGTTGCTCTACACGTTTTTCTACTCTAGAAATTAACGCTCTAGGTGACGTATGACTACAAGCACTTGGTAATATTTCACTCATCCCTTTTCAGTAATTAGCATCTCAGGTGTCTGATTACACGCTGGTCCGATCGAGACACAATGGATCGGATACCGATTCGTGGTAAGTTATCCACTTCTGCCCTAAGCATATCGAGCAACTATCGATGACAAAATACCTTACTTATGCTTGGAAATACCACTCTTGCCGTTCAACTCGATTTCCAGTGCTTTACAGCGGATACAGTTCTGGCAATGCTTACCTTATCTGAACTGCCCCCCCCCCCCGCGTCTGCCTAAATGTAAATATGGACTGGCCCGTACAATCAGATAGAAGCTGTGTATCTCATTTCGGCAGATAAAATTCAAGGAACTAGTCTCCAGGGCAGACAAAGCGGAAGAAGATGTACGCGGTCGGTGCCTTACCAATAGCGCATTCGGCAGCATAGTCGGCAGATAGTCGTGGAACTGGCAATTCACAGCGTGTAATTCAACAACCAGATACAGTGTATAGAAAAGAGGTATAGGGGGGGCTGGACTTAATGCCGGATGAAAGCGAGCAAGAAATACTCAACTCAATATCTCTGTGGCAATCGCTTGCGTTCCTGTTCTAGCTAATGTCTTCCCATTTAATCGGCCCACGATAATTCAGACCCCTTTTGGAGGTTTGATAGCACAGATTGTCGTTTTTGTACAAAAACCTCAGTATGAATAGCGGGCTTGTGAACTAGATGATCTAGATGTTTTCCATCTAGCTTCTCAAATCAAGTCACTCTAGACAAGCTTTTATTCTCTCGCTAGATTAAGTCGTCCTAAACATATTTCCACTTGAATTATATGTAAAATCAAAGGATGGTGTGTTATAACACTCTGGGAAGCTGATGTTCCAAATTACAGCCTTGGGCAGGTTTACAAAAGAATGAACCTCAAGACAACAACCAACTTTGGAACTGGCCTTTGCAAAGTTACGTCACCGGCTAGCACTCCCGGGGTCACGTGGACATGCTCAAATTTACCCAGGTGTCAAAAAGCAGCAAGAGGTGAGGACCAAAATGGAAACATCATTTCAGGAATGCGTCACCCAACACTCCATGCATACGCATAACTTACTTTAGCGCACATGCATCTCGACAGGTTGGTGTAGAAATCCAGACATCCCGGCCTTATACTTTATGTCTCAATATCTGTCTCTTGTCAATATGATATGTTTGATTAATGCATTTCATTGGTCTACGTGTTCACTTCCGTGCTACCAAATAGCCCCAGGAACCCGACATAAGCATCATTCAAAGTTGACTTGAAAAATCTCCTACGTGGTAATTCGCAATGTTCCAGGATGCTCCTGAAATATATTAATGCCTTTTTTTGGGATCCACCAGGGCCCCTGGGCATATCCCTGCTTCCACGGATACCCACATAGCGGTCAAAACAAAGCCATTCAAGTCCGTTTGAAACCTTGCAGAAAGTAGTGCCGGAGCAAACCTTGGAAATTATAAATATATAGTGTCTTAACTGCTAGCGGGGATTTTACAAGATGCCAATACTGATCGTAAGGTTAGCATTTCTGAGTGTACTGTTCCGTACCTAATCCCACATAGAGCAATTGATGAACATTTCTCAGTTGGAATTTATACATACATAACCCCTTGCGGTTGATCAGTTGTCTCTCAAACTTGACCCCTGGATTACCAGCATCAAACATATCACCATGCTGCTATTGTGGTTTGGTTTCGTGTCCTCCGTTGTCGGGTTGGTAGTCTACAGGCTTCAATTCCATCCACTCAGCAAGTTCCCGGGGCCGAAACTAGCTGCCCTAACGAGTCTATATGAATTTTATTACAATGTGGTCCTTGGTGGCCGGTATTTGTGGGAGATAGAGAGAATGCATGAGAAATATGGTAACTATGATTCGAGACACTGGATCATATCTCAACGTTGACCATTTTCAAGGTCCAATTGTGCGCATTACTCCTCACGAGCTTCATGTGGCAGATCCCGAATTTTATACGGAGATCTATGCAGGCCCTACCAGGAGACGTGACAAAGACCCAAGACTTGTGCGCCTGGCAGGTCAACCGATGTCCATGTTTGCGACTGTGAATCACAGCCTGCACAGTTCGCGTCGAGCTATTCTAAGCAATTATTTCTCCAAAAAGTCTATCGCAAGCCTGGAGGATATGATCCAGCGGAAGGTGCAAAAGCTCGTCAAACGGCTCAACACAGCCTGTGATCAAGGGACAATTGTGAAGCTGGATGCTGCATCTTCGGCTCTGACGGCGGACATCATCTCGGAGTATGCGTATGGTGTGAGCCTTGACTACTTGGACGATGTGAATTTCAACAACGAAGTTGCAGACTCCATATTGAGTCTTGCATCTGTAGTTCATGTGTTGAAGTTTTTTCCTTTCCTGTTGGATTTTTCAAAGTACATCCCAGATGAGATGCTCGAAAGGCTTTGGTCTCATGCAGCCAACATATTGCGACTACAGAAACTGGTTCGTGCCCAAGCAGATGTCGCACTCCAAAATGAAGGTAAAGTGGATGGTCAAGTTACAATGTTCGGAGCTCTCTGTGACCCTTCCTTGCCTGCGCAAGAAAGGTCACTGGATCGGTTGCAGGACGAAGGCTTTTCCTTGATTGGTGGAGGCACGGAGACTACAACTGGAACATTGAAGATCATCATGTTCCACCTGCTCAATGAGAAGGAATTGTTTTTCAAGCTCCGCAAAGAGCTTGAGCAATCCCCTTCTAGCACATGGGCTGAACTTGAAAAACTGCCATACATGGTAGGCAATACAACAAACGATACGAAAAGGCAAGGCTAACTAACAAAATGTCTTCCAGAGAGCAGTGATTAATGAAGGGCTTCGCCTCTCCGGCGTCATCACTCGTCTTCCCCGACGTGCACCTGATGAAGTCTTGACATATAAACAGTGGATAATCCCCCCAAACGCAAGTAATCCTATACCCTCCGAGGTCGACAAAGCTAACGCAACCATGCATCTCAATAGTCCCTAATGAGTACTTCCACTCATTTTGTTCATACAAACAAGGATTTGTTTCCTAATCCGCATACCTTTGACCCTGAACGCTGGATCCGTGCTGAAGCAGCCGGCCAGCGCCTGGAGCATATGATTGTCACCTTCAGCAAGGGCTCTAGGCAATGTCTGGGCAATCAGTAAGATGTACCCAACTTTTTCTCCTCGATTCTCAAAACTTACCCGGAATCTAGTTTGGCATTGGCGGAGTTGAATCTGGTCATCTCAACGCTGGTACGGAACTTTGATATGGATCTACATGGGGTGACGGCAGACAACATCATCACACATAGGGAGTATGGCTTTGGTGTTCCAAAAGAAAGAGGCGAGGGATTCAGAGTCAGTATCACACGGGCTCCTAGCCCGTCGTAATTGTCGTTTGACATTTACTCTTCACATATGTATCGAGTGGTGGACTCTTTTGCTATCATGTTAACACGGCCCGAGCATCGGCTCCAAAACAATATCTTAACAAGCTCACGGTTCTCCATACATCAAATGGAGGACAATGCAAATGCTCAGCTATGATCCCACATGGTCAGCAAAATCTATAACTAGAATCTTTCCATGTCGATCACTTTGTTGGCATCCTTGTGTCTTCGACGCTTAGTACGAGTAACAAAGATAAGTAACAAAACAACAGTATCAATGGCATTTTCCTTCCTGTGTCTTCCGTTTAAATGTTCTTTGTGCATGAGAATGGTTCTTTCGTTACTAGACTAGGATGGCGACTTCATGGGCACATAAACCTGGAGGTTGTCGAACAAATCCGACTCATCTTTATTGGACTACTTATACATTGTTTGCCTTTCACATAGATAATCGCTTTTACAATCTCGAGCTCACGAGGCCAGCCCCATCTCTATCTATCCCACCAATCCACCCATTTCCACTAATACACCCATCACGCCATAGCCATGTCGGGACGCAGGCCGTCTGATGAGTTCCGCGATGAGTATGCTAACTTCTGGACCCTCATGCAGCAGATCATCCATGGTCTTAGGAAAAGTTATCCCGCAAACCAAGACGAGATCATAGGCCAGATGGGTCAGCTCAATCTCCAGCTCTCAACCCTTCGACGAGCCGGAGAGTCGATGGGTTTGAGTTATCCACCCAGCTCCATTGTCCGCGATGCTCCACCTCAGTACTTCACTGCCCGCGCTCAACGCCATCATAATTACTTCGGTACTGAGTTTGGGTACTCCTGCTGGTACACCCAAGCCCAACTGGGCTACGCCATTGCAGACCTTCTCCACCGGCGAGACTACACCCGCGTAGCGGACCAGCTGGAACAGTTATTAGCGATCTGGCAATTAACTGAGATGAGAGTCTTCCCCCGCCAGCTTCTTACATACGATCCTGTCCAGCAGCCCGCCAGTATCGTGCATATTGACGGTCCGCCATACTATACACCAGGCGGTGCTGGTCCACACACCAAGGCAACCAAGATTGCTGGGTCATCCCGCACTCACCCACGTGTGAATATCACTCTGCCCGCTCCAACCGATATGATTTACGGCGTGGCACGGCGAACACGCCATCGCGCTGCACCATACCCTGAACGCGGTGTTCACCCGAGGCGTCGTGGCAGTGTTAGACTAACCCCGCCGATGCCTCAGATGGCACTTCCACTACCTGATATCATGCAGAACGGTCATGTTGCGCCGCCATCTCTTCCAGGTGTTCAATCCCTTTTCAACCCACTCATCCTTCCCAGTGGACGTGCTCTGCCCGGCGCACCGAGCACCTCTGTGCCACCCCCACGTGATATGCAGTTTCCATCCAGTGTCCCAGTCCCTAGCACTAGCGATCTTGTGTCGGGTTTGAATGCCAATGTCGGGGAGACTTTGAATAGAGACCAGTCACGTCAGGACTCCGATGTTCGACGTTGAGATCATTCGCACCGGCGGGATTATGGGCTAGTGAGCCCGCTTAAGCTCCCCCTTTTGGATCCCAGATCTTCACTTCACAAGCTTTAACCTTGGCTATCGATGAGTTTAAGAATCCTAGTTGGCTTTGTGATTATCGCTTACACTGGCTTTGGATTGGTAGAATTCTATACTCTCTTATGTTTTGATCGACTGTGTATTGCTCCCTCTACATTTTGGGAAAGAATGACATTCGAATACTGGCATTAAATGCGAAAATTTAGGGACATAAAGAGACCATTGGTACCCGGTAGATTTAATTGCCATTGTCCTCTGAGGAGTGTTTTAAATATACAACTTTGGGGCTATGCAGCTGTACTTCCACATGTTAGAACCCTTTTGGTAGAATTCATTGTCGTTTAACCACGTAATCTCAACTTCATCTCAGTCCTTTCAAAAAAACAAAAGTGCTGGATGTTATTTTAGTTTCTAACAAATTGTTTTGTGTTTTGGGTATTGAATGCAAGACCAATAAAAGCAATGAGTCATGGTTATTCGGGCTATGGAGTAAATGTTGCTTTGTTTTTCTTCCACAGTATGGAGTACTTTATTCTTAGATCTGTATAGTAATACCCACTCATGATTAATGAGACAGTCTCCACAGCTGAAGAGCTGTTGAGTACAAAGACAAATTACCTTTGGACGCCGTTTCATTTATGGTTAGAGAGGTGGATTCTTCAGGGATCTGAATAACTTGTACGTTCTTATTCACGTATGTTTATCTCTCAATAACCACTTGGGCAGTCTATTTGGCTGCTCAGAAGGAGATATTTGTTTCAATAGATGTTCGTAAAGTGGCATGTTGGGCAATATAATGACAGGAGATCGGCTATAGTCAGTACCTAAACATGGAGGTATATGCTATACTATATAATGTACTATATGTGGCACTATCCTGTGGCACCACGTCAGTCCATGAAATTCAATCTTGCCACTTTCCAAATTTGCGAAGTAGAACCTCAACCGCCCAGCCAATCAGGGGGCATTATCAATCAGGCCATTATCAATTCTTGGCAATCGGCAGGTCCTCCGCGCATTTCCAGGCCAGCTTGTCCACTTTGCAGACCCTGACATCCTTGTTTCTAGAATTTTTTTCTCTTATATTGTTGACACCATCTCTTTTTTTCTTCCTATACCACCATTGCGAACCCCCTCCCCCAAACCTACCACTACAAAACAGACTCTCCGCTGAATCTCTGGCCTTTGCGCCACCTTTCATATCCAACAACCAGACGACTCTACGCGCTTGATCTACATACACTACAAGTCGGAGATCAAGATGCGGTCTGCAGCGAGGCTGCTCTACGCAGCAGTGTTCGCGCTATCTGGCCTGAGTCACGCCAGCGTTCATAACCCTTCACTAGACCCAACCAAGTGTGCTGTAAGTTTTGCTGAGGACCTAGGATGCTCAGCACAGATGATTGACTGTCCATCTTACTCCAGCTCGAACCTTCCGCCATGATATCGGATGCCTGTGTCTCGTATGGCGAGATCAACGGCATGAACGATCTGATTTTCACAACGCTCACCTCCCTCACACAAGATACGGATTTCTTCTCCTACTACCGCCTCAACCTATTCAATAGAGAATGCCCTTTCTGGAACGATGCCGATAGCATGTGTGGAAACATTGCTTGTGCCGTGAACACCATTGACTCGGAGGAAGATATCCCCCTGACATGGCGGGCGGAAGAACTTAGCAAACTAGAGGGCCCTAAGGCGAACCATCCACCGCGCAATGTCCAAGCCGAGCGTCCAAAAGAACGCCCGCTCCAGGGAGAGTTGGGTGAAGATGTTGGCGAGAGTTGTGTGGTGGAATACGACGATGAATGCGAAGATCGAGACTACTGTGTCCCCGAAGACGAGGGTTCCGCTGGGAAGGGAGATTATGTGAGCTTGGTGGACAACCCGGAGCGGTTTACCGGGTACACCGGAGAAGGCGCAAAACAAGTATGGAATGCGATCTACAGCGAAAACTGCTTCTTGAAGCCCGTGGCCGATGAGCTGGACCAGCAGTCGGCGAACGTCCCCATGGGTGGCCTTCAGGCAGCCTCTGACTTCCGCAACGTGCTCCACAAGGAGTCGCAGCGAGTAGAAGGGCTACCGCTGGATAACGAGTGTTTAGAGAAGCGGGTATTCCACCGCCTCCTGAGCGGTATGCACGCTTCCATCTCGACACATCTGTGCTGGGACTACCTCAACAAAACCACAGGGAACTGGCACCCCAACGTGCAATGCTTCAAAGAACGACTCCTCGACCACCCCGAGCGCATCTCGAACATGTACTTTAATTACGCGCTAGTGTCGCGCGCGGTGGCAAAACTCCGCAAGCACTTGGACGGGTACACATTCTGCGCCAGCGACCCAGTGCAAGACCGCGAGACCAAAAGACGCATGAACAAGCTGACAGGCACCTTGTCTGAACTCCCCAAAATCTTTGACGAAAAGATCATGTTCCAAGACCCCAACGCTCTCGGTCTGAAAGACGATTTCCGCAATCGCTTCCGCAACGTCAGTCGCCTGATGGACTGCGTCGGCTGTGACAAGTGCCGCCTCTGGGGCAAGCTCCAGGTGAATGGTTACGGAACCGCGCTCAAAGTGCTGTTCGAATATGACGAAACTAAGAACGGCGAGAACCCGCCCCTTCGCCGCACCGAGCTGGTCGCCCTCATCAATACCCTTGGTCGCATCTCTCACAGTATCGCTGCTTCGCGCAGTATGCAGCGAGCTCTCTTGACCGGCACCACTCACATGTTCCCCGTCCACGGCGCTGTGCCCCGCTCTCACCACGCCAACGCTCTCGGCAACAACAGGCGCGTGTTCAGTGACGGAAATAATAACTTTTTCCTCGAAGGTGAAGGGTCTGAAGACGAATATGTCTACGGCCGAGGTGAGGCGCCAGAGCGGTACCCCTGGGAGCGCCAACCACCTGGCCCAGACGATGGTTTCTGGGAGGATTTGAAGTCCGAGTGGAATATGGTCTGGGGTATGGTTCGGTATATCTGGCAGTCTTGGATGGATGTCCCGTACACCTTGTAAGTTTGAACTTGTAACTTTCGAATCGATTGATACTGACCGACTCTCGCAGTTTCCAAATCGGCTCGTCGGAAATGGTCCGATTATACAATTACTGGCTTGGATTGCCAGTGCCTCCGCGCATGTGGAAGCTGAAGATGCCCCAGCCTCGTGCACATACTCAACCCGCTGCCTATACTAATCGTGACGAGTTGTGAGTTCTCTGTATTTCATCTTTGCATTAGCACCTGTACATATGGTTCTGTGCTATGGCGTTAATAGACCTTTTTGTGAATTTTTCGACTCCACTGAGTACTTTGGTGAATCGATACTACTTATACTACTTCTTTCTCCAGGTTGGACTAATGTAGGGGTGTGTGTTCACATGGCACTATACGTACCCTATTTTTTCCTTGTCGGGTGGCGCTCAGAGTCACGCTTACCACGTAAATTTCAGTCTGGGCTTAGTGAGTGCTCAGTGACTGTGGTTGGCGGTTCGCTGATCTCTATCACTGCATACTCGGAGAGGCAACAAACCTTGGAAGGCGTCTATTACGCACTAACTGTCCATGCCCAAAGGAGCGTTTTGCCCAACAGTATTGTTTGTCTTGCGACCTACTTTTGATTGACTCCAGGCACCGAGGGCCTCTTGAATATCAAATGAAGCATCTAGTCAAAACACCCTTCCACTGATGTTCAGCACTCAACGCATTTTTTCCAGCCTGTTCGGCTGTCCGAGCGTGCCAACTCACTTGACTCACTAAGAAGCATGTTCATCTTCTCCTCTATCTTGATGTGCATTCTGAAGACGATGAGGAACACAGTGGTCGTTGCTAGCACAACGGCGCTCAGCGAGGCGCATTTCACATGAACCTTGGGGTCCTTCGAAGCTGGAGAGAGCGCAATACCAAGTAGTGACCCGAAACTACAGCTGACGAGGAACAGCGATAATACGATGCTACGCAGAGACGGGAGGTTTGGTGCATGCGTATTCCATGCTGGCCACGTAGGCAAGGACTTCGGAAAGGGCGGGTAGTGGTGTGGAAGGGGACTTGCAGACATACATTTACCGGTGCCTATGTTAGAGTCTCTGTAGAGTAGCAGGAGCATTTGAAGGGAACATCTTTCAAATTGTCTGCAAGATTCACTTAGAGGATAGTCGTAGCATGCAAGTGATCGATGAATCACTGCGCCATAGATCAGTAGGCTATAGAGGAGTATGTTAAATAGCATGCTACTAACCGCCCTGGACCCCTGCGACAAATCCAATGGTACCTGCCATAGCCAGGTAGCCGGCACCGATTCGACTGATTTGCTTAAAGCTGAGGTGAAATCGCCGCAGGGTTAAATGGAAGATTTCCTTCCTAGACAACATGTAGGCTTGCAGAAGCACCCTTGGGGATTTCCGTAGAACAAATGTAGTTACAGTTGTAAAAGACTACTTGGCTTTTCCAGTTGCAGGAGATAGGGAATGGATCAAGGGAGACGGGGAGGAACAGAGACACTGCTCTTTGTTGGGCTTAGCAGATGCCGTACGCAGCAAAATGCCTATCGTCTTATCTGAAGCGTCCATTCGAAATCAGTTGCGTAGATTCAGTAACCCACCAGTCTCCACAACCCCTCTCCACATCCCGTCGACGATCGAATTTTCAATCTTGTTTTATGGGAAGGGAGTTGACTTCCTGACAGATGAACTGGAAGCTGCGTAAACTCATTGACTAGGTGTGTCGGCAAGACCAATGAAGCCATACCGAGAAAATGATGGTGAGTCTTCCAAGGTCGGTGTGTGGGATATGGCCAAGATAGGTGGGAGCTGCGATGGCAGTCTTTCAGGTCGATAGGGAGTTGCAATTCCTGGGTCATGGTGGAGAGAATTAAACGATCATGCCTCGTGAACAACCCTCACGAGCCGTTCCAAAAGATCTCTGATGGACATGAGAGGCTCAGGGGCTGTGAAGGGCATGTTGAGGTTAGGTAAAAAGCGCATTAATGGGAACCTAGGGAGCGTCATCAACCGCTGTACCCTAGCTTACTTCAAAGGAGATGATGCCCCGAAACTGATCAAATTCATCTTTCTTCTTACCGCATGGGCCTGCGGTCAACCTCGTTGGGTTATATCTATCGAGTGAGTTTTTGTTAAGCGGTAGTCAATTCTTTTATTCAACCTACCCTAAGATCTTGGAGATTGTGAATCTCTCAGGGTTATACTTTTGTTTCGACTGAAGGGGTGACTGTAATGGGGTTTTGGCGATAACTGTAGACATCTCATTCAGACAGCGCGGCCATTTCGGCCTGTGTCGTCGAGCGCTGAATGACAAGACAAGTGCTTCTGTGCGATCACATCTTATACAACATTTTTAGTGAACCCTTACTCAGATCGAGACTGGTAATCTCTGAGTAGACTCATGTAATTGTCCTAGGACTATGTCTTGTCCGTGCATGATTAGAAGATCGTGAAGCTAGTAAAAGACGGATTCCCAGGAGCACATAGTTTAAATTGATATCTTGATTGTTCACCTAACTGCTTCAATTGCGGCGCTATGGATAGTAGCAAGTGAGCCAAAAATGAACGGTCAGATTGCTGCCAATGCCTTTTTTTTGACAACAAGGGCCACCTAAAGAGAATGAAGGGGGGCTGGCATGTTACGTTTTGTTGAGATACTTTGCGACCTGGTCTATAGAGTAGCCAGTATTCAGTTAGACTAAGTTAATGCGACGAGGAGCCTGAGCACTGAGAAGGAAAGGAGAAGCCAAACGCATAGGAGGTCTGAGTCTTGACTGTTGTAGAAAGGAAATGTCGAGTTACACATTGGGATATGTAGAATAAATAAGATGAAGGTGTCTACTAGGACCTAGGTTTGTATATATATATAAATCCACTAATCCTTCCATCTACGTTCCCCATCTTAATCTCAGATTGCCTCGGTAGCCAGGTACATTGCATTTGCCACCGAACAGAGAGCGAACAGGCGAACAAGCTGAATAGGTTGAACAAAGTAAGATGAATGTGATAGTTCGATCTTCTAGACAATTTCAGATTTGTCATAACCTTCATGAATATAATACCATCCACAGTTATATCGGCCTGTGTTGTCCTTGACAGAGATACCCCGACCCCGTATTTCTTCGGCAATCCCCGACCTCGGCATCTCCACTCCCGGCCCTTTTATTTTCTCTTTTCTCACCCTTTTCAGTCTTGCGACAAATCTATCCGAATACAACATATCTTGGCTCTAAATGCGAGCCCGCTAAGATCCAACTCCATGGCGACGCCTTCGCCACCGAAACCATGGGAGAGGGCAAGTGCAGCTGGTAGGTATCTTTCTCTTGATTGCCGATATCGTAGCGCCACAAGAGTCACTGCAATCCACTGTGTCCACCCCGACTAACACCCCCTCTCCTGCTCTCTAGGAAACGCGTTGTCAACAACACCTATCTCCGGTAGCTCTGCTGCCTCGACCGCGATGACTACCACAACCAACCCCGCAGTCTCAACGTCCACTACCCCCGACCTTCCCTCCCGTCCCAGCGCTCTCAACTCCGTAGTCAGCAACACCGCCTCCAACTACTCGCCGTATGGAGCCTCGCGCCTTGGAACAGGCGTGTACGGATCTACATATGGTGGTATGGGTGCCATGGGATCCCCCTACTCCCGCTTCGGCTCCATGGGCGGCATGGGCTCCATGTACGGAGGCGGTGGTTATGGAGGCTACGGAGGTGGCATGTATGGTGGCATGGGCGCTATAGGGGGGATGTACGGCGGCATGCCGGGACAAGATCCCAATGATCCGAACAGCCTGACGAACTCGTTTGGACAGAGCACTCAGGCCACTTTCCACATGATTGAAAATATCGTCGGTGCGTTTGGTGGCTTTGCTCAGATGCTCGAGAGCACGTACATGGCTACGCACAGTTCCTTCTTTGGTTGGTTTTTCTCCGGAGAAAAATGAAAAAAAAAACAAAACTTTTTTTCACATCGCGAACACTCGTTGACTCATTTCTATAGCAATGGTCTCGGTCGCAGAACAACTTGGAAACCTGCGCACCACCCTCGGCTCAGCCCTGGGTATTTTCACTCTCATTCGGTGGTTCCGCACCTTGATCGCTAAGCTTACAGGACGTCCCCCGCCAGCTGATGCGACCGCCCTGACCCCCGCTGCCTTTGCGGCTTTCATGGGTGGCCGCGCGACACTCCCCGATGGCACGCCGGCTCCCGCCAAACCATCCAAGAAGCCCTTCTTCATGTTCCTGATTGCCCTCTTTGGCCTCCCCTACCTCATGGGCAAGCTCATCAAGACCATGGCCCGATCCCAGGAGGAAGAGACGAAGCGCCGCCAACTCGTCGGCCCCAACGGCGAGCCGGGCTCAGCATCGCTCGACCCGTCCAAGCTGGACTTCTGTCGTGTTCTCTACGACTACACCCCCGAGACCCAGGAGAGCAACGGCATCGACCTGGCTGTGAAGAAGGGCGATATCGTCGCCGTCCTCAGCAAGTCTGATCCGATGGGCAATGCCTCCGAGTGGTGGCGTTGCCGTGCCCGCGACGGCCGCGTCGGATATCTCCCCGGTCCATACCTGGAGACCATCCAGCGCCGGCCCAGTCAGAAGGCCATCACCGCAGGCAGCGAGCCTGCTTCTCGCACCACTACCATGAAGAGCGACCCTGTGGCCGAAGGTCGCACACAGAGCCTGCCATCTCTGAGCAAGCCCGAGATTAACAGTAAGATTGGTGATATCTCGCCTGAGAGCTTCCAGAAGAGTACTTTCTACTCATGAGCCATGCCTTTTAGACTTTGCGCGGTACTCAGTCTAGGCCTTGTTCCTCTACTTGTCTTTGTCGTTGCCCCTGTCTTTGGAATGCTAGACAAGTTCCAGCAGGGTATGATTTTCTGATAGTGACGTTAACCGGCCAAACCCTCTCCCTTCGAGCTGTGCTCATCCTTATATATATCCCCCAAGCGTGCCTTTGGATCTTCTCGGTCCTCCTTATGAACTGTGGCCTGCTGAACAGGCCGCAGCCTAGCCGTGATGCTAGTGGTTATCGCCTGGCTACCCAAAGGACCCATGATTTTAAACCCCCAGCCCCCATCACCTGGGCAATCTCCTTGTTTCCCACCTTTTTTCCTTCTCCTTTTGTGGACTTTTCGGAGTAGATTCATTTTGGCGACAGTCCCCTGATTTCCATTTGGCTTTTGTATTTAGTGCAATGCACACACAGAGACACCGCAACCTTGGAATCCTCCCCCTAGTTCTAGTTCGAAACAAAAGCCCCCTCTTTCCCCTTTCGGTATCCACAAAAGTACCACATCCCCCCTGTCCATGCTCAATACGGAGTACTCCCACTCCTATTCATCACCCTCGTGGAATCTCCCTCGTGTGGCCCGCAGTGGGCCATCCCATACCCGTCCCGTCCGCCCCCGGCACATGTTCGTCACCGTCTCCACTGCTTGACACTGACACTTGATACATCGAATATCAATCGAGGTTTTATTTTTTTTTGGGGGGGGGGGTTGTTTGTGTCCTACATTTGCACTTTGTAAATGTATTTTACCCCCCTATCTGTGCTAGGTCCGGATATCTCCCCTCGTCCACCATCCGTACATGTAGGAATCCGGAGCACATACAACATATACACCTCGTCCTGCAGTGCATAGTAGCCCTATGCAAATCCCACTCCCAATCTTAATATCCTGCATCCCTTCCATACAGGTGCACACACCCGCCCACGTCAGCTCGCATACAACGCCCCTGCTCCCTGCCTGCATCCCCGTTCGAGGAGAGGGCCGTGTAGTGTTCCAGTCTTGCTTTTCGAGTTCTAGTTCAAGCATCCACGCCCGCATCCAGCTCCCTGCAGCTTTTTGCCCCCTCCGACTAGTCCCTCCCGATTTGATTTGCATTTGGATCCTGCATTGGAAGTGCGATGGGGGGGGGGGGCGAATTAGGGGATGGCTTGGCTTGGAGACCCGGGTTACTTTGGAATTTGAAATGAGCGCCGTTTTGGCGTTTTGAAGGATTGCGGGTTTGGACGGAGTTGGATTAAGTATATTATGTACGGAGTACAGTCTCCGACCTAATGTCTAATGTTATGATGCACATGCAAAGGAGGAGTAAGGGGTTGAATGTTGTGTCTCTTTTACTGCTGTGTGTGTTCTTCCGTACCTTTTCACACTAACCCCACCCTTGGATTTGGAATTATCCTGGAACGATCTTCATCTTGTGCTGGTGGCGTTATCATGGTACTTTCGTCCAAGCTACCACGTACGGAGTGTCATCGGCTTAAACAGTTCCAAGGGTGAACGGAGGTGATTTGGCTTTCTTGAGATGCACTGTCGACAATAGATGTTGATCAATTCATTTCAAATTATTCAGCGCTAAGCTTTCCCACGCTTCCTTTGATCCGAGGCATGTCACAGATACTACACACGTGTGTATCCCGTTGTGGTAATCTGCATGTGCTAGGGCTGCGTATATGGCGACTATGGATTGCAGAATAAATCGTGCTACGATAGGTTCCCCCAAGGATCTGGCGGGTGGAAATGCTCGGTTTGAACGTGGCGCGGATTAATCGTGCCCATGTGTACCTTGTGCAAGGGGAATCCCGGCGGGGTTTCGTAGGGTCGGTACACAGTAGGAATTATCAGATAGGGAGCGAAGGATAGTCGTGAGGCGAACGGTGAAGATGAATTTGCCGGGTTGGTTGGGGTCATAAGCGACAGAGCTGAGGTTGTGTGGTCGACGTGTTGGGCAGAGATTCGAGACAAGGGTTGCCGTACTCCATAGTCTCGACGGTTGTGTCTTGTATTGATCATTGTCGTGTCGGGTGAGACATAGCTGAGACTGGGATCGGAGCCGGGGTCTTGGTTCGAGAGGGGACGATAGTATCGGTCGAGCGGATTGGGATGTGGTGGAGCTGCGACGTTTCTCGCCTTCTTGTGCTACCCATACTTGACAGCCAGCACAAAAGATATACAGTAACTCAGATGCCATAATGCATAGATCACCAGTCTAAACCGCGGACAAGCCATAATGAAAAGAAAAGAAAAAACGCCCTTGCTTTGAGGCTTCCTCCCCGGGGCTTTGTTTGGAAAGGAGATGACGGGAAACGGAGCACGGGAGAACCATATACATAGAGAAAATGACGAAAGAGAGAACGAAAACAGGCCCACACGCTGATGGGAAATGGCGAATGGGGGAAGGGGGGAAATCAAGACATAGATAGAAGGGCAACTGAAGCAAGTAAAGAAGGGAAACGAGATGGAACGAAATAGAAAAGAAAGTTTCAACCAAAACCAAACCCGTCAAAATCACATCCCCAATCCCTCATGGTGAGGAGGTTCATGGTTAGGATCTTGATCCCTCGCCCACTTTGACATCGACTGCGTAAGTGTAAAATCCAAATCCTGCAACCTCGTCTGGAATGACTCGACCGTATTCCAGTCAGGCGGATGGATATCCGCTTCGCTCGGTGCATCGTCTAGATCCCTCGGTGCCGGCCCGGGGTGACCATGCACCGAGTGCGAAACGTGGGCGTGATGCACACCATGCGAGCCGTGAGAGCTGTGTACCCCGTGCGAGAGGTGCGAAATGTGCGCGATGTGAGACCCATGTGCCCCGTGTGAGAGGTGGTTGCCTATGGAGTGGTGGTAAGACGGGATATGGCGGGGCTGATTTGAGTGCATGGACAGCGGCATGACAGGAGATTCTTCCAGTTCCAAATCGGGCAGGCTTTCGAGGTGGGTTGGGTCTAGAGCGAGATATCTTCCATCAATATTATTCGGTACATTCACACTCACCGGAACGGCCATGGATTTACCGTATGGGCCGAGTGGGTAGGGGGGCATCTCTCGGATGGGTGATTGCATGTCGGGGAGTGGTGAGATGGGCGTTGTGACGCCGTGCTCGTCTGTGGGTTCTGGTGTGTAGCAGGTCATGTCGGATGGGGTTTCTATCCAGATTGTTAGGTTTGAAGGATGTGATGCCAAGCCTTCCAAGGCAGGATCTAGATCACTTTGAGGATCTCGATGTCAACTTACGCGGTTCCGGGCTCTGTGGCTCATTCTCGGATTCCTTGCTTCGGTTGGTATCCCATGATGTTCCATAGCGACGCACGAAGCGGGCGATCCGTTTTGGATCGACGTTCTGGCCGTTGACCCGAAAGGCTGTCTGTTTACCTTGGGCGGCGCGCTTCTGTTGCTTGCGGAGCATAATATGGACTTCTTTGGCTTTGATGTTCTTTCGCACATGCCATGCCGCAAGCCGATCTTTGTATTGTTTTTCTCTAATGGACTGGAGTTAGGTGATACTGCGAAACCGATCTATTGGATGAATCCGCAACGGGCGAGCTCAGATAGGAAGAGATGAAGATGGAGATAAAGAAAAGGATAGTAGTACGATGCAAAGAACTTATAATCTCTTTCCATGATGCGTTTCACATCTCGTAATTTCAACTGGTCATTGCGATAGAGTTGTTCAATGATTTCACGGTATTCATGCCAGTCATCCGATCGGCGCGGTCGAAAGACATTTGGCGATTGAGGGGAGATGGGAGTCGAGTAATGATTCTCCATGATTTAGTCAATGTATAAGAGAGAGATCGAGTCTCATTTGAGATTTGGTATGCCAAATAGAGGTTCGGCGGTCCATAATAAATTTCAGGTTTGAAGGAATGCAAATCATAATATGGTCTCGAAAAATAAAAAAAAATAAAAAAAAATACGAATAAAAAGAATTCAACATATTTCAAAATCCCCAAAAGTCCCTCAAAGTCCCTAACCAATACACCAATGCCAGAAATGAAATAAAATCGAAAACACAAGAGATGAGAGGAGGGGGGGGGGGGCCGAATTCTCTTCTCTTTGCGGCGACGTGCACGCGGACGCACGACCCCCTGCTTCCCCGGACAAATCAGCTTGTGCGACGGGGATCCATTGACCATGACCAGCCAAGATCAGCCAAGATCAGCTAGGACCAGGGCCAGAGCTCTCAAAGGGTCATAGGCACCTTGGTCTCGACGTGTCAAGAAGATCAATAATCAATATCTCCGGGCTTTTGATCAATTTGGAGATTTTGGATGTTGTGGTGCTTTGGAGGGTCTTGGGATATTTGAAAAAGATGGAGGTTCGAATTTGGTATCCTTGGGGGCCCTTGTCGTGGGGTTGACTTAGGGAGGTTGATTTCTAATTAAAATCAACATGGCTACGGAGTACAAGTGAGTGGAGAAGGGTACTTTGGACTTGGACAGTCTAAGCGAACTATTACATGCAGTGCACTGGCCGCAAATTGGATGCATTTTCCGTTGCCTTTTCTTTTCTTTTCTTTTCTTTTCTTTTCTTTTCTTTTCTTTTTTCTATTTCTTTTTTGGGTCATTCTTATATTAGATAGTGCTCCGCACTCCGGAAGTAGAGAATTGATAGTCCAATATACTCCTATATACTCCTAAAGTGTCAAGAATCCGTTCTAATCTACGGAATACCGGAGGAATCACGCTAGACGAAGTACTCCAAAAAATAGAAAATCGAAAATCGAAAATAGAAAAATCGAAAATAGAAAAATCGAAAATAGAAAAAAAACAGAACCTGCAGATCAGAACAAACCGGGAGCGGGCCGAATCTTCCCTGACAGCTCTTTGTCTTCCGAGTCTAAAAATCTAAAAAATCCCCCCATATCCTCTAAGAATCCCAGTCCCGTGGATCAACAAGCCACGGCAGAGGTATGCGATATCGGTAGTAGCATCTGAAGACAAATCGATCTGATAGATCGGTAGATGACACCTGCTATAACCTGCCAGATCGCAACTGTCACCCAGGAGGAAAAGCCGTTAAACCCGTTACAAATCCACAACCCACAATTCACACGATCAAGGGGGAAGTCCATGCGCGTTGGGCTCGAGACAAGGTTACCCGGTCAAATCAATGTCTCTTGGGTGTGCTAAGCATTCTACTCCGTGCTCCGTATGTTATAGTCCATCTCCGGCCGAGACAGATTAAAACGTACGATGCAAGGTCCGTGCTACCTACCACCTTTTTCTGGGTTGGTGCTGTGTTGGGGTTGGCTTTCTGGGCCGGGGACATTCTACCGACCCGAAGTACGTGCGTTGTCTCTCAGTCCATTTGATGGGTGCCCTGGGGAACACTATCAGAGGGAGTACAACGGACAATGAGGAGGGTAGGGAGATTGCTTAAAGTGATACACCCTCGGTCTAGGTGGATGTATCGTTTACCTGACATGACTCCACTCAATCCTACGCTCATATACAACGGTGCACATGCCCCGTTATCCCCTGCACGCGTGGCCCATATCCCAAGGGCTAGAACCTCCAGTGCAAAACGTAGGAACTAGTGTCAGGTGGGAATAATAGCTTGAAGACGGCGTTGCACGGATCTACAGTGTTATCTTTGATTTTTGTCGGTCGGGGAGAGTGAATCCTAGTCCCCGAGAGGGATGGGCAGTATCTTTGTTTTGGAGCTTTGATAATATCCGAATGGAAGCAAAGTACTGGAGTACAATCAGATTTAATAGGGAAGAGGGAGAGGGAGGGGGAGGGGGGAACAATCGGTTCAAGACACTTGAACAACCCCCCCCTCCCTATTACGTCTTCCATTTGTAACTATCCAAGCTCCAAAGACCTAATCCGCGAATCGATGTCCATGGAGCATACGAAAAGTGCGGGGTGTAGGAAGTACTTTGTTAACTCGTCCAGTAGACGGAGTAAAAACAACATAAAGAGAGAGTCAAAACCATTAGCCGCGCTTTCCTTGGAAGTGGACAGTGGGAACACAACGGCCATCCCGCGTGGAGCCCCTCCACTCGAGCCGCCTGTAGACGGAGATATCTGCCGCCGGCACGCTCATAGGTCCACGGACCATCGTTCACCGGCTCGGATCGCATGCAGGTACTAGGATGTAGCGCGTAGACTGGATTGAAGTACGAATGCATCTCGGAGGCATTTTCCTCTCCCAGGCTCATAGGCCGTGAGAGGAGTTATTGGGAGAAGTGGTGGTCTGTTCCCGACCCACGCGCCAGTGCGGCACTCAGCCGACACATGCCAGGGGATTGGTTGGGCTGCATCGTGATTCCAGCACGGTGGTGACAGGCCAATGAAACCCTGCGTTTAGACTCGGATGAAACAACCATTGTTGTGGCACGTCATTTCCATCCCCCTATAATGTACTCCGTACTCCGTCCGTCGTACATCGATAAACAATCGTGATTGGAGCCTATCGACAAAGTACGAACGTGTCGCGCTGAGCAGGTCTTTAATTGCATCCATCTGCGCGATTTTTCACCCATATAACTGGCATTTGAAATCCTGTACTGCAACCTCGTCTCTTGTTTGTTTTAGAAAGAAGAAATTCTCGGGAAGTGTTTCAGGGGGTTTTCATCGGGCTGGCCGTTGCCTGTCGGGCTTGGTCAGCGGCTGCTACGGCTGCGGCCGCGACAGCAGCCGAATTGCTAGACCCTGTGCTAGCGAGATTGCTGGCATGCGCAAGGAGAAACTTGCAGCAAGTGAGCGTGTACTTGCAGGCTCGAGTCCAGGTCTCATCATTCTGGTTGAAGCCCAACTTGATGCTGGCATCACCAATGCGGTCCCGCTTGATCTCATAGGGCAATTTTAACCCCGGCGCTGTGGCGCCGGTCTGACCGCGACGGGACGTTAGAATTGGCGCTGGGGTCTTTTCAACGAACTTCCCTAGCTGGCGCAGACACTCAAGAAACGCCACCATGCCCGAGTCAAACCGACGGTGCAGCCAAGGAAAGTTGAGCGGGAGATCCCCGGATGAAAACAGGTCGAGTTGGGTCACTTTAGGTGCAGCTCCCTCGACGGGCTGACCAGATGGCTGCGTGGGATATTCAATTCTCTCAATGCGCGAGTTAGATCCTAGTGGGCTGAGACGATACCCCTGGAATTGAAATCCGAGTTTCTCAGCCATCGTGGCCAGAAGTAGGACTGTTTGGCCCCATGCCGCATTGATTTCAGGCCAGTCAACAGAAGGATTGGCCAGGCGGCCCAGTCGTAGTCCATTGATAGTCCCGAAATATCCATCATGACCAATGCAAAACGCGTCATTGTAGACATTTGTCCGCTGCAGTCTCTCAAGCTGTTGGGAGTCATGATCATAACGCATATTGAGCGCATCCCGTTCGTTTTGAAACTCCGTGAGCGTCAAGGCAAACGCATTGCGAGACCGCCAAAAGCTCTCCTCGTCTGCATCCAGTCGTCGTGAGTCAATTTCCAAGCTGGCAATTTCTGCATCTAGAGCAGCCTTTTCTTTCTCAAGGGCCTGCAGCTCTGCGAATGCGGCCTGTTCCGCTTCGAGGCTCTCATCCAACGATTTCTGTGCCTCCTGTAGCTCCTCCTCGGTCGGGATTGACCCATTCAAGTCTCTAAGAAAAGAGATGTAGGCATCTCGCTCCTTCGTAGACCCTGCCAACCGTTTTTGTAATCCTTCCACGAGCAGCTCCGTGCATTCCACGCAGATAGGATGATCGATATCGGAGCGCGCCGAGACAATCTCAAACAGCCGTGTCGTTTTCTCCACTTGATCCACGAATGAACCATTCTCCAGTTGGCCTTGTGAATGGTTTCGCTTGCTTTGGGCAGCAGTGTAATTCTCACTGACTGCAGGTGGCGCAACTTGGGACTCAGTGAGCATCACGAATGACATGTTGCCACTATCGGCTCGAAGTGTTGCGGGCGGGTTGTGCTGGCCTACTGCACGTGGAGCGGGGATAGACCGTCGGTAAACCGGCGAAGTAGCATGTTTAGAAGACCTTTCATACTTGTCGCGGTGTTCGGGTGGATAGGACGATCGCGCTGATGAGGAGACAGCTCCGGTATCTGACAACGTCTTCCCTGCAGAGTCTAGACAGCTTGATTAGCGGGATAAGAACGATCGCCCTGTGGAAACTTACTGGATAGTAAGTCAAAGGCAGCCGGATTAAGTGACTCTACTGAACCATCCAGCTTCAACGGCGTGCGACACTTCTGGCAATGCATGGTTGTTAATTCATCCTTGGGGGGGGGTGGGAAAATGGAAGTCGGGGAGCTCCAAGGGAGCTTCGGGGGAACGTCATTTCAGTTTGTTTTCACCTTTGCCGCATTTTTGCTCGCGCTTGCGCCTCCACACCACACTTTTCGTTGTCTTACAACAGCTTGCTTCCGAATTTAATGATGCGTTATTCTACTACGCACTCAACGCTCAATTCCCTCTAAGGCACGCGCCTATCGATTCTTATCCGCAACCATAAACGACCTGGATGGTGGCATGGACCACTCCAGACAGGACAGTGTCGAACGACCAGCAAAGAGACCATGTCTATCATATACCCCCGACGACGACAAAGAGATTCCCGCAGAATTTGATCTTACAGCTGCACGAGCACAGAATGACTCGCGACTGAAGTCTCTCTTCGAAGGAATTTTCGCGAAATATAGCCAGGACTTCACTAACGTTGGTGATGAGATTGACCTACAGACCGGGGACATAGTGGTTGACAATGGGCATCTCTTGGGCATGCGCGATGAGCAGGACACTGGTTACCAGCCGCGATCATGGCTCTCCCGAGGTGACGTGGATGAGCCGAAAGACCCTGATGCAGACGATGACATCAACACGAAGGGAGATGAGGATGAATTCTATTCTATGGCATCTTCTCCCGGTGGCCATTCTTCAGAAGCTCCGCGTGAAGAGTCGCCATCGAAACAGCTACAGACAGACATGGATACCTCCATGGATTTCTTGTTCACCTTTAAAGCATCTGGAACTGCAGGGCTCAGTTCTACGACCAAGAAGGAGCCTGTCTCCCATCCCACCAATCCCATCCCAACTTCCAACCCGGAAGATCCAATCTGGGCAGTCCCAGACTTGCCTCCATCGTTTTCAACGCCCACCACGGAGACCCGCAAATCAAACGTGGGCTTCTCTCCACTTGTCGGGTCTACATCTCCGCCAGGGAGCGGCTCTGTCTGGGCTCTGCACAAACCCCGCAGACCACGTACGGAAACGAAACCAAAGGCTACGCCGAGTAAACGTCGACCGGCTGCGAAGCGCAAGTATCATTCTAGCCCTGTGACGCACGACTGGTCTTTTGCGGCAATGCCAGATGGAAATGAGTCCGATGACCCGTTGCAGGACCATGAGCCATCACCGACACCATCGAAGGTGAGGATTATTCGCGGGAAGCGCCATATCCCAACCAAAGAGAACGATGGTCCATCTACGCCTTCGAAGCGGCCAGCCGTTATCATCAAAGTTGATGCTCTAGTTGATGCTCAAGTTGATGCTCAAGTTGATGCTCAAGTTGATGCTCAGGTCGATGCTCAGGTCGATGACCAAGAAATAGGCCGGGAACCAAGTGATCACGAGGATCAAGTGGCTGGTGCACAACCCGAAAAAGGTAGCCGGGAATCCAGCAATCAGTTTGATGAATTGCCTGAGGCATTCCTCGAAGATGGGGTCTGTGAATCGAGCCACCAAGAAGACGGAGTAACTGAAAAACAACTCCAAGAAGGTTATGCACCAAATTACCAAAACCAAGCATCTGAGACAGAGAACAAAAACGAAGTACTACGTGATTCTACGGCGGAAGGCGATTCAACCCCCAGGGCCACGGCTACGACCAGCATACAGGCCCCATCCCCGCAGCCTATGGAAAACACCCCAAGCAAAAGCCGGCCCGTAACACCCGATGAAGCAAAGTTAATCGTATACATGATGTACAAACAAGAAAAGAAGGCCAGTGACGTGATGTACATGTTGCCTGGTCGCGAGTACCAGACAGTTTGGCACTGGTACTACAATCACTGGACCCGCCGCCTCGCCAATCCGCCTCTAATTTCCGCTACCTGGTCCCAACCGGAGCTTGAAGCTTTGTCCCGACTCAGTACCCAATCAGACCTTACCTGGGGTCAGATACAAGGTCGGTTTAAGGGCCGATCACGACATGAGGTTGAGTTTGAGCTGCTACGTGCTTTTGTTGGCGAGGGCTTTACCTCTGCTATGATCGGGAGCGTGGACAAACAGGCGGGGCCGGAAGAGCAGCAGTATGAAGATGAAACACAGGACGACGAGACAAAGAACTAGCCGGAATTTGATGCAGTCGTGGAGAAAATCAAAGATGAGGGAAGGGATAGCGACGAGATGTCTGAGGACACTGCCCCATCAGAGCTTGAGCAGCTCGGCATCCAAGAAGTGACCAAGACAACTAATAGCAAGACGGCTGCCCCCGACAGCTTCTTTGGCAATTTTATAAATTCCTAAACATGGAGGTTGGGTGCAACCGAATCATACTAATAGGAGGCCAGTGATCGATGATCGATAAACCATTTCACATTCATATGCAGAGCCATGAATACCATGCTATCTATTGAAAGTCTTCGTCCCGTGCATTCATAACATCCTCAAGCTTCGTGTCAACAGCCCCACCAACATCTCCAGCCTTAGCCCAAAACCGAGACAGATGTCGTGAGCCAGAGTCCGAAATCATTGTGACAATCCGATGACCAGGGCCAAGCTTCCTCGCCGTTTTGACAGCGGCGACACCTAGAATCCACCATTAGCAAAATACATCAGCTGCACTAGGCAGATACTTAATAGACCCACAGTTCACTGCACTGCTACTCCCAATAAAGATCCCATCCTTCTCAACAAGCCACCGAGCCATAGCCAAAGCCTGCGCATCAGTAACACGCACCGCGTCATCAATCAGTTCCTTCCCAGCCTCGAAATTCGCCGTGACACGGTTTATTCCAATCCCCTCGACGATGGTATCAACCTGCCTCCGCCGTCTCGTGCCCTCCCTTTCTTTCAAGTCAAACATGACGCCGTAGACCACTCGATTAAAAAGACCACTTCCCTGCGGATCCGCCAGCACAACAGTAATTTTAGGCAGCAATGGCTTCAAGAACCTGGCAACACCAGAAATGGTCCCACCAGTGCCAGCGCCCGCTACAAACGCATCGATCCGGCCCCCACACTGGGCGTAAAGCTCTGGGCCAGTGCCTTTGTAGTGGGCGCGCCAGTTAGCCTCATTCTCAAATTGGTCGGCGAAAAAGCCACGGCCACGGGTCATGCGGTTGTCTGCCGCGGGGAGATTGGATTGCTCTTCCGTGGATGCAGAAGGAATTCCCGATGAAGCCGTGTGCGTCTTTGCTAAGGCTCGTGCGCGATTGACAAAGTTGTCCTTCTCCACTATTGGTGCTGGCGGGACCCGGTCAACTATCGCCCCGAGTTTGAGAAGGAGGTTGGACTTTTCAATTGCCTGGTCGGATGGCAGGCAGCTGGGTTGCATGTGCATTAGTGGTCTTGGCTATTGGATGGGAAATGGAGGGTGGAGTATCCGTACATGTGTGCTAAGTAGCCCTTTGCCCGGGCTAGTGTTGCTAGTGAGATACCGGTTGATCCCGAGGTACCTTCATAGATTGTGTCGCCTGAATGGGGTGTCAGGATACCTTGTTCTTCTGCCTGGGTTGTATCAGTGGTGATGGCTTTGAAGGGAATTTTGAGGTTTTGTGTAATTTAGCGTACAATCTCAATCATGCTAAGTGCGACTCGGTCTTTTGAACTCTGACCAGCGCCATTCAAAAACTGTGGGCATTGTTAGCGCATTGTAAGCCCTATTATTGAGGTGGTTGGTAACGAAGAACGGAGCACCAAGCTTGCATACCTCTGCCTTGCCTAGAATCTCACACCCCGTCTCATCTGATAGTGACTTGATTCGAAACAGAGGGGTGTTTCCGATGCAGCCTTCAATGCCTTCCACGATGGTGGGTGGGCCAGCTCGGGCGATTAGGCCATTTGCTGGATGCATTTCTTTTGTCACATTATCCTCATGTTTGGGACGTGAGAGTTCTTGATATGCGAGTGCCAGGCAGACGCCGGCGACAAAGGCCGTGCCTATATACGCCGTCGAATGATCTGGCATCTTGCAATGCCGTTTTATGTCTTGAAGATTGAGGTCATGCGCATAGACGGAAGATATGAAGCTCGGACCATCGGACTTTTTTTGGTGGAAGATAAGAATCAGCCTGTACTCAATTGATGAAATGGAATTTTTGAATGCCAATGGAAATAGCTTTCTTTGTATTCAAATTGTGCTCGGCTTCAAAAGCCTTGTAATCACCAAAGTGTCGAGGAAAGTGAAGGCGTTTAATTTTGCCTGAGGCACGTGGCTTCATGCCTGAGGCCACAAAGGTTATCCAGAAACACCGTTCTCCTCCCGGAACAACCTTAAGCTTAGCTCTGCAATCGCAATGGACTCACCAGTCCTTACCCAGCTGTTCCGGCAGCTCTTCCGCCATCCAGCATGTCGATCATTAAGGCGGCCACCTTCCGTACTCGCTCGGCCACAGTCTCGATCATTCCTCACGCGCCGCACACCTGTCAACGTCAAGCGCAAACCGCAGGGTGATGTCCAGCTCTGGACAAAACGAGGAGACTACCCAAAGAACATTGATGAGGAGTATAAGAAATACCCGACAGTGACAGCAAAGGAGCTACGAAACCGCCGCGAACGGCCGCGGCAGGTCAAGATGCTGACGCGCGAGTTCATCGACGGTGAGTTCGGCTGCTGAATGAAGAGTGACCAGTTCTGATGTTGCGGGTTTAGACAGCCTTTATAACCCACATTACGGATATTTTTCCAAACATGCGACCATTTTCAGCCCCGGAGAGCCATTCGACTTCAATAACATCGAAGACGGGCCCGCGTTTCACAAACTCCTTGGTCAGCGGTACACGGAGTTTGAAGATAAGCTTGATGCGACGAAACTAGACATCGCACGGCAGCTATGGCACACACCAACAGAACTCTTCCGACCATACTATGGCGAGACGATTGCGCGGTATTTGGTGTCGAACTACAAGCTGACCCTTTACCCGTACCACGACTTGATCATCTATGAAATGGGTGCAGGAAACGGCACCATGATGTTAAATATTCTGGATTTCATCCGCGATACCGATCATGAGGTGTATCAGCGCACCAAGTTCAAGATCATTGAGATCTCGCCCGCGCTGGCAGATCTTCAGTTCAAGAACCTGACCGACAAGCTCTCTGCCAAGGGACACCGGGACAAGGTCGAGATTGTGAACCGATCGATCTTCGACTGGGACACATATGTTCATTCCCCGTGTTTCTTCCTGGCCCTGGAGGTTTTCGACAACTTCGCCCACGACACCATCCGCTACAAGCAAGGCACCGAGACGCCACAGCAGGGTGGTGTGCTGATCGACTCTGACGGTGAGTTCCACGAGTATTACAACAACCAGCTCGACCCAGTCGCAGCCCGCTTTCTGCGCGTGCGCCAAGCAGCCGCCCGCCGTCCTTTCCCTAGTCCTCTGGGCCCACCACTTCTCCGCAGTCTCCGCGCTGCCGCGCCCTTCCAAAAGGAATACTCTCTACCGGAGTACATCCCCACCCGTCTTATGCAGTTCTTCGATGTTTTGAACCAGTACTTCCCAGCACACCGTCTCGTTTCCAGTGACTTCAGCTCCTTGCCAGATGCCGTGCCTGGTATCAACGCACCGGTCGTGCAGACTCGGTATCAGCGACAGACAGTGCCAGTGTCGACTCCTTTTGTATGTGCATAATTTCTACGAAGTAAACTTCCAATCTGACTATTTTCTTTTGGCAGGTCCACCAAGGCTACTTCGATATCTTCTTCCCGACAGACTTTAATGTCGTCGAGGATATGTATCGTGCTGTCACAGGGAAACTCACGCAGGTTACGAGCCATGAGGAGTTCGTGCACCGTTGGGCTTACATTGAGGATACGGAGACGCGCAATGGGGAAAATCCATTGCTGAGCTGGTATAAGAACGCCAGCATGTTGATGACTGTGTAGATAGATATCTCGATGTCAATACCATTCAACCATGCCTTGCGGGCTTTGCTTATATCAGGTGCCCCCTTCTTTGCGTGTGAATGTAATTCTGCGTCGGCAGCAGGTTTAACACCACAAAATAGAACACACCCAAAATCATTTTCCTCGGCGAAAGTCTAGACCATATGTAGCCAAGTCATCGAGTAGCAGTGGACCTGTAAAATCAAAGATTGAGATACGATAACTGATCTCGGACGATATGAATGTCGAAACTTCTTGGGAAAAGGCCGCTTATGGCGGTGTGATGGCCATAGTTACCATCCTCAGATGTTCGTTTGCCAGGTAATTGAGGAGATTGCGAAACACTTCAGAGCCGAGAGACAATGTTGTACCAGCGGCTTCCCTGAACATGGACCCAGGCTCCAAGCAAACTGATTTGGCCAGTTTCAAGATCCCCAACTCGAAGTTGGGAGTGACAAAGTCCCGGAAGCTATGTCAATGTCGAGCTCCTGGTGATGTCTCAACCAACCAAGCGCTCTTCGTTCGAACAAACTCTAACCCGTACAAAACACACTGGCATCTGCTACACGCTCCACCACCTAGTTCTGAGGAATCTGAAAGACGCCATTCGCGAGGTCGGAAAGATCATCGACCCCAAGCCCCTGAAGAGCACTGAGTATCTGATCGACAATAGTCTGCGGAAGGCCTCTTTTGTTCCTCGAGTAAATATCAATGCCAGCAGGCGTGAACAGTGTTTTCTCAAAGAACGTAACAATCCACTGATTATCATCGTCTGCATGACCGAACCCGAGACACTCCCAGTGTGAGCTCGCGATCATCAGCCAACCTTTGCCTCGCCAATCCCAGGCGCCGGGATTGCCTGGCGTTGGGGTGTCCACCCCATGGACAGATTTGATTTTTTCGGAATTGATAGCTTGGTATTGTACCAGGTCGTCGATCTTTTGTACCCCGGCCGAGTCTGTGGGAAGGAGCTTGTAAGTGATGTTGACATTGCGCTTGCCTTTCCACAGGGAAAGGCTGGAGTGGGTTACGTGCCATGTCCCGGTTATAAAGTCGTTCGAAGGGGTGGAGTTGGCTCCTGCGCCATCATAGACATTCGGGAGTCTGATAGAGATGGAAGACATTTGTTCTTGGGCGTGGGTTGGGCTTGTGAGGGTGTCGAGGGGGTGGAAGCCTTTGGCGGACGATCAGCCGATCGCTACCCGAAGGAGTTTATCGTCAATCTATACAGCCCTAACTACGGAGTAGCATGGACGTTACAGTGGATTTAGAGTGGGCGAGATCTCTGAAGTAACAGCGCAAGATGCTGAGGTGAAAGAATATTAGCAACTTTTCCTTGAGTGAGGTCAATCCCGAAGTACAAGCCAGTATAGCATGCATCATCGGAAGAAGAAGGCAATTGAAACTTTATACTCATGATGCTAGCGGCGACTAGGACATTCAAATGTGAAGTTGATGGGATTAGCTCATGCTAGGAATAGAAATCCAACATCGGTTTGCTCAAGTGCACATGTAACAGGATGGTGGTAATACAAAATGTTAGACATATATGTCCTTCCTGTAAGCTTCCTTGGAGTGGTTCCATTCGATTCGATTATTCCTCGGGACAAGCAAGCAGCTCAACACTTTGAATTAGCAGATGGTTGTCGGTGACGGGGCCAGGTTGGAGTCTTGCGGACGGAGTTATTTTGCGCAAAGGTTGGTCGCGAGAAAGCAGATTGACCAAACATAGGCTGGGAAAAGGCAGACTGTGCAAAGGTAGCTTTGGTAGGAGTGGGCCTAGTATTGGGAATGTTCGAGCGTGGTCCTGTGGGAATCCGTTTGACTCTATTCAGTAATGAAGCGTCCGGAGCAAGAGGGGCCAGTCTTTCAGCAGATAGGATCTTGGTCGTTGTATTCATGTTTTTTATGGTAACACGTGAATGTGTAGACACATCTGCCTTGCGATGGAGCCCACTTAGGGCTACCTCTAGCTGGGATAGAATACCGGCATCGAGGGAGGTTGATGTGAGTACCGGTATAGGATTAAAGAGAGGCATAGAGATGTTCACATTTTCAATTGCGGTGTGCAAACCACAATGTTGTTTAATCCACATGTGGTGGGGAATGAATAGTCGACAGTGGCGCCACGAGTGTCCAATGTCTGCGCATTTTTTGCAGAATGCCGTACAAGCCCCAATATGTCTCCTGTCACATTGATGACAGCGGGGGCGACAGGTTCCCCGGTGCGATCTCGCTCCACAATCCTGACAGAAGGGCGGTGGCTTGTACCTCGGGGAGTAGTCATTCTCGTCTTCAACTTCTTCAACTCCTTCTACTCGGGCACGCTTTTTCAAAGTCCTGAAGATTTCCATCATTAGCAGATAGCCTTGGATAAGATTTTTGTTACACTTGACTCACATGTGTTCCATTGTGACAGCGCCTGGGGAGAGAGAAACAAGAGAGAGAAAAGGAGACGAGGGGGGGTTGTGTACATGGACAATCCCAACGAGGAAGGAACAAGTCCGTCACACGATGAAGGTTAAGTCAAGGAAAGTCACTCGTTCTCTCTATAAGAGAGAGATAAGAAGGAAATGAAGGGTAGAATTAATTTGATAGATATGCTGGCCACTTACTCCGAAAATTTCCACACTAGACCAAACGATCATACTCAAGTCAACTCGTGGAATTGACTGAAAGGGGGAAGTGCATTTCCGGCTCATGTTCTCTGACTATTAGAAGGCAATAGTTAAATATCAGTAAAGAAGGACTAGAAAATAAAATCATTGTTTTGGTACATAAACACAATCAATTCTTGGAGAAAAGTCAATCTAATAGCTACTTATGCTATGTATAAATATCTTGTAGGACTCGATCTCGTAGATTTAAGATTAACCCGATTGCCTGGATGCGGAATAGAGCTTGATTATTTGATAATTTAAAATAAACAAAATAGTGGAGTAGTTAACCTATGCCAGGATGTTTTGATAGGGGGGTTACCGTAACTAATTCAAGTGTGGGTACCCCGGCTTCAGCACTAGTAAGACCCCCATCAACTGGAACCCGCTTGCTCGTCAGTATCGCCAAGTGCAACGGAGGGCACCGAAGCGGTAGGATGTGAGCCTTCGCTTGAGCGACGGGTTGACAGGTCATGTGACAGATCATCGTGTCTCTTGGTTTTATGGAGGGCGATCCAGCTTCCATCTGACATGAATGTTTTCCTCTCCCCACATCATTCATGGCTTCACGCCTGAGCGCTCTTAGATCTATCTTTTAAATAGCATCTCGCTCCTCTCAAGTCCCCTCTCGCAGATCGTTTGTCACTTTGCCAGGGGAAACACCTGTCGATGAGGAGACGCTTCCTCACTATGACGCGAAGCAATTCTACCCCGTACACATTGGAGGCCTATTCAATGATAGGTATCGAGTCACCGGAAAGCTTGGCTATGGTGCCTACTCAACGAGTTGGCTATGCCGGGATGTTCAGTACGTAGTCACCACCCCTTCGAGCTCAAGAAAACCATCTCGCTAACCTCGATCAGAAGCCAATGCTATGTCGTACTGAAGGTATCTACATCACTGCAAAACCTACCTACTGCGACAGATCGCGAATTCATGGTCTTCGAGCACCTTGCAAAAATCCATTCAGTTCACCACGGACAATTTCTGCTTCGAGAGCTCTATGACTCCTTCGAGCTACAGGGACATGCTGGAAACCACCGGTGTCTGGTCCTACAACCGATTCATATGACGCTTCTAGAGATGATGAAACTGAATCCAAACCCGTTCGACCTCCCTCTTCTCAAGATGACACTCCGACGGTTATTGTTGGCGCTTGACTATCTGCACACCGAAATGAACATTACCCACACCGGTACTATCTTTCTTGAATTTAGAGAGGAAACGTTTTCTGACTGGCACTAGATTTGAAAACTGATAACGTTATGCTCAGCTTAGAAGATACTACGATGCTGGCTGATTTTGCGGATGAAGAGATCAGACAGCCAAGCCCTCGAAAGATCATAGATCAATCGCGTACCATATACCAAAGTCGGAAGTTTCGACGACCGTTAAGAGGAAAAAGCTTCGGTCTTCCAATCCTTTGCGATTTTGGGGAGGCAAGGATCGGGAGAACACACAATTTCGGGCCTTTCGTACAGCCGGATATATACCGAGCTACTTGAAACACTTTTAGTTTGTGTGCTCCACTAATAGAAGATAGGATTTGGGATCTCTTTGAAGGGAGACATTTATTTAAGAACGTTTTCGATAAAAACGGCAATTATGACCCCTTCAAACACATTGCATTGATGGTCGCTTTGATTGGGCCACCGCCAGCTGTATCTATGCAGCGTAGTGAAACTACGGGACAGTGCTCTTTGATCGCAATGGTAATGGCCGTTGGATTATCTCGTTAGGATCGGATTTGTGCTGACATTCTTATAGGTACTTGGATTGCTCATAAAGATGCGCCTGTGCGGCAGGAATCTCTAGAAAGTTTAGAAATGCGACTCCACGGTGGTGAAAAAGAATCGTTTCTTCTATTCCTTAGATCTATACTCACATGGCTACCAGAAGAGCGCAGGACCGCAAGACAGCTGCTTGATGATCCGTGGTTGCTTTGATCCCAACAACTTCTAATGCGACACGCTTTAACTTTTTACTACTTAGAAGTATATAGGCAGGTTGTGTAGCCAAGTAACTCACTTATTTTGAAAGACACACTTATTTTACCACTTACTCTGGACTAGCAAGTTTAGAACAATAGTTCGCTTCGGTCCTTCTTGTATAACTTGTGTTATTGTTCCAATTGCAAAAAAAGAAAAAGTAGCCTGATCTATCTGATCTAGATTGCCAGCTTGTATCTCCACCACTCGTACGTTCCTGATAAGCTTCAAACCTTGCGATCCGACATCCTGTCAGATCTAACCCGAAACTTAATCTGACACCTCGGTAACTCACATCTTAAGCCCAACATCTACCCACTTAATATAGGCTCTCAGTTTAAGTAACAATCACCATGAAAGTCGAGCTATCCCCACAAGATCCACCCCAAGAGCGTAAAATATCACCTAGAACGACCGTGTCCCCTTAGCTTGGCATCTCCTAGTGCCCCTCCTAGAAAACCCACTAGTATCAAGCATAGAAACTATTCGCGGAAGCGGTATCTTCTCCGCTGATGAGTTAGCATGGACCGAAATTGTAGATATCCGCGACCTCGTCGAGCTGGTTGAGTCCTGGTGCGTGACGAGCCAATTGCTGGCAACGGCGTTCTGTAAATGTTCTGCTATCGCACAGCAGGTTATTGAATTGTGACGGAAATATTCTTTGAGAAGGCACTTAAACGGGCTAGTGCGAGGAAGCTTGATGACTATCTGCTGCACTCTGGTGAGATTTTTGGGCCCTTGCATGGGGTTCCATTTCTGTGACGGATCGGTTTGATGCCCGGGCGTTAAATGCGACTGTTGGTGGATTCTCTGGGTTTAGCCCCCTCTTTAGTTGACGGCATCGTGTTGGATCATTGCTCAAATATGTGCAGGCGGGGTTGGTATAGCCAATAAACCAGCCTCATCAATAGTTCAATCGTATAGCTACTTGAGTCGGTGGGTGCAGTACTCGATGTCAAGGCCAATCCGTAAACGCCTTCATCCATGCCCTAATCTCAGGCAGTAGCTCCGGTGACTAAAGTGACCTTAATGGATTCAGATGGCTGCGCGTCTTTGAAATCGGCACTGACATCAGCGGTTTGATCAGAGTACCTTGTAATCTTCAGGATATGTACTCTATTTGTTGAAGAAAAAAAACTTAATTCACCACCAGGCCACTTCAAAAATTATGGTGTCTGATTATGGCCTAGAGGGCGCCATTTCTTGAGTTGATACTATATGTCCGAAGATTGGGTGAGTGCCAGAGGACTGATACTTGCAAGCGCTTCATTTTTTTCCCTCCATATATTGAAAGTATGTTTAGCATTGACATATCTTGATAGCTTACACCAGCACTACCTTGTCCCACCCGGTGCTGACCCTATTCCTACATCGCTCGCTACAACAGAGTGCTTGATTAAGAGTCTTTTTACGTCTATTCCGGGGAGTAGAGGTCCAGATATAGTTCCTATCTTATGGCAAAAAGAGCTCGTAAGCCCGCTGGCGAATCGTAAGTTGCGATTATGTATTAAACTTGATAACGGCATCGTTAAGCCGCGGCCGCCTGTTGCGAGGGTACTGCGCAAGAGGTGGATGCATTGAAATCCGCCGGCCACATAGGTTTAACAATGCCTTATAATTTTGATTTAACATTCTCTTCCCTTCATGGATAAAAAGTGCCATACAAAGATACCAAAGAAATCGAATGGGACACTTCCCTCTAAATCGCCATCATCATTCTCTGACCAAAAAAGGGGTTCTCGCCGATGGCGGCCAATACTGCCTGCCGTTCCCTCTGTCAGATAGTCGACGAGCCTTTCATTGAAGTCATGGTTATCGGTAAAGAGACCAATATTCTTTCACACGAGGGGCGAGAGCAGGCAAATCAAAACAAACCATGTTGCAAGACTAGCATCGATAAAAGACTCTTTCCCATCTGCAACTCCTCAAACCCAGATTAAAATCTGAATCAATCTAGGATTCTAGTAACACTAAGAACACTAACCGTCCAACCCGCCTTCCTGAAACAATGGGTTTGATCGAAAAGAGACACCCTCGTCATACCCATCTTCCCGTCGCTAGGCGAGGAGCAAGCAGTGGCTAGGCTATACGGCTATGTGGAATCTGCTGGACTGCGCGGCTGTTACTGTACTTGTTGCGAGGTTGGACTAGGGCATTGATTCTGTTGGTAGTGCGACGCTGAGTAAGAGGGACATTCTATTAGGAATGAGTCCGATGCTTTCAATTATTTGCAGTATGAGAGGCTGTTTTCTTTGGTGTCTTTTTCGATTTAGTTAATGATGATTTTTCATTGAATGAGATCGAAATTATGCATGAATGGGATGCCTTTTTGTGTGCAGATTGTAGGGGGTAGATTTGGAGAGGAAAAGGCCGTGGCAGTTGGGAAGGTTGTTGATGAGTTGATGGATCCGATGCTCTTCCATCCATAAGGACAGGAGAGATTACCGATGTAATTAGCCAAGTTAAAGATGGCAAAAATAGAAGCAAGGAATGCGTTCATAAAACATATATATAGAGAGAGAGATGTATTTCCCCTTTGGCTTGTAGATACAATGCAGCCAGGCCTTGCCAGCCAGAAATCCGAAGGATATGTCCCATACCTTTCCATGTGTGCAACTAACATATCATCATCCAATATCCAACAGGAACCTAGAATTCGAACTCCTTGCGGAAGATATTCACGTCCATGCCGGCGACAACCTGGTCAGCCAAGTCACGACGGCCCATCTGGCTGAACACCCGACGCAGCGTGTCGTACAGATTCGTGCTCTGGTTCTGACTGATGTGCAACATACGCTCGAGACGCTCGTCGTCCAACCCATCCAGATGCACACCATCGCCGATGATCTCGCGGGCACGCTCGCGGCCCTCCTGTTCCACGACACGGTGCATAGATAGCGCGCTTAGCAGGTGCTGTGCGGCTTCCGGGTAGCAGCCAATGTTGATGCATGATACTCCTAGGTTGTAGCGGGCGCGCACGAAATTAGGGTTGATGTTCAGGGCTTGCTCATAGGCTTCGATGGCTTCTTCGGAGCGGCCGGAGTTGGCAAGCGTCGCGCCGAGTCGGTTCCAGAGGAGATGGAGCTGTTCTCGTTGGTTGGTACTGCCGGATTCGGTGGAGGCTAGAGCGGCGGAAAAGCAGTCGACGGCCTTTTCGTATTCCTCGGCGCAATAGAAAAGAACGCCCAGTCCAACTTGTACGTCAGGGTCCATCTGGGCTCCTGAGGGGGAGAGCTGCGCTGCTTGGATGAATAGTTCTGTTACGCGGTCGTGGAGGAGTTGTCGGTCTGTGAAGCCGAGGTCTGAGTCGCCGGATACTTCCTTCGGGTCGATGATTGTTGGGTACTTGTGGGACAGCCAACGCTCGAGTGTGCGGTATGCGGTTGAGTCGTAGCCCTCGTTTGTGTACGAGACAGCCAAGCCCATTAATGCATCTAAATTCCCGACGTCGACCTTCAAGGCTTGTTCCAGTGCACGGATAGCAGGCAACTCTTTTTCGTTTTGCGCCTGCGCAGAGCCCAGCATCGTCCAAGCTTGAACGTGCTGCGGATCTTTTTGAACCGCAGCCTCGAAAGCTAGCGCTGCCAGCGATAGATTACCGCCATCGCGCATGATCTTCATTCCCTCCTCGAATGGATTGTTCACAGCCTGGTAGACATTATCCTGCTCGAACATGTAATCGCCGAGCTGGGGATCACGGAAGCGAGAGTTCAGACTATCAAAGCCATCCCAGTCACCAAGATCACCAACATGCACGTTGTCAGTGACTTCAAAGTTATCTTCCTCGGCAAGTTTTCTGTTCGTTGCAGTCTCAGCCTGGACCCGTTGCCACACAGACTCAAACGCGTCATTGGAGGGCACTGACCTGTCCAAATCATTCAATTCCGCCTCGATGGCCGCATTGGCTTCCTCATCTGTCTGGGCCTCATTGCCAACTGTCGTGGTCTCCATCTCAGCAAACTGTGCCTCCCAGTTCTCATCGTCGAGCTCCACCATTCGCCCCTTCCCCTTATCCTGTGTCTGCCCCTCCACAGGCCTCTGCTGCATCCCCACATGTCCACCCATCATAGGCTGCATCATCCTCATGCCACCCATGCCGCCCATAAAGCCACCGCCCATGGCCATCGGCCGCTGGTATCCCGTCATCATAGGCGAGGTGTTTGCGGCAACAGGGCTCGACGTCTGCGGCATGCCCATACGATTCTGCTGTTGGAAGCGGGCGAACTCGGCAGGGCTAAACCCAGATCCGTTTTTCAT